TTTCCTGAATATCAACTTCGGCCTACAACAAACAAAGAAGAAAACAAATCATCAACTCCCTAAGAATTCATCTCCCATTTCTCCTTTTTCAAACCGTCAACATGCGTTTCATTGGAGCTCTTCTTACCCTCTTGGCTGCTATGCCTATGGTTGCTTTCTCAGCACCTGTTGAAGCGAATGTCCCCGAAGAGCGTACCATTGGTGCAGGTACTGCTGACTGTTAAAGAGTCATTGATTTATTTCAGCAGCTATTCATCGAGACTATCAGGTCTGTACCAACATCATGAAAGTCATAGGCCATTAACTAAATGAAATTAAGAGGCACCCTGGTATTGAAAGAAACGTTATTTTCGATAAAGCCTACGATGTCCTACTTTGGTTTATGATTGATGATGAATGATGGTTGACGGTGGTTGAGGATGATCATTTGGCTGCACATATTGATTGATATTGCTATAAGACGCTCATCTAAGAACTCGACGTGCTCTAATTAGATTGAACGCATCCGCTCGTTGCTTAAGGAAATGTTAGGTAGCTTGTCAATGAAACGCAGATATCTGCTCTACTTTTCATAAGAAGAGATCCGCTTTACAAGTTCAGAATATGAGAAATGAGCACTGCCCACTAAGCGAGATATTCCTTCTACGCATGAAGACCCCTTTGCTTACTTTCTTCCTTTCTCTTTCCCATATAAGCTTTATTGTATGATAGAGTCTTTATAAATTATATATCTGTTGAACTTTTACCTCTCTAATTTTACTTTTAGCATGTCATGATAGATAAACTTATAATACATGTATTAGAGATAGGTAGAAGAACATGGGCTCTACTACGTAGCATATCAAAGTCCTTTATGTTTACTCCTACCAGTGGTTCATGAACGTATTCTAGCTGTGTCTATGATACTTCTATTTTGGTAGTGACACTTACCAGCTTCATCTTGCCTAAGGAAAATGCATATGCTTCTGAGCATACTACAAGCTTGTTGGAATACAAGAAAAAACAATGAACATGTTGTTAAGATGTCATGAGCAGATGATTTGTAAGTGCTGGATAGCGTTCTGTACTGTACTCGCATTCCAGCGACGAGACAAACTCTCAAAAAACAAAACAAAAAAAAAAGGGTGGAAATGCAGTTTGACCCTGTAAAAGTCTCTACCAACATCCCTCCTATTCATCAGACATGTATGGGGTTTCCTTCTTATCTAAGGGCGTATATCATGAATTTAAAGGCCAAGTTGTGAATCCACCAGAACTAGATACGATACACTGTGGTACACCTTTCAAGTAGGCTCATCATAGAGCCTAGTGCCCAATTAGGGGCCTACTCCGACAATGTGAACAACAGTCCCTTGGCCCAGCGAATCCGTACTGCATAACATAATGTTCGTCTGCTGAGCTCTGGGTCTCTTAATCACGAATTGTAAAGGCCTGCATACGGTTGCGAGAGACGAGCCTTTTTGGCGCCGTGGGGCCAGATATGTTTCCAGGGGTCGGACATATTTATGTACCGGAGCGATGATAATATAATTCTTTGTACAATGTAAGGTTATATACGAGTCACGCAGGCATTGAGTACTAGTGAGATACAGACTGTTGGTAGAATTACTGTATTACCGTACGTACCATTGAGTCGAAATAACACGAAATATAACAACACCATTGTACTGTATGTGCCTTGTCAAAAATGTTAATCTATGACCCACTTAGTGCATAGTGCCGCACGCCTCGCAAGGCTAGCTAGCGTTGTGGGAACAGCGCATCATCATTCCGCGGGTACATTAAGTGGTCTACCTAGTAGTTAGTTATTTAGATTAACTATCTTTTGTCTTGGGATGTATATCTTATCATGCATTAGCGTGTTTCTTAGTGCTCTTTGCATGTGTATATTACAGGTCCTGAGGACTTCATGAAGCAACATTTTAGCACCTCTGCAGGAAGCAGAATGGGGCATATTCTGCAATGCTCAATGGAGCTTCAACGTGCTTTGATATATGTGTTTTATAATCTAGGAATAGCTTCATATTCCTTTGTTGTCTGTGAGATCGTGTCTCGATCTTTATGTACGTTAGTAAAGAGACTGTTTGATATGCCCTTTACTAAGGCACCGCATAGGTTTATACACGACCTATGTACCCTCTAGATAGCTTTATGAATCGGTTATCAATTATAAATTAATTAGCTATGTTGGTCGGCTCGCTCTTGATAGGCTTCTTGGATATCGCCTTTTCCTAATCCCGACTTCCCAAGATAAACCAACAAGAAGCACTTAGGGGTCCGATTGGCTGCATTGGCGTAAATACCACTTGAAAAGCTGAGAAGCGGAGGTGTTTTCGTGACCTGAATAATTACTCACTTCAAATATTGGAAAACAATCTGCTAATGCATACGAACACACATATCGCAAGACAAGCGATAAAACTAGAAATACAATCTCCTAGCTAGATTACAAATACAGGTTATATGGCGTGTGCTGCCCCGTTGTGTGGAGCGCGGGGTAATTTGACTCCGTTCTGTTCCATTCTGTGGATTCTGAGCTGACCTGGTCATGCCAGGAGCCGTAAAATGATATAACATATGACTATTATAGGCTTGAAAAATATAGAAACATGAAAATCGCTACTCCATAAAATTCTTGAGTCCATCTCCAAGGCCACAATGACTGAAGGATTCATTCAATGACTCCCCGGTATCTTCCAAAAAGCAAGCTGAGTTCTGGCTTGCAAAATCTCTCAAAGCATTCCAATTCTTACATCTACGTATTTGACCATCTCCAACTTTCGTGGTTCCCCATGTATATAGAGGTGTTGAATCTGCATTGCACATGATCACCTAGTAGAGAGTTAGTGCTGAAATGTGAAGTGTATTGAAGTATGGATGGACACGCTTGCGTACTTGTAGTAAAGAGTCGAAGCAATGATCTATGTGCCGCGCTTGGTGTTCAGATAAAGGTGCTGGCGACTCCCGACTCTCTTTGAACATTTTTCTTATGAGCCGTAGACAATGTACTTCATGGTAGGCTTCTAGCAAGTATACTGCCTGAGTGCCATTGTTGGGTCGAGCCATGGTCTCAGGCCAATTTTGAGATTTAGCCCATTCCTGATCGACAGCGATTAAACCGTGAGTCCAAACTATGGAGTCCCATGTTTCATCTTGAATTGTCTGATCCTCAGAACTATACACTGTATTCCACAAAAATGGCTTATATTGCACTGGCATAAGAGGGGCACTGGCGTAGCTCGGAGGTGGCTCATCCTTTGACTGGTTGCTGTCTTCATGAATAGTGCAGGCTGAGCAGACTCCGTTCCCTGAGAGAAAGATACCGCTCCAGACGATATTGGTGAATATCAATAATGTGGTCACAATGTAAACACAAATCGAAAGTTGTTTTGGCTGGATGTTACTCGTCGGTCTGTTTCTAGAGTTTTCATTGTCGTGTTTTTGTTGATAACTCTCATGGTCTGTTTGACTCAAAGGGGAGTACAGATCTTTCTTAGCCATTTTGAAAAAAAAAAGTAGACCGGAATAAGGCGTAAAAAGTCAAATGGAACGTCCAAATTTCAAATCTACAATTCTGACGAGCGCGGATGCGCGTTGCGATCCTGGCTCAATCTACCATCAGAGGGGACCGATCATGCAATATGGACGGTAGCATAGAGAGTAGGAGTAAATTTCACCCAGACTCCCTAGTTGAAAGTAATCAAGTGCGGTCAGATCATGGTGATCGCCAGGAAACTAGGTACTGTGATGAAAGTCAATGCCTCCTTGACGCATATCCACTTTCTTATCCTTACGAGTAATGAGTTTTGCCCACGCCTTCCAATAGTATTAGGTAAATATCTTGAGGAGAGTCTCATGACAGATGTTAGCCACAAAAGTGGATTGCGTTATGTCGTATTATGTCTCCATATTCAGCCAATGCGTTTGCCGAAATGAGTGAGTAGTCGATGCGTATTGACGTTGGCGGAGAGCTGTTGGATCAGCTCTTCTGGGAATGAAGTTCCAACAAGGGCAACCGTGGCAAAAAAAATACATCATAATGTTCGTATAAACAATAGTGCGCTCATATAAGTCTGTGGAGCAGGAGGTGTCCTCGAAAAAAATTGTGGAGTGTCTGTTTGATTACACGTTACACATCTTGGTATTTTATTCATACATACCGACGTAAAGAATCACTTTGTGTTACAGACAATACATCCTTCACGTATTGCTTGTATTACCGTACAGTAAACGGATCATTGGAATGGCCCCACGTTTTAAAATCAAGTAGATTAACTATGTCATCTATATATGAGGACTCTTAGTACCGACATTGAAGGGAGCCCGAAGACTGGACGCCTTGGAAATTTGCACATGAAGGTGAAACCCTTTTACGCCTCCATACGAGAGCTAAGGGATGATCAGGTCTATGGAGCTACTGGCTAGAGGTAATACCGAGGCAATGATAGACAAATCTCACCTTTCTGAACCTGATCCTGCAGATTTGTCTATGTCTAGTCAGAAAATTCTTTCACCGTGTCTATGTATAATGACTAGTCGATCAATTCCAATGTTTTGTTCAGTTGCTGAAAATAATGCAATAGCAAATTAGTACCTGTCCTACTGGTTGGCAACTTTCTCTTTGGTAAGTACTGATAGCTGGCCACAAGAAGCCGATCAAGCAGAAGAGCAAGGGCAAATTGGTCTGAATGATAATTCTAGAACAACCAGTGGTTGATTACTGGCTTCTCTTGGCTTTCCTGATGGACTTTAATGTCTAAGCATCACATCCCCAGTATATTTGTCCCATTTTCCTCTCATGCACGTTGTAAATTGAGGGTTTTCCTTGTCTGTAATTTAGCATCCAATTTATGCACTTGAAAAAAATGAAAGAATGAGAACAAGTCCCCGAAATATCGACTTTAGCAATTACATTTTGACCTGAGCAAAAGCTTTAATTTGTCAACAAAAACATACATCCCATATGTAATAAAGAAAGCGACAATCAAAGGACAAATTCGCTAATGTTCCCGTAAAGAATCCATGATCTCGTCGCAGTATTCGGCGAGCATGTTCAGTATCTCATCAGCACCATCGTCACCAATCTCTGCCGGGTTGGCCAACAACCATAATCTCAAAACGTCCTCCTCAGGATAAACCAAGATCGTAGTCCAGTGCGGTACCGCTACTAATTCATACCAAGCAAAATTTACCTTATTCTTTCCAAGTAAGAGCTCAGGTTCAAACGCCATGTTACGGAAATGCACGGCAGAAGTGTACCGCGAGCCGGAGGGCCACTTGGTACATTTATTGACAGTCTCTTCCCAATCGAGTCCTTCATACAAAGTACGTTCGTCTACTTGCTGAGCAGAAGCCTCAATCAATTTTCGCAAGTATTCACGACGAGTAAGGCCGAACTCATTTCGTAATCGAAGTCTCATGGGCAACATGTTTACACATGGGCCAATCACGGTATCAAGACCCGGTAGAGAGCCATTGCGTCCCGTTGTGACGTTCCCAAATACCACATCATCATATCCTGCGAGCTTTTGAAGGACAAGTGCCCAAGCCACATTTACCACCACAGTCGGCCGTGTGCGGCGGTTCTCAGTGGAAATGTGAAAGTATGGCAGAGCATAAGTTCGAAGAGTCCGAATTTTTCCTTCCTTCGGCTTGTAGACAAGTGTTGGGGTCAACCTGGTAGTGTCACGTAAAACATCACTCCAGTATTCACGAGATTCCGCCGCGATTGATCGGCGGTAATTTAGTAGATCTGTCCACTTCACCGTGTTTTCAACTTCCAATCCATTGAAAACATTTGCTAGGTTCTCGAAGATTCGTATGGTGCACCATCCATCATTTTGCATATGAGAAAGACGTAATACTACACGTCGCCGGTTACCGTCAGATACCAAGATAATTTTGCTGAAAACATCCGTAAGTTTTGCTAGGCGACAATCATCTGCACAGTACTGGTTGAAAAAGGTCGTCATTTGGCCTGTTAATTGGACTTCTTCCACAACCAATGGAGCTTCTTTAAGGATAATCTGATAGTAGCGACCATCCTGGCAGTAGAACCGTGCACGAAGACACTGAAACTCATGTATCACAGTACGAAATGCGTCGATCAATCCAGGCCATGATACTTCAGGCGCGATATCGATATAGGCATACTGAAGCCCCAGTGGCTCTTCCTTGTTCAAAATGTAATCGACTTGAAATCCATTCGCAGGGAGAATATCTTCCACTTCGTCCGACACAATATGCAGTGTCGATGCGATGAGTTCGCTAGCAGAGTCATAACTATCCCAGACCCCGCGCAGAAGGCTATAAGGCTCGTATGCCTGAGTATTACTGGATATTGTAGAAATTCGTACCATCTTTTCTGCCAGTAGTTCTAAGTTAGAACATGAGAACACATCAGCAGGCTTCAGCTCGAATCCCTTCTCATGAGCCTTTGTTGTCAACCTCATGACTGATAGTGAATCGGCTCCTAATTTAAAGAAGTCGTCTTCTTTGCATATCAATTCGTACTTGACTCCCAGAAGCTCAGACCATAAAGCCGCGAGTGTTTTTTCTGTCGGTGTGGTCAACGGGGTTGAAGTTGTTACCATCATATTTCCCGCGACCCAAATGAGATCTCGTAAATTTAGTTGAGTGCCCATAACTTTCAAACGGCGGCGATCAGTCTTGCCGGAACTAGTCTTGGGTATGGCCGAAATTGGAAACAAAGCTTCTGGCTGTAGATATGAGGGCATTGTGGAATCAAGATAAGCTTTGAGATCCGGAATGATGGATTGAAGTGCGTTCCTCAAAACCTCCAGACAGTCTGAAGATGAAGACGATTGCAATAAATTGTCAGAGACATAGATAAGCAACGTTTGCTTGTCGTAGTCCTTTGCTCCGTGATCCAACTGCAGATGTACAATCTCAGCAGCAATTTCCCAATTTCTCGGAATGCGGCGCCGAACAGCATCCTCAATTGCAGATATATCAACTCTTTGACCTCGTAGCTTAATTTCTGCCCCAATTCGACCCATGAAAATCAAATGCATGTCATCCGTATATTTGGCTTGGTCACCTGTGCGGTAAAGCTTGCCTGACCGTCCATAGGATCCTTTCAATCCAGCAACAAGCCATGGCGGATCTTCCACAATAGGGAAGTCATATGGACCAAGATACCCAGATCCAACAATCGGTCCCTCGATCAAGATCTCTCCAACAGCACCAATTGGTGCCAGTCTATTGGGATTGCCGATTTCTGTTAACCATAAATTCGCTCCTCTTCCCCAGCCGATATGTCCAAGCTGAGAGCTTCCGGTTATTGGGGACGAAACAGAACACAAGATGGTGCATTCCGTCGGACCGTATGCGTTAATCAAACGGACTTTGTCACACCACATCTCGATATCGCCTTTCGTCAATGGCTCTCCTGTAAGAACAAGAGTTTCCAAGTGGGTAAATCTTTTCGAATCAAGCGTGCGAGCGACTGATGGCACCAGTTGTGCCCAGTTTACCTTGTATTGCTGCATAAATGCTCCGATATCTCCACGTAAAGCATCATCACTAGGTATGCACAAGCAACCTCCTTGGGTTATCGTATAGAAAAAATTGCAGATACATGCATCGAATGAATAAGATGAGCTGTCCAACGTCCTGCTTTGCCTATGAATACCATACGCTCCAGCACCAGCTTGGTAGTGGATGGCTGTAGCAAGGTTCTGATGAGTGATTTTGACTCCCTTGGCGGCTCCAGTACTGCCAGAAGTGAATACGGCATACGCCAGGGAATCCGGTTTAATATCCTTCCAAGCATGATATCGGATTCCTGTTGGGAGAATAGTCGAGTCAAATGTTTTGCGCTCAGCCAACAAGAACATTTCATCATCCACTATCAACGTGGAACGGGCAAGTCGGGAGGCTCGGTCACGTGTTGACGCTTCACATAAAACGATATCTGCATTCAAGGGTTGCATAATAGATCTCAGATGACCTTCAGGATGATTTGCATCAAGAGGAACAAAAGCGGCTCCAGATTTCAAAACTGCAAGCATTGAAACATTTGTCCACAGTGACTTGCGGAAGACGAGGGGAACGAAGGAGCCAGGACCAATGCCCATGGACAAAAGCTGATCAGACAACAATGATGAAGTTACTTCCAACTTTTGGTAGGTGATTTGACCGTCCCATGAGTCAATAGCAAGAGCGTTGGGTTGCATTTTCGCAATCTCAGAGATCGTCTCAAGGACAGATTGCGCACTGGCTGGGTTAACCGATTTGAGGTTCTGCGCCCAGATATCTTGAAGATCTTGATCACAAATTGAATTCAAAGATCCCACCATGGTGGACTGACGAGTAACCGCTTTCATCATATCCTGAATTGTGGCTTCCCACATTACGAGGACCCTTTCTAGGTCGGACTGGGAGATGACACTAGAATCAAAGCTAGCTCGAACTTTCATCTTATTGCCACTGGGCAAAAGTTCGAGCATCAAGCTGTATTGATTTAGAACAGAATATTGATTTGGAAAGCCTTCTACCTTTGTCTCGTCGATTTCTTCAAGAATATCATGCTCATTTGCGGAGCCTGAGAACTGGGCGGTGTCATTGATAGGTTGAATGACCAAGACAGTCTGGAAATCACAGGCAATCTTGCACGAACTGTTGATACGCCGGATTTCGTTGATCCCAAAATGCTCATAAGGCATTCTTCGAACATTCAGGTCTTGTATCTGTCGCAAGTAGTCTTGTATCATATAACTGTCAACCACATCAATCACAATCGGAACAGTTGTGATAGTTGGCCCCATAACGCGTTCTATGCCATCAATTGGTGCATTACGTCCAGTCAGAATCGAACCGAACCTGATTTTAGTAGTACCTGTGAGACGAGAGACCACAATAGACCAGCTTCCATACAATAAGGCGGATATGTTAACCTGAGGGTTTTGGGAAGAAGAATGCATAACCATGTCTTTTTCTAGGTAAGCAGAGGGCTGTGCGTTCTTTTTGTAGTGTGGTAGAGACGGGTACACCGTGCTTTGTTCGGCACTTGCTAGTTCCCGACTCCAGAATGAGACAGATGCCTCTTTTGGCTCATTGAGAATATATTTCACGACTGGTCGTATATCAAGGTAGGTGTCGGAATCGATGCTGTAATAGATTTTCTTGACTTCGTTTTCAATTAGTGGCAGCATCCAACCGTCATATATAGCATGATGAATTGCCCACACTAGTATACGCTGGTCCTGCTCTCTAATCAGAGCCCAGCGTGCTAACGGCGTTGTTGGACCCATGACCTGCTCAGAATTCTTCTTAAGAAACGTTTTCATGTCAGGGTATGGCACCCAAAGATTGTCAGACCCTCGTATTACGGTCTGATTTAGACCATGTTTCTCAAGGTCTACCAACCGAGTCCGAAGAATTGGATGCTTTCTTACAACCATCATCCAAGCATCACGTAGTCTGTCGAGGTCCACGTTGTTGGGAATTCGATATAGTTTCAAGCTGATGAAAGCACTCGGGTCTCTTATCGTGCCAGCTAGCATATTCTCCTGTAAAGGCGTACAAGGGTAAACGTCTTCGACTTCGTTTGGGTCTCTCACTCCGCATTTGACTGCAATTTCTTCACGCACGTTCTTCTTATCCACACCATCATGAAGTAATTCAAATGGTCTCATCGTCGTTGGTATGCGTTGTTTTCTTGTCATTTTGAGGGCAAGGTCGGAAAGCTTAGGATTCTCAAAAATAGTAGCAACATTGAAGACGGCGCCTCGATCCCGCGCCGCCGCAACAAGTCTCATGGCACTGATTGAGTCCCCATTGAGATGAAAGAAATTATCGTCGGCGGAAATAGTTTCAATTGGTATTCGTAGCGCAATTGCCCACAGTTCCTGCAGAGTGTGTTCATTTTCGGAATTTGGCGCCCTATTGGTTGTTGCTCGAGGTGCTCTTCCGCGGAATTTCTGGTCTGGCTGAGCTACAAGAGCCATTTCAGCGAGCTTCTGACGGTTTATTTTGCCGTTCGTTGTGCAAGGAATGGATGTAATGAAGTAATAGACGGACGGAATCATATACTTAGGAACGACCAATGCAAGCTTCTCGTCGAGAGTTGCAACAAGCCCAACTGTAGCGGTATCGGGTAACGTGAACTCGCATTGACGCTGATCTTTGACTGCATTTCTCCCACCTATGAATACGACGAGTCTTTGCGTATTATCTCCCGCGATGTCATTCACAACACATGCCACAACGGGGCGGTCTTTCAATATCGAACGAACATGATACTGGACTTCTTCAAGCTCTATCCTTTGTCCGTGTATTTTTACTTGAAGATCTTTTCGAGACACGAAATGAAGGTTCCCATCAGCATCATAGGTCGCAAGATCCCCAGATATGAATGAGCGACTAGACACAATGCTATGTCCGGCTTGTAGCCAAGGTAAATCATCGGTGTATGAAGCCCTCGTCAGTGTCTCATTATTGTAGTATCCTTTGCCAACAATGGGGCCTTGTATAAGAATCTCCCCAACAGCCCCCACTGGCATCAATTGACGGTGGTTATTCGGATTGACCAACCACGTAATGCAGGCGGATCCTTTGCCGATCCCGCTATTAATTGATTGGATGCTGTCTCCTCGATTTATAGTAGAAACCGAAGTGCACTCAGAAGGTCCATAGCAAATAATCAAACGAATCTTCGGTTTCCAGCCATCAAATTCACGTTGGTCGACGGATTCACCAGAAAGTATGATAGTCTCAAGTGTGGTAAGATTCGCCGGGTTGATAAGACGAGCAACAGAGGCTGTCAACTCTGTTAGTGTGGTTTGAAAGCGGTTGAGAGCTCCGATCAAATCATTGTTTCTCTCATCATCACTTGGAACACAGAGGGTACCTCCAGTTGCTAAAACTTTGAAAATCATATTCCAGCTGACGTCGAAACCGTAAGACGCAAATTCAAACGCCCTGGTATTCTCATCAAAGCCAGTATCCGCCGATTGATGCATGATAGCAGAGCATAAAGATTGATGAGTTTGCATCACGCCTTTGGGCTTTCCGGTGCTTCCAGATGTAAAAAGAATGCATGCAATATCGTCCGACTCAATTTTAATGCGGTGTTGCAGAGGATCAATGGGCTTCGTTGTGTTTCGAAGAGATTCTTCAATGCATATGACACGCAGCTGCAGCTTGGTAGCAATACTATAGGTAGAGTCGGCAGACAAGATGAAATCCGGGTTTACCTGACCGACAATCTCCTTCATTCGATTGAGCGGCAGACTGGCGTCCAGGGGCATGAAAGCGGCTCCAGATTTGAGGACGGCCAATGCGGCAACGGGCACATAACCTGATTTTTCTGAAATTATTGGAACAACGGACCCTTGTTTAACACCTTGACCGAGCAATACCCCAGAAAGACGATCTGATAGCTCGTTAAGCTGTGCATAGGTTATTTTAATGTTCCAAGCGTCAATGGCAATCTTATCTGAACGACCCATTGCTCCTATATTGATGGCCTCATGGAGAGACTGGGACGAGGCGATTGGTATGGAGGAATTCCATTTCCATATATCATCTAGGTCCTCCTGAGCAACACAATCAATGTCTGAGAAAAAATTCTTTTCATCGATCTCGTTCAAAACTTTCTCCAATCTACCACTGAGACGCTCGACATCACGTCTGTGGAGCACTTCAGGGTCAAACACAACCTGGAGATCAATAGACGACTTTCTTGGAAACAAAAACAGGACCAGCGCAAAGGTATGAAAATTGTCCCCCTTAAAGTTATCTAACTCACAGTTGGATGTTGTAAGGTGCTCCGAACTCTGATCGTCATTTTCATTCGCTGGTGTCAAGACAATAAGAGTTTGAAATTTTGCGGCAGCCTGCGTATCCTGGTTGATGCTTTGAATATTATGGGTTCCAATGTGCTGGAATGGGGCCATATCTGCTATTTCATTCTGAATGGTCGTCACAAAATCATCTACTCGCTGATTTGTCTTGGTAATATCCAGGCGAACTCGGATGGGGACTGGCGTGATCATAGGGCCCACTATCTGCTCGACGCCTTTTAGTGGAATATTTCGCCCAGTTAATGTGGAAGCAAATAGTACATCGCCTGTCCCAATCAATTTGGAGACGATTAGGGCCCAAGAAGCATACACCTTAGCTTGCAGGTTGCCGCGATGCTGTAGACTATCATATCGCAAAGTACGGCTATGTATAGCCGAAGGCCGCACCAGATGTTTTCGTGACGGCAATTTCGGATATATTGATGCCGGTGTAATGCCAACAAGACGGTTCTTCCAGTATTTCAAGGCATCTTGTTGATTTTGGGAGGACAAGTATGCAACAAAATTGGCATAGGCTGGTGGCTCTATTATGCTGTGACCTCTGTATGCTCGTCTGAGTTGATCTTCGATGACCAGAATCGACCATTCATCGTATAGAGCGTGATGTACTTTCCAAATAATTTTCGTGGTTGTGGGTTGACGAATTATGGCTAAATGTGACAATCGCCTTCCTAAGTCTGGGCTGTCAAGAACGGATGCCGCGTCATAAGATTCAACACTATCATATTCTTTCCATTCATGCCCTTTCACAACAACCTGGAGTAAGTCACCGGACTGTATCTGCACAAATCGAGTTCGCAGGATCGGAACTGTTTCTACAACAGCATCCCAAGCCTTTATAACCCTATCAATTTCGAGATTGTAGGGTACCTCGAAAACCGATGTTTTCATATATGCTTGCGGCTGCTTCATTGTCAGGGCGAATACTTCGGTCTGGAGCGGCGTCGCAGGATACATGTCCATAATAGAGTCGACAGGAACATTACAAATCATGGCTGCACGAGACTTAAGCTCGGATTCCTGTGATGAATCCAATAGAGAAAAGGCTTGGTATGAGGCGCCGCTGTCATCAATCGCGGTCATGGCAAGCGCCATTGCTGACAGTTTCGAGTTTTCCAAGATATCTCTAACTGTCAAGCTAAGGTCATGCTTACGAGCAATATTGGACAACTTCATGGCAGCGATAGAGTCACCACCGATGTCGGCGAACTCACTCTCCGGGCTGATCATCGTTGGAGGATCTCCTAGGGCTGTGATCCACAGCCCAGCCAACCGACTTTCCATCTCTGTCAAAGGATTATGAACATGGTCAACGTTGATTTTTTCTTGATTAGAGCTCATTTCCTGCATCATTGAAGCTCCTATATCTCTTAGTCTAAGGCGATCGACTTTGCCGGAAGGGTTCTTTGGAATATCAGGGAGGATAAAAAAGAATTCGGGTACCATATAAGACGGAAGACTCTTCCCAAGCTGCATTTGCAAATTCTTCTTGTCCAAAGAGTTCCTCAAAGAGGTATTTGCGCAAAATGCAACAAGCATAGGTCTTTTCGAACTAGGGTGTAGCACAACATCACATACAGATGTTACTTCGGAAAGTGCGCGTTTCATTTGGTACTCGATTTCACCAAACTCAATTCTCTGCCCACGCAGCTTGACCTGGGTGTCTGCACGCCCAAGGTACTGTATTGTGCCATCATAACAGTATCTTACTAGATCACCAGTCCTGTAAAGCCTCCCGGGGCGCCCCGGTATATTACCATGTCCACGTTGCAAAAACTTCGGATTTTCAATAAACACTGAAGCGGTCTTTTCAGGTTGGTTATAATAACCCTTAGTAACGAGAGGCCCCTCGTTGACCATTTCACCAACGGCACCAATTCCAACAAGCTCATCACTATTGGGATTGCATATCCATGACCTTACCCCTATTCCACGCCCAATATTGGATGCATTATCCGGAGATCGAAGGCGTGTGAATATGCATAGGGGCGTTGTCTCCGTTGGTCCGTAGGCACCCCATAAGTCAAGGTGATCCTTCCACATAGATACGTCCAAAGGTGTTACAGCCTCCCCACCAAGATACAGCCTTTTGACAGTGGGGATCTCTCGAGGATCAAGAGAGCGAGCCACAGACGGTGTCAAAAATAACGCTGTGCTCCGAAATGACGTGATACTTCCTGCTAGATTCTCTTTCCGCTCTTCATTGGACGGTATACAAACACACGCACCGCATACCCATCCCAGATAGAAATGCCAGATGTTAGCATCAAACGCATGGGAAGAGAAATCATATATTCGATCTTGTGGGACAAAATCGAGAGCCTGGGTCTGGGCGACAGCTGCAGATGCAAGATTTCGATGAGTGACCATGACGCCCTTCGGTTCTCCAGTGCTTCCCGAGGTGAAACAAACATACATAAGTCTGTCTGTGTCATGTGAGATCTTTTGAGGGGCTTTAGACACATTTGTTGTAAAGTTCGTGTCATCTACCAAAAAAACATTATCAGCCAACCGTGCTGCTAGCGGCGATTGCGATGGACTTGAGAGAATAATTTTAGCTTTGACGGCCGATGTGATGCTTTTAAGTCTGTTTTCCGGATAGGTTACATCCATCACACTGAATGCAGCGCCACTTTTCATGACAGCTAACATGGCAATCGGGACGATGGCGGATTTCTCGAAGCATAGTGGCACAATTGAGCCCAAGCCAACCCCTCTTGATCTAAGCCTGGTGGCAAGATGCGTCGAGTAATCATCGAGTTGTTGATAGGTAAATTGTCCATCGTGACCAATTACAGCGAGCTTGTCTGGATTTTCCTCTGCTTTGCGAGAAATAAGATCATGGACGAATTCATTGACGGTATCTGACGGCCTTGCGTTCCAATTCCAGATCTTAGCCAAGTCATATTCGGTTGCCTTATCAAGCTCATGCAAAACAGTCTGTGGAGGCAATGTACTGAAGCTCGACAGTACCACGTTTATTTGATCAAGAAGAAGTTCGACCATACCCTGGTCGATAGCGAAGTCTTTGAAAACCGCTTGAATGACAAAGTTCTTCTTGCTCAAGCTGAGGTAGAGTAATAAATAGTAGCTATTGAAATTTCGAATGTCATCCATTGTCTCATCGACATGAAATAAGGAATCACCATCCACCCTGTCCTCGTTTTCTAAGAACACAAGAAGTGTCTGAAAGCTGCAGGCGGCTTTCGCGTCTTCGCTGATTCGTCGAATGTTCTGTATACCAAGGTGCTCATAATTCTGTATCTCAAGGCCAATATCACGAATTTGTGTCAAGAAAGAACAAATTGTCTGGTCTCGATCCACACTCGTAAATATAGGAACTGACGCAATCGTTGGTCCGACCAATGCATCAATACCTTCCAGGCTGACATTTCTACCTAATCGCGTCTCACCGAACAAAACACTCTCTCCTCCGGTGTGTCGAGCCATTACTATTGCCCAAGCAGCACGTAGGAGTACAGCTGGAGAGTACCCTGGCGGAAGGACGTCAGGAAATAGAAACTCTTTGCGGATTACTTTATCCGCAGTAACAGTCAATTGTAGATTCTCGGCCATGGGGGCTTTGGGAAATATTGAAGCATTTGAAGCTCCCTTGAGATATAAATCCCACCATTGGGTACTTTTCTGTTCTTGTTCAACGATGAATCCTACAAAAGAACTGTACTTTGGGTTGACATAGATACGATCCTCAGCACGGTAGTATGCCGAAACTTGTCGAAGGATCAGATCCATACTCCATGAGTCATACACTGCGTGATGCATTGTCCATATTAGACTAGGTGCAGAATCATTCGACGACGAGTTTGAAACTCCATGAATCAAACTGAGACGGAAAAGAGGGTCACCGGGTCCCATTGGAAGTTTCACTGACTCTGATAAGTAATCCGCCACTGTATCATACCGCTTCCATTCCTGAGGCTGTGGTTTGATAACAACCTGGAATAGGGCGGCGGTCTCCTCCTCGTGTATGAGACGTGTTCGCAGTATGGGGTTTCTATCAATGACAGTAGCCCATGATATGAGAACTCTGTCTAAATTGAGCTGATCACTAAATCTTAACCCCGTGTGTTGCACGTAAGCTGAAGAGTCTCCAGCGGTCATTGCAAAGACACCCTCCTGAAACGGTGTGCAGGGGTACATATCATCAATTGCTTCTTCAGAAACTCTGCAGGCGTTTGCTGCCGTTGAAATAAGCGACTTTCTATCGTGGATAGACAAAAGTGAAAATTGGGGAATATTTTTGGAGGTCGCCTCGGGCCTACTTTCGTCATGCACCGCATCACTGGCAAGCTTGCATAGTTCTTGGAATTGAGAGTGTCGAAAGACATCCGAGACAGTGACGAGCAGGTTTTTCAGGCGACAATACTTCACCAGTCGCATTGCTGAGATAGAATCGCCTCCCAGTTGAAAAAAGTCGCTCTGCCGCTTGATTCTGGACTTCTCAAGCTTCAGAACCCGAGACCATATGTCAAGGATCATCAACTCCATTTCAGTCAAATCCGTTGCATCATCATGATGGTTTCCATGCTCGAAGGCTATGATAAGGTCTCTAGGTAGTAGAGAAGCAAGTCTCTTCAGCTTCCGTCGATCTATCTTCCGCGAGGGCGTCAGAGGAAGATGAGATGCCCTTAAGAATACTGTCGGAACCATATATCCTGGAAGAACATCTCTCAATTTGATCAATAATTCCGAAGGTACAACCTGAGGTTGCAGGTTTGTATCTGTGGCGGCATCCTTGAAGTTATGGGGAAAGAAGAAAGCAGTAAGCGAGTCCGTCCCTTCATATTCAATCAAATCAACAATAACATCGTCCGAAATATTTATCAGTTGTCGAATCCGAAACTCAACCTCTTCAAGTTCTATGCGTTGGCCGTGCAACTTTATCTGATCTGTCGCCCTTCCAATATAGATAAGTGTACCATCAGGTCGATACCGAACGAGATCTCCTGTCCTGTAAACCGTTCCATGCCTTCCAGAAAACATCGATGAGCCTCGAAGCAACCACTGAGGGTCTTTTATAAAAGCGTCACTTCTTGTATTGAGATACCCAGGACTTACGATGGGCCCTTCAATGACAAGCTCGCCAATAGCTCCAATTGGGGAAGGCTCCTCGGTATCGAAATCGACCACCCAAGTCGAGCAAGCAACACCGCGTCCAATATCTGAGGCACGACTAGGGTCATTAACATCTTCTTGAATTGTACAGATCTGGCATTCTGCAGGGCCGTAGGCGTTTATCAGGGCCACTTTTGTGCTCCATTTCTCCACTATCTCTCTGGTCATTGCTTCACCACTGAGCACGAGAGTCTTAAGACTTGGAACTGCAGATGGCTCGATCAATTTTGCGACTGATGGTGTAATGTCGGTCCAGTTTGCTCCTAGTCGCTCAAAAGAGCCCTCGATGTCGTTTTCTCGGTCATCCTCGCTCGGTATACAGAGACAGCCGCCCAAAGTCAGAGCCATCAGCGAGTTATGCACTGCAATATCAAAACTATAAGAGGCATAGTCATAAATACTTGAGTCGCTTGATAACTTTAACTGCTGCGCATGGATCTCAATGGTCGAAGAAAAGTTTTCATGAGTAATTTTGATACCTTTGGGCACTCCAGTGCTGCCGGATGTGAAAACTATAAAAGCTGTGTCTGAATAAGAATTGTGGCGTCCCGCAGATATGGAGTAATCGGTCCCGTCATTATCATCATCACCCGACAGGTTGTCACAATTTATAATCTCTCTTGTGAGCTCTCCTGCAAGGGCCGTCGCAGGACCAGCTGTGACGATGCATTTTGCCTTGACTTCCTGGGCAATAATCTGTAGACGCTTCCTCGGTTGATGTCGAACATCCATCGCTACGAAGGCTGCCCCAACTCTCAAGATGCTAAGCATAGCAACGGTTGCCCACATGGATTTCTCCATGCATATGGGGACAATATCATCCCTGCCAACTCCTTGTTGTCGAAGCTTTCTCTCAATCTGTGCTGCTAACCTGTCAAGCTCTTTATAAGTCAAACTGCCATCCCAAGCTCTAATAGCCATTGCTTGAGGAGATGTGCCCATGTGTTGGTTGATTAGTTCGTGAACAAGTTTCTGCTTTGGCACATGCTTAACAGCATTCCACTTCCAGATCGTGTCCAGATCTTTACTGCTGGCGTACTGTATTTCTTTTAAATTTTTTGCCGTGTTTTCTGAGCGAGAAATCTCCTGGGCCAAATGTGCAAGCTGATCTAAAAGTAATTTGATTTGAGATGTCTGGATCACATTTGAGTCATAATTGGCCTCTACTTCAAGGCAGGAGCTTTCTTGACGAACAGTGATCATCAAAGCATATTCGTTGAAGCTGGATAGTGAAGAACTTAAATTAATATTTTCCAACTGATTCCTGAGCTCCTGCTCAGCAATACTAAGCGTAGAATGCGACTGCTTGTCAATAAGCTTTCGATTATTTGGCGGGTGAACGATGAAAAGTGTCTCAAATCTGGTTCCATGCTGCGTCTCCAGATTAATCTTTCGGATATTTTGGAGACCATAATTCTCAAAAGGCATGGAGTCTATGCTTTGGTTCTGAATGGCAAGGAGAAAATCCTCAACGCTCATGTGTCCATGAAATTTCACGCGAACAGGAACCGTGCATATGGTAGGGCTGAGCAGATCTTGAATATTATTTATCGGAACGTTGCGACCTGATACAGTAGCACCAAAGGTAATATCCTCGCTGCCCACAGTCTTAGAAATGGCTAATGCCAAAGCTGCTCTCAGCAAGGATGGTGTGGATACTGTCCGGATGGAACTTCGCAGAAGTGGCATCGTGATCTTTGTTGATCTTTTCGCAGATGGATCCGCGATGTTCTGAGACACGGCAGGAAAGATCGTGGTTTCCTTACCTCCCACGAACTGCTCGGCCCAGAAGTTCTTCGCGAGTTGTTCGGGAAGGCTTCGGATATATTTGATGAATACATTGAAACTCAGGCCTTCTTCAAGCCGAACGCCCTGATATGCCTTGAATAACACCTCACCCAGTCGGGGAAGGGTCCAACCATCATGAATTGCATGGTGCATTTCCACAGTGAGATATGTCGATCGTGTGTTCTTGTCACGTAGGAAGCTATAGTGCAACAAACTTGTACCGAGTCCCATTGACAGATTATCATTTTTTGAACTGTAACTGTTTGAGTTGCTGATCTTGATTCCCCACGAGGCTCCGTTGTCTTTCAAGATTACCTGGACAAGGCCCTCGGTTGGCAGATCAATGATGCGTGTACGTAGAATCCGATGGACTTGTACTACTCTTTCCCAGGCTCTCTTCAACCTTGAGAGACTGATATTATGCGGTAGCTGCAATGTGGCCCTTCCGACGTAGCTTGCTGCTTTCGAGTCGCTAGACGTGATTAGGCCCTCTTGTAACGGCGTACAAGGATATACATCTTCGATGTTCTCCCGGTGGGTATTGCAAGCCGAAGCAACCTCATCTAGATTGATTTCACTTGACAGTAGAGAAAATTGTTCTGGTACCTGAGGAAGGAAGTTGGCACTAAATTTGCTCCATGATGCCAAGTTTGAGAGCTGTGGATGTCGGAAGATTGTAGCTACATCAAGCTGAACGCCTTTTTGTGACGCCAATCCGACAAGCTCTATTGCTGCTAGAGAATCTCCGCCATATTCAAAAAATGAAGAATTCGGATTTATGGAAGTCAAGTCTGTGTCAAATAGCTCGGCCCAAACATGTTTCAATATTTCTAAACGGTTGTTCTCTTCGGTAGTCCTGGTACAGTCACTTTTGCTGACACTATGGTCAGATTCCTCGTTGACATCTTCCTCCCCAGTGACATGTCTGACTGCATCAATAGAACCGTCTGTAATTTTATATCCGATAGTTTTTTCCTGAGGCTGAATGGAAGCCCCAGATTGTGGATACGTGAATGAGCTCGACGATAAGGAATGCACTATCTGCTGTAATTCACGATGGTTTGTCTTGCCAGTCAATCCAAGTGGTATTTGGTCGATCTGAATGTAAGTGCTGGGAATCATGGCCGGATGTAGTTTGCTCTTCAATACCAAATCCCATTGATTGACTGAAGACTGCAACAATCCTGCAATGCGGCTTTGATATTCTGGGAGAACGATAAAAACAACAAGGGAATCGACGCGGTTGTTAAGTTTCACCACTTCTGGAACCCACTGAATGGATGGTGGGATTACATGTTGCAAGTGAGCTGACAATTCAGACAGTTCGACTCGTTGTCCACGAATCTTTACTTGCGTGTCTCTTCGTCCAACAATATCAATCATGCCATCTCCTGTATAACGTACAAGATCTCCAGTCCGGTACAGCCTTCCTCGGCGGCCCACCGCTAAACTTCGACAGTCTCGTTCCATCCACTTCGGTGTCTCTATAAAACTTGATAGAGTAGCTTCAGGGCTATGGAGATAGCCTAATCCGACCAGAGGACCTTCTAACAACAATTCACCAATTCCTCCAACAGGCGCAAGGCGGTCAGTATTGAATGGATCTACTATCCAACACGCACCTAGACCCTTTCCAATTATCGAAGGTTTGGCAGATAGTAGGACATTCTCATTGGCCACACTTGTCACCGTGCATTCAGCCGGCCCATATGTATTCATCACACGGGTAGAAGTTCCTCTCCATCTAGACAAGGCGTCCTCACTACAAGGCTCGCCGCAAAGTTCAAGTATTTCGAGAGTAGGCGAATCTGAAGGACGCAAAATCTTGCTTATGGACGGAGTCACCATGGCGTACGTGATTTCATAGTTCCGGACTAATCCAGCCACGTCATTTTTGCACTCCCATGATGAGGGGATACAAAGACAAGATCCCGTCAGGAAACTAAGGAAGATATTTGCCAAGGAAACATCGAATGAGTATGATGCCCATGCAAGAATCCGGGATTTGTGGTCAAGATTCTGAAGATTCCTCATTGAATTTACATAAGAGCAAATGTTGGAATTTTGAATCATCGCCGCCTTCGGAACTCCGGTTGTTCCAGACGTAAAGACAACATAGAGGAGATCAGATGGGCTAATACACTGCGTTTTCGGAAAGGGAGAAGGAAATGGATTGTTGTCGAGATAGTCTTCATCAACAACAACAATACTAGAGTCAAAACATTGCGCTTTATCATATTGGGAGACTGAGCATAGGACAACAATCTTTTCCTCTGAAATGGTATCTGCAAGCAGTCGCACTCTTCCTTCTGGTAGTACCTCATCCACCAAAAGAAATGCTGCTCCTGTTTTTATGACAGCCCATATTGCAACAGGAGTCCACTTAGATTTCTCAAAACACAATGGCACAATATTTCCTTTGCCCACACCAAGGGATATAAGATGCGATGCGAATGTTGTCGACAAGCGGTCGAGCTCTTGGTAGGTTAGATCACCATCCCAAGCATTGACCGCGGGGGCAGTAGGAGATTGTCTGACATGGTTGGCGAAACTTTCCAAGGCGGTACTTTCTACTGCCTCTGAAATATGTGCATTCCATTGTCGAATTTGTTGCTTGTCGATTTGAGTAGCGGTCTCTATATTGTAGACCAAGGCATTTATGTTTTCTCGTCGTTGAATCTGGCAAATAACGTGCTGTAGCTGTTCCAGCATTCTCCGGCAATATGTGTCGCCCGACCCCGCAGATATCGAACGGGCAGAAATCTGGACGTGTCCTTCGTCATCCGATATGACAGCATCAAGCCAGAGGTCTAATTTTTCTTCAGGGAAGCCATTTGTAACCAGCAAGTTCTTGCTTGTAGATCCATTTTCTGGACTTTTTCCAACTGACTTTTCAAATCTGGTATCACGAATACGTAATTGAGTGCAATGAGATACATCATCTTTGGTGTCGTGCTCATAGCAATCTGATGCTAGCTGCTTTTCTATTTCCTGGTATAGTTGCTTGACTGTAGTCTTCTCCGTCAAATATAGATGAAGACAGGTAGGGTGGCCAGCGTTCGGTCTTATCAAAGAAAAAGACACGTCAAAAGATCCAATATAATCTTTCAGCAATATTGTCCAAGCTGCAGATATGTCTGCAGCGGTCACTGAGTTCTCCGCCCGAAAATTGTAAGCGTACATTTCTTGCATGATACACAGCACTCGTTCCTCAAGTACGTAATTTGTTAAGGGGCATGATAAACCAAGGGTTATTCACGACACATAAAAGCGAAAATTCTATAGCACATCTGAAAAGCCAAATAAGTCTCTCCAATGCAAACAATGCAAAATGCGTTTGATCTTTCAGGCGTCGTTTAGAGAGAGATCGGTCATAATTTCCGCTAGGTACGGTGGATGTCCGCCTGGCTTGCTTTCTTAGTCTTTGCCGCCATCCATGAAACTCCACAACAATTATGGGCGAACAGCCTAATTTTGAGCTTTTCAGGGTGGCCAAAACGCTTGCTGTGGGAATGAATGTCATGACTATGATTGAGGCGTATTGATGTGGGGTGATAAGCTACTCAGTTCGTGAAATTATGCAAGTCTCCTTCAGCTCTGTGATCGTAATTTCAGTTTGTGAACATGAAAAAGTGGTACAATCGAGTGCGTACCTTTAGTCCCTTCCATGAACATAAAGTAATTACTGGGCTAAATATATTACAGCGAATAGTTACATGTGTTACTTTTCTCATTTAATACAGTATGATAGGCGAATGTTCTACCATAACAGGGAAGCATTACGATCCTCTGTATCTTTATCTCCAATGATGAACCTGCCCAGTTTTAATTTACAGGTTACCGGTTTTACATTACGGTACCAACCGCAAAAACCAAAACGCTTGTAACTTTACGGTATGTATATTTTCTTTACAACAATACGGTAAGGAAGGTGTATGGAGATTCTTACTGTTACGTGTTACATCATGCAAAACAGGGAAACGGGTCAAAATAGGTCTGATCTTCCAACATCTTCCGAAATTAAAAGAAATAGGCACTTACATAGAATTGCCAAGTGATGAAAAAAAATAGAAATGATCTCCACTGAGCAGGACTACGCTGATCCTTCCAACGCTGCCTTGCAGCCATTAGGAGACTGAAAACGGAAAGGATATGACTTCTATTTTTGTCCACTCACGACAGCCCCGGCTCTAGAGCTATCGATACCTCGCACTTCTATTGCATGGAACTGTTGCCTTGCTTTGCCTTTTCCTTCCTCTGATAGTAATAGAGAGGTTTAATTGGGACAATGTCAGAATATACACATATTCCATCATCCGACGATGATATATTCAGTCAAAAAGATGATCAAACAGAGAGTGGTAATCTTCTAGGTAATGGCCACAGTCCCCAGATAGACCAGCGTCGTATTTGGCCATACATTAAAAGACAACCTTTGCTCTACGCTGTCGTTTTCGCTTTCATCTTTCTCTTTGGTTTGAATATTGTTCTGGCTACATCACTTTATCTGAAGACTAGAGACGTTGGTGACAAATATGGCAAGTCACATCGTACGTTCCCTGTCTTAGACACCAAAATTCTGCCGTTATATCTAACTGCTCTTAGTGAACTCCAATGAGACTACTTATTTCACAACAGAGAACGATTGTGCTCGGCGCCTCTCTGTATACTGTAGGTTTTGATTCTCTTTCTTGTCACCTGGATCAGAGTCAAATATATAGAACAGGTCACTAATGTTCCTCGACGTCAATAGCTCCTGCATATGATGCCATTGAATACCTGGAAAGCGGACTCTACGATGCCTTCGGAGGCGATGAATACATAGGTCGACCAACTGAGCGTACAGAGAAGGCGTGGAAAGGGCTATGGCAACGTCAGTGGTTTTCTTCTTTAGTCAAGCTTAAATCAAAGACAATGACACAATGAACTGACAGTCCTACGGAACCACTAGATGAAGCCATCTTAGTCGAAGACTGGGCGATGCCGATGCTAAACCGCACCAAGACTGAACTCAGGTTCTATGAATACGTCGAAACCAGTGAAGCTTCCGGCTACACTGCGTGGCTGGAAGTCTACCATCAACTGGCATGCTTGGTGAGTCAGTATATGCCTGCTGAATGCGTTTCGTCATTCTGTACCCGACTAATACGATATCGTCTTCTATTAGGACCTTATTCGGCAATACAGCTGGCTAGTAGCCGGCAACTTATCAGTTGAACTTATCCCTGAAGAACTGAAGAAATCCCCTGAGGAAAATCGAATGCACGTAGATCAATGCATAGATACACTACGCATGAGCCTGATGTGTCACGGTGACACCACCCCTATGATGATCACCCAAGATCGAGATGTGAAGTCTGGATACAGGGGAGATCCAAATGGCCATGCTAAATGCCGCAATTTCTCGAAGCTACAGGCGTGGACAGAGAGCCATGGCGTTGAGCACTGGAAAACCAGTAGTGACTTCCACAACCATGGTGACCGTAGCTAGACAAGTAATTTCTGGACAGCAGGAAGAGATGACAGCAATTGATTTGGTGAAATATCTTCAACAAATGTCAACTTTGAAAGAACTCAAAACAAATACCTCCAATCTAACTTATTTTTCTCTTGCATAACTTTTCCAATCTTCCCAAAAATTTTGTAAACATAATACACATGATACTCCTTTTTCATATGTAGCCGAAGCTAGTGGTGTGGTAGCGTTTCGTCTAGTAGAATGCATAAGTTGAACGACTTTCGGCGCACAGGAAACTACTAAGCAAAGGTATATGAGGAGCCAGAAATTGGAGTATCAATAAGTCGAGTCATTACACGAAGGTGTATTTATGGAATGAAGTGAGATTTTTGATTTCAAGAGTGATTTGAGAGGCCTAGATACCTAGTGACTGATAGAAAGAATGACTATGGCGACCATGTATGGGATACCATATCAGCTCGTTGGTAATTCACAAAAAGCAGTAAGGACAGTGTTTAATATGTACGGTTGCAGAAAGACAGTTGGGGATTTTCCCAAGCGTATAGAATTAGAAAGCATTTTAGTGTTAGAGTGATTGACAAATACTGAAGCTCGTCCGAGAGCAATGACAATGAATGTATCGAGTAAGTTGCTGATTTAAGTTCGCGATTGGGCTGTAATGCGATCAACCACTGTTTTCGATACGCAATAATATATTGAACGAGGTTGAAACTGGGCCGGCTGTCAATATATGACAGTTCCTAGCAGTCGACCCGTTGCAATAACTTTCAAACAGCACGTTTGTCATCACAGAGGGCGACTGAAAGATCAGAAAACGGCGACAAATCGGCAAGGGTGGCCACAGGATCCGCTGCTTCTAAAAGAGGGAAGGCAGCCAAAGAGAACGGCCGTTGAGACACGTATTTTGTATGTCAAAGACTTGAACTATGAGATGAGTCTAAGAAATGGCTCAATATCTATAGAAAAAGTCGTAATTTGGAAGATTTTCTGGACTGGCAATAATCACATCAAATTATACGAAAAGCGCCAATACGGAGTACACACCTACACACCTATCATCGAGCAAAATCCAGAGAGTGCACTCGCACTAACACGCCATCACGATAGTCATCGAGAAACGATCGAATTGTCCGGATTCAAGGATTTGCTGAACATGAAGGGTGCACAGGTGGTTGCAAGTGTTGGTTAAACTCACCTCTCTGCAGCAGAAATGTGCCTCTTTTAAAGAACTAAACGCTAGGCAGCGTTTTCGAAAGGAAAATACACATATGTCATAATACAGGTACTAACCTTGAAGCCCCATGAAAAAATTAATAATAGATGACAATATAAAAATATAACTAATCGTATAGCAGACTGGAATTGACTATGTGAGAGTGAAAGAAAATGTCTATACAGAATCAGAACAATATGCCAAATTCTCCTCGAGTGTCTTATGATGTGAAATCAGAAGATAGCACAGCTTTACAAGATTTTTATTCCTGGCAACTCATCATTCAAAATAAACACATTGCCATCACTTTGCATCATTCAAGATAGCATTGTTGTGTTCCTCCACGGCTTTAGCATCGGCTGCAATTTGTTCTGGGGTCAAGTCGCTCCAGCCTTCTGCAAGGTTACCAGTATTCACACGGCCAAGATCCTTGAACGCTTTGATCAGAGGCTCATAAGGACTACCTGGTGGACAATAAGTATAGCGGTCCAACTGGTGAGCTATTCCATGATCTTCTCCAGCGCGTGTGATGTTAACAGTCTTGTAACAAGCGGTACGTTCCTGAACCCATTTGCGAAGTTTTCCCCAATCACGACACTTCCGGGGCTGATTTTCTCCTGTTAGAAACTGCTCACCATGGTCTTTCGTGAAGTCCATCAGATCATTTGCGTCACAGATGATATCCTGGCGCAAAAGATCCAGGCAATGCTCAATGTGATGATATGATACCAGTGGTTTCTTGCCCATATGTGCATCGTAGGTATACGCATGTAGTAGAACCTAAAACCAACATTAGAGAAACAACGCCACATTTTTGCAAAGAAATTCGAGTTTTCATCCATTGAAAAGTAAAACTTACCGTACAGTGTAGGGCATGGTGACCGTGGCTGACATACATGCCCTTGTTGGCATCCCAAGGAAAGACTTTTGACCTTGGCAGGCCAAGCTTGTCAGCTTCCTCGTGTGTGATTGCAACAAACCCTTCACTTATATCGATAGCGTTCCAGAGAGCGTCCTTCTCCTCATACGAATGTTCGTCATCGCTGTATTCAGTGGCATAATGGAATGGTATCTCAAGCTCGTTTTCTGGAAGTTTGGCTGAAGAAAATCGTCGTCGTTAGTCAATTGATCGACGTAAAAATTAGGGAATCCCTCATTAATACCATATAAAGACCGGCATTGCGGTTTGCGAACAATGACATATACCGCTTGAAGACAATTCAAGATGATAGATATGATCAATACAGCAGGCAACAGTCTGGCAAGAGTTCGGTTTGATCTTTTTTGCACAGAGGGAATTCCAGAAACAAGTCCTTCACGTTCTTCACTAAGGGAACGACTTGAATTAGAGGTCATACTGTCACGAGATTTGTCGCTATAAGGTCTCGGAGTATTATCCATCATGATAATTAGCGCTCTATCAGCGTTTAAGGAAGAAAAACCAGTCGGTGGACCAGAACAGAGAAAATCAAATACCCTGTTATACAAAAATGCTCTGCAAACAAAGGAATCACAAAGGAAGCGCCGGAATATCTGGGACAGATTGAAGGACTACCAGTCAGGCGATCTTCAGCCAGCGGACTTGCCCAGAAAGATTCCCACCAATATCGTACCGTCACATGCCTGAAAAGCAGAAATACGACAGCACATTTCGTCACATTTTCAGAACCCACTTTGCCATTCTGCAAAATCATTCTAAAGTGTACAGTAATAAGGCGGATGCAACATTCAACATGCTCATCGTTTTAGTAAGACGAAATACATCCCACTGAATCGCTGTTTTGACCGGAGGTATTACCATGTATTATATTTGGTATTACATCTAACCCTGTAAGTAAGATCTATTCGCGCTGTAATTACGGCTAGTATTGTAAGAAAGGCTTTCTATGTATGTATCAGTTATTGACCGTAGCCATTCCCTAGCAGTGGATTGTTCTATGTATGCATAATGATCATGGCCAGGAAGGAAAACAGCAAGTGAGAAGTTTCGACCCACGACCTCAAAATTGATGTTGGTTGATTCGATTTAGTCACAACATTAGATCTGCGCTTCCAAATCCAAGATGATCCGCCAAACAAGTGTCATCGAGTATTCATTCACAATATATCTCAGTAAGGCTAAGTAGCATTGCATTAGCGCTGCCAACACAGGCGACTTCGTATAGGCTCAATGTGGATTCCAAATGTTGAATATAGCTCAGATACGGCCCCCAACCGTAGTAAATGAGAGACAGCTGGGCGCATCTAGCTGAGCTTGATCCACAAGAATTGAATAAGCGGTATTAGTGATATTTCTATCGTGATATCAAAAGATGCCACAAGTTTATGAAGATACGCGCTTGTTCTCTGGGATATATGCGGGACATACGCGTAGTCATATAATCTAAACCCACAAGACCCACCCCTAACATCCCCTAAGCCCAACCCCCGAAAATTGGGGGACATGTAACATTTATATTAAACATATACCCTATACAAGCGGTATATGATAAATTCGGTATTTTACGAGTGTTCCAAGCGACTTGGTATCTACCAGTCCCAAAAAGGCAATTTAGCACGGAGTAGCGCCAACAAGATACCATAACTAAAGTGGATTCAGGTCTGTGACGCTCCGGATGATATCACGCTCCGCTATATCGTAACCCGCCAAGAGCCGCCATTTACCTGAGAAGAGATATTAGTTCAAGTGATATTGAAGCCCCGTATTGAGCTAATCATCCAGTACATAGTTAGTTAACTTAACTAGTGTGGTTAGAGTGCTTAAGGAGAGATAGTCCATTCCAGGTATTGTCATTGAAGGTGTTACATACCAAGGGTCTTAGCGTTCGACTAATATAGTATGGTAATGTAATGTCAACGATGAGGGATTCAGAGAGAGCTGCTTTAATCCTGCCGCACTGTGTCGTGTGTTGATTATGTAGTGATTGACTAGGTGACTATCAAGATAGGCCCCATTTAACAGATTATTGACTTCACAATGATAAATTTACATAAGCCAGTTTGTAAGAAATACTTGATTTTGTGTAAGTATTGGTTTAAATCAATTACCATCTCAGATAGTGCATTACTCAGAAATGAAAGCACTGTCTTTAAGGCCATTTTAAGATCAGCTAATACATTAGAATCACGTATTTTATAATTCGTAGCAACTGAGCCATCTCTATATTGGAAAAAAAATAATCCAGTTTTGATACAGTATATCTAAATTCCATGGCTATCATGAGCAACAAGACCAAAATCTGGAAGTCTCATCCTGCTTTGACAACATTTGGTTTCCAAGGGTAATTTCCTCTGTTGCTTTTTTCCTTTTACTGAGTTTTGCTTTCAATTTGACTAAAGATACATTAGCCTTCAAGTCACGTTCTCTCTTCTATCTGGCCAAGCTGTTGTACGTCCAAATAGTCCGCTATCTGTGTTACCAATCACTGATTTTTGACGAGCAACATCTTAAATTGCTTGGATTGAGTCCAACTGAAATTGCGATTATCGTACTGTCAGGCCCAATATGTGGTGCTACCCTTCAGCCATATTTTGGCAGTTGGAGTGATATGTGTCTTTCCATATGGGGCAGGCGAAGACCTTTTATTCTTAATGGAACGGCTGTTCTAATCGCCTCCATACTTTGCTTAGCATGGGTTGATCCGATTACGAATATAATTCTAGTGAGCTCCGCTTCCTCTTCATCTCTGGCATCAGAACAAATAGATGCAAAGCTCTTGAGAAATGTTGTCATGATCATTGCTTTTTTCTGCATGTTTGTTATCAATGCCGCAACCCAAGCCCTTCAGGTAGGACTACGTGCTCTTATTACAGACTATGGTAGCTCAAGACAGCAAACCGAAGCGAACACTTGGGCTGGCAGGCATGTCAATTTTGCCGCAGTTCTTGCTTTCTCCATGGCTTATTTTGATCTACCTCAACATCTGGGCATCCTGCAAAGATCGAAATTCACATCTGTGAGCATCCTAACGGTACTTTATTTGTTGCTCTCAGTCATGACGACATGTTTTTGTGTGTCAGAAACGCCCTGTGGTGCCCAGGAAGACTTGAATGAGCGGCAAGGACTAGACATTTTCATTGTGCGGAAAACTTTCTCCAGCCTGACCAGAAATATCAAGCTCGTTTTTCTCGTTCAGTTCCTTGCTTGGTTCGGATGGTTTCCCTTTTTATTCTATATTGTTACGTAAGTCAGTCTTTATATCTTGAGACCTCATCTGGAAAATAACTGAACAACCTCGCAGTTACATCGACAGTCTTCGTAAGTTGCTTTCGCCACTTCAGTACGCTACTTCTAATCTTTATTCTATCATCTGCATAGAAAATACAAATACGGGAGGAAGATACCAGGATCTCGGTTCGCTGGCTCCTTTATCATATAGTCTGGTTGCTTTATTAGTTGCCATGATACTGCCTACCGGTCCATACGGCAATAGAACTTCATTGCCAAATTCTCCACCAGAAATATCGATCTGGTATGACTTCATCACCAATCCCTATAATCTATGGGTTGCCTCCCAAGGCGTCTTTGCAATCTCTATGCTAGGAGCGACTTTGGTGAAAGTACCACTCGAAGCGGTCATTCTTTTCTCTATCGTTGGTTTTAGTTGGGCAATTTCCTCACGCGTACCTTATTCAATTCTGAGTAATGAGCTTCGTTCACTGCGCCAGACTGAAGATGGCGAGCAATTTCTGGCGAGGAGACAAGGCTTGGTACACGGTCTCCATAACGTTGCCATTTGTCTCCCACAGATCATTATAATGCTGCTCATGGGTGTCTATTTCAAAATAACCGAGAAAAATGGAAATTCTGGGTCCAGGACTGACGACGAGCAATTTCTCGAAGTTGCGATGTTTTTACGCATTGGTGGCTTAATTTCACTATTTGCTACATATTACGCTACAAAGTTGGCCCAAATAGCTTGGGTCCAAGATGAATCTGATTGTCAGCAGTTTCTGATGGAAGACGTGAGTCGCCTTTCTTGGGAGTCAACTCGGGATGTGTAACCTGTTACCACATTAGCTCCTACTGAGATAGCCCAAATCAATTTTATGGATCTTCTTGAACCTCAGTACCTAGCTAATGTATCTCTGGAGAAGCATAAAAAACCCTTCCTTATATCCTGTTTCTAAATTTAATATTATTACCTGCTCTTGATCCTGTGGTCTATCGATCAGCTTTTACCAATGAATCAATTCCGATCAAATTTTCAAAAGCAAAGGATAGTGTAGGATCATGATTGCGAATTCATTTTTATTTTTCACACGTGGAAACCTTGGAACGTGGACTTAGGTCGCTAGCTAGCAACATATTTGTGACAAACAAATGAAACCACTCTTCATCAGTCCCTCTTTCAATGTGCTACAAGGACACCTGGGTCCATCATGGATTCTTTTCTTATGTTCTTATGTACGATAATAAAGGTTGGCACCTGGACACTATTCTAAACCTGACTGATTTCGATCGATAGATCGATCCGAAAACCTACTCAGTTTCCAACGGCACACTTGTAAAATTAAAAAACAATCTTTAAAATCCTTCTAATAAGGCCTCTGTGGAAAGCATGTATCAATCGCGGATATAAGCTTTTAGCCCTTTAAGCCTTGCCTTGGCCGCTTCTAAGACATCATCTTCCTTGCAGACAGAGAATCTCAAATAGTCCTGACCTAGATGCTCATTTTCTGGTGAATAGAAAGCTGACGGCGGGATAGATGCAATCCCAAGTTCCATAATCAAGAAATACGCCAAATAAAAGTCCCGGCGACGGTCTAGTAACTTAGAAGGAAATCGATAGTTCGCCGGTATTTGCACTTTAGCCATATTTGCAAGCACAAAATAGCCACCTTGAGGATTGGAGTAAGGGATACCAAGCTCTTTAAAGACTTCGCAGAAGCGGTCAATTTTGGATCTCATTTCAGCTCGAGTCTTTGGCCAAAACCCGTTGATTAAAGCTTGTTCGTAAGCAACCGCAGCTGCTTCCTGTAGAGGGTTCGGTGTGCAGTAGCAGATGCGTAGATGCGCAACAGCAACATGGTCTATCAAATCCGCAGGCCCAATCACCCATCCAATACGCCAACCTGTACAGTAGAAGTCTTTGCCCACGGATCCGACGGTAAAAGTTAAACGTTCGATTTCAGGACTCAAGGTTGCAATATGTGTGAAAGGAGCATAATCTAGGCGGTCATAAACCTCATCACTTGCAATGATGATATTGTGTCGGACACATAAATCTCCAATATACTGAAGCTCTGCTCGTGAAAATACCTTGCCCGTTGGATTGTGCGGGCTATTGACAATGAGCATCTTGGTCAGTGGAGTAACAGTCTCCTCTAATTTCTGAAAATCGATGGTCCACTCAGATGAGGAGCAAACCTCCGTCTCGCCCTTGATCGGTGGGTGCAATGGAACGCATTTGAATGAAGCACCAGTCATCTTGATGCCATCTATATATCTATGATGATTGTTAGAAAAATGTTAACGTATCCTTGAATCATAAGCAAATAACATAAATCTAATGGGTGTAATAATAACTCACTGGTCAAAATACGGCTCSAAWAGGATGACTTCGTCACCAGGATTTAGAAACGCCATAAAGACACTCAGCATTCCTACATGGCTCCATGGTAAGTCTTATCTCTACTTCCTGAAAGCCTTACACAGAATATGAGACCAAGTATTAGAAAGTACCTTCATTAGCTCCTGTGGTGATGCATATTTCTGAAGCAGCATCCAGCTGTCTACCCCAGAGTGGAGTATAAGTCTTTGACAGCGCTTGTCGAAGTCGCAGACGGCCTTTAGTTGCAGCATACTGGTTGCATTCGAGTTGGTCTATGGCTACCTTTGCGGCATCCCTAATGAATAGAGGTGGATTATAGCCACTGAATAACAATTCCAGGAAATTAGATTACCGAGGTACGTGCTACTAGTCAGTTGAATGGTCATGGCAAGCTTACAAGAAACCTTGGCTCATGTTTACAACAGGCTGTAAAGGAGCTGCCACAGCAAATTCATTGATTAGGGACCTATATCATTTTATTGCCAGCAGCTTAGCAATTTACCATAGATGTAGCAAGAGAAACATAAAGAGTTAAACGAACCAGACATCTTGTTTAGACTTGGCGAATCGCCTTGCAACTCGTACCTTGGGAAGACCAGCATCACCCATTTTAATGAGGATGTATGGATGAGTGGTATTCTTTGGGACAACACGATCGACACTCCTCTTATAACAACTTCCTACCTTGAGGTATCAATGTAAAAAGAAAAACCACTGTGAAGGTAGAATTGAACTTAGTGATTAGTATCACATGCTGGAAAGAGTTATATAAAAATACCCTATCTCCAACATACGCCTCGCTATCCGTTGTACTCCTCAGCCGTCTTTTACTTCCTTTTCCTTTTCTTCAGAATCTTTAATTTTCATTCCACTCGGCATTTCATCAAGATCTTGAAACACTCAATGACCGCAAAGTAGATTTCTTACCTTTTTAGGCTTATCGGTGATCCTTCGAACGTCCTATTACTCCGAGCTTGTCCCGCCATTCAATACTTGAATGATTATAGTGTTCAAGTAAATATTACAAGCACCTGTATATATGTATTCGCATCCGTGTATCCATATACTTGTATAACCGTAAATGCAAGTGCGTATCCATAATATCCGCGTGATCCATGCGCATTGCGTTTCCGTTATATACACGTAATCCCCATGTGTACGGTTATGTATGTATGTATTTAAAATACGAATGACCAACGATACATGATACCGTACAGTAATGCCAGGAAACGCTACGATACTTTTATCTTATGTCGTGTTGTGGAGACTAATTTTTAGCGTACAATTACGCAGAACATATCCATAAAAGGACAGTTCTAAGTACAGATTCCTTAGTTTTTAAGATACATGATCATAGTCGTCAGCCTAAGCGGAATCGTTACTGATGAGGAAGTGGATGCTACAGTCTAGTTCTGCTACATCAAATGTGAGATGATAACGTAATGTTATAGAATAAATTTAGCCCCCATTGAGGTAGTCTGAAATCGAATTGATTGATTTACGCGAAGCTCAGTGGCCAAGACATTTTTGAGAAACACAGCAGGTACTGTCCTGTTCTTATTTATGCTCCACGTATTACAGCTTTTTTAAGTACCGTGGTCCGTCTCTATCGATCAGCTCCTAGCAAATTACCAGTACTCATTATCAAATTCACAAAGAAAGGATGGTGAACCAATCCCCTCAACTAGCAAAGACAGTAGAGTTGTGGAAGCTGCTACAGATCCGGAAGAAGTCAGGCACTTATATACTTGACGGAAACAGCTTGACTATTGCAGATGTCGTAGCCACGTCATTGTATGTTAATCCTTTGGTTGATGTCGAACTCCGAAGATACACCTCTAATCTGAGCTATTCAACACTTTAGATTTGGTTGCAAACCAATTCTATCTCAGGATCCCAAAATTAACAAAGACATCCAAGATAGTATTAATGTACTATTTGACCATCTCGCTCAGGGTTGGTACGTCTATGGTATTTGCAAAATAAACCCTATCAAGCACGCCTGAGTTGGTGATAAACTAACCGTAATCTGACAGGTGTCAATACTGGATTTGGCGGGAGCGCCGATTCCAGAACAGAGCAGGTCACTCTGCTCCAAGCATCATTAATGCAACATACTCAAAGTGGAATCATTTCAAAAGCAGGCAATGGCGGTGCTCCTGACCACATCATGCCACAGGCATGGGTTAGAGCTGCCATGGTCATAAGGTGTAATTCCACAATGCGGGGACATTCTGCTGTCTCCTTTCCGGTTGTTAAGGCCATGGCGGAATTTCTTGGTCATGACCTCACACCTGTAGTTCCACTCCGGGGTTCGGTTTCTGCTTCTGGTGATTTGATGCCTCTTTCTTACGTTGCTGGGGGATTGGAAGGGAACCCAGATATTCTGATACAGAATAAAGACGGGACTTTTCTTTCCGCACCGGAAGCTCTGAAAGAAGCGGGTTTGGAGCCGGTTACGTTAGGACCTAAAGAAGGGTTAGGATTGATTAATGGAACGTCTTCTTCTGCGGGAGTTGGTGCTCTCGTTTTGGCTAATGCACATATGTTGGCATTTTTGACCCAGCTCTTAACGGGATCAGCAGTTGAGGTGAGTACCCGTACCTCATAAGCTGACATATATAAAATGTTGAATGAAAATATATTAGGCACTATGTGGCAGTTCAGAGAGCTTTCACCCTTTTATCGCCGAAACACGACCACATCCAGGCCAAATAGAGTGTGCAAGGAACGTATACAGCTTTCTCCGTGGATCCCACTTGGCTCGTGATGTTCTTGAACCGAAAAATCGTAGACGAGAGGACTTGGTCCAAGATCGATATTCGCTACGAAGTGCTCCCCAATGGATTGGTCCTCAATTGGAAGATCTGATGCTGGCCGATCAACAAATCAACATTGAGATCAACTCTTCATGCGACAATCCTCTTGTTGACAGCAAATCGAGCGATATCTACTACGGGGCAAACTTTCAAGCAGCTTCTGTGACTTCGGCCATGGAAAAGACCCGACTTGTCCTTCAAATGTTTGGCAAAATCCTCTTCTCCCAAAGCTTTGAGATGATCGATCCCAATCTCAGCGGAGGATTGCCTGCAAACCTTGCAGCTGATGACCCAAGTCTTTCATTCATGATGAAAGGCGTTGATGTCAATATGGCCGCGTATATGGCCGAGCTTGCATATCTGGCGAACCCCATGAGCTCCCATGTGCAAGCAGCAGAAATGCATAATCAGTCCGTGAATTCGATGGCACTGGCTTCTGCGCGCATGTCAGCTGATGCTGTTGATGTCTTGATGAAGATGTGTGCTTGCCACATTTATGTTGTGTGTCAGGCATTGGACCTGCGTGCCTTGCACATGGGATTTATTAAAAAAGCCACAGAAACTATAGTCACTGTCACTCAAAAATCGTTCTCTGATTTGACTTCTCAAGATTTGCAAACTCTGCAAGACACATTAGGGGTTCATATTGGTCCCTCCTGGTCTTCGACAGGGAAGATGGACCTTGAGGCTCGCTGCAAGTCTCTGGTCAATTCCATCATTCCAATCTTACTTGACCATATCCAAGGCAGCATCGGGAATGTCATGGACTGGAAGAAGGAAGCCAATGAGCTGGTCTGGAACCTTTGGCGCGAACATTTCAGTGCCTTCATCAAAAACCCGGAAACACCCACACTTCTAGGCAGAGGGTCAAGTGCTTTGTATGACTTTGTCCGCGACAAGCTACAAGTACCCTTTCATCAAGGATTTGTGGAGCATCCCACTTACAAGAATGATCAGCTGGATGGCAGGCAGAAAAAATCGATTGGTGGTTGGATATCAATCATTCATGACAGCATTACCAATGGTACTTTGTTCGACAGTCTGATGCTTATGCTAGATGACAGTACTGTCAATCTCATGAACGGGAAGAAATAGGCGGGACCTTTTTGATGTCACCCTCTACTCTCTTGAAAAGTGTACATAGAAGAAAGCGTCCCGATTATAACTACGTGCGGAGGACCTCGAATCATTATAGTTTTTTACTCATCAACCTTGGAAGAACGTAGAAAGATTTTTTCTGATTGCCTATAAATAAAAATCCTAGAGAGAACAATAAATGAACAGAAATACATCATGAACGTCTTTACTGTAATGAATCCATGGTTACCTAGGTACAGTAGGTCATGTGATATTACATATGCATTCTATCTGGACTTCCCAGTACCCACACATATTCTCCGGGCATACATCTGGCTCCAAGTGTCGTCTGGCTCGATCGTTTGCTATGCAAGTGGCTTATCATTTTTATTCTCGTGATATTTGATTCGCCAAGGTAAGGTAGTTGCAGGCTTCCGTTCCGTAAAGTGCAACTCAACCGTTCTTATGATGAGATATGCGATATCTAGCCACAATGCAATAATGCAAGTGCTGTGCTTCGCCTATGGATGGGTACAGACCTCTTAATCCTTGATTACTATTCTCTGGTGTGAGTCACCTGTCGAAGTGTTCGTACTGGAGATACTTGCCTGAGATTGTTATAGGCAATGCGGACTTGATATAGCAGTCATTGCATTAGCTAGACAACATTAAAGCTTACTAGATAATTTCACGAGTCGTATGGTCGATTTCTGGAATGACATTTGCAAATAACTGGTCGTGATTCATGATTATATCACATATGAGAATTTTCTATTACATTTGTGGCACAACCAAGGAGATACTATGCGTGTAATTGGAGGATATGTCTTTTTACCAAGTTTCTCAGCCGTTTTCTGCATTTAATCTATATTTTTAGTTTCTTTTAATACTTGTTTACTATATGATAAGCACCTTCAGGGTCAGACTCTGTCACTAACTTCATAATCCTTGGGACAGCGGAATTGCGTCTGCTAGCAAATGCTGAACAGGTTATTGTCTAGAATACTACAAAACGATATCTTTAAGAGATGGAATTAAGAACATCAGATGTACCTAGATATTCACCCAACCGATACAAATTCACAATCAGTCATTGGCCTCTTGTGTAGGTGCGCTTGTTACAGGACCATCGCGTACATATTGAGCTGCACCAAACCCAACAACTGCCAGCCCTCCAACAACCCACCATGCGAAAAATATCGATTGAAGTTCCAGACCAGCCTCAAAGAGATAGCCAGCAAAGATAGGGCCCAAAGTGCGAAATACTGAAGAGGCCATTTGACCAATACCATGCACTTTGCCGAGAAGTTCTGGTGATGCAGCACTGTTATTCAAGATTATGAGCGTCGCGGGGATCACAAAAACTCGACCCGTGACATGTATCATCAGAGTGAAAAATATTGCGACCCAGATACTCACAGTTGCTGTCTCCGCGATTAGTCCAAGTAGTGGTAACGCAAAATAAGCTATAGGAAACAGGCAGCTAAAGTAACGGTAGCTGTTGACAACTCCAATGATGTCGTTTATTTGTGGATAAATCAGTATTTGGATAAACATGCCGATGACGCCAGCAATACTTGTGGCTACCCCAACGTCTTCAATTGGCAGTCCGAGTCCCCCGGACTTGCTGGTTGACACGTTATCTGTGTTCTCACGGGGGTTGGACAGAAATAGTGGCCAGAGACCGGTATACGCTCTACAGCATGAAAGCACTTCAGTACAGAATTTCGCATGCCCAAATACTCAAACGCTGGAGTTATATCAGACTTACCCCATGTGGAGATCAAAAATAGATTGAGAAGCGAGAGTCATCAAAAAAGTAAATGTCCAAATACTCACTCCTCGAGCGCCGCTCTTCCCTTCGTGAGAATGGACCGTTGGTGAGCTGACTGAGAATTCACGCAAATCATTGGCTTCAGTATCTTCTGTACGCAGTGCATTATAATGTGAATTTCTTTGTACTCCAAGGAATGTCAAGATCTTGTATCTGAATAACCGGAAGACATCTCCTCTCAGACTTTTGGCTGTCTAAAAAATTCAAGTCATTTACACTGAACTTGCAGGGGCAAGGGCAGCGAATAATAGGGCACCATACCTCTTCTAGATACAAAGATACCACGACCGTAAGCAAGAAAATGGCTCCGGCATTTATCAGGAGTGGCGAGGCATAGGGGTACCGGTCAAGCAAGTTGGTCGATCCTTCTTTGAGGCTGTATTTTACCTTCAATGGGTTCGAGAGAAAACCCGCTATGACTGACCAAATATTAGAAACTGTTTCGCGATGATCATAGACCATTGTAATCCTTACGGGGACCAAGAAATGAGGCAACGTTGAATGAAAGTGACAGCAAAGAAAATGCTCGAGACTGGAACCTGCGATCATTCTTTAGATGTCATGCAAATCGTCTAGGACTGCATAGATAGTTACCGCTTCTCAACAATATTTTCCGATAACATGGTGCGACTAGTTACGGGTTAGCCACATTTACGTATGAGTTGTTTCATACTCGGAAATCAACAAACACAATTCCTACTGTTCCGTTCAGTAAACCGCCGACAATTCTGAATGCAACCATCTGGTAAAATGAGCGTGCAAAGGCGGAGGCGACACAGGATAAAGCTGTTCCAGTAAGTCCAATCAAAAGTACTGGCTTTCTTCCACACCACTTTTTATCTGCACATACCCCCCAGAAAACGGAGGTGCAGACTTGAGCAGCTGTGAATGCCCCGATTGCAATCCCGGTTTGCCATGAAAGCGTTGTCTCCGATATTGAAGACGTCGTAAAAGACTTCAACTGATAGTAGCAAATTATTTGGAAAGTGGCCATCTGCATGAAATCCAACACACGGCAGAGAAAGAGCAGCAGAAGCTGCCCTTTGCGCGGAAGCCCCAACCATGAGGCCTTTTGCGTAGTACTGTTGCCCGCCTGGGGTGAAGACATCTTGAAGTCAACGCGTTTTCAGTATTCGCAGCCGTGTGTTAAAGATTACACGAGGGTTACAAGCGCAGATAGTAAAAGGAACAGAAATGTCTCAATTGACTGTAATCTACAGTGAAAAACGTCTACAATGAGCGGAGCATCCAATGGTACTTGGTAAATGGGGTCTAATAACTAATGCCAACTTTGTAAGTATTTGCGGATCAGGAATACGTGCTTTCCGTGCGTAAACTACCCAAATCAGAAGAGTAGCACTAGTCAAGTGAGTGGGACAATGATTGTAGAGCCCCGAAGTCTCCAAGGGCAAATTTATGTTGTACGCTAACGGGAGTTGTCAATGGAACCGAACCATCTTTTAGGCCCCCAAGCACTCAAATTTCCATACTGCATGTGATAATGGGGTGAAACATGGTACACATACAAAAATACAACTTGTAAAATAAGTACCATACAGTTCTATCTCGGTATGAATTGTTATCAGATACCAATTTGGCCATTACGTACTTACAGTCTATCCATAGTAAGATTAATATGTATGGTCTTCGATCTCCGCCTTTTTTGTTAAGTAGAAAGTCGTCTATACATGTAAAGAGCTCGTCTCATAGTCTATTAGAAAAAGCAACAGAAAAGAACATCTGTATATCCCTGCATTGTCTTTTTCCTTTGCAAGTTGAAGCTTTTAGAGAAAATTCAATTGCTGTGATGTCTCTTCAACATGCCAACTCGTTGGTCCCGCAGCCATGGACTGATGTCTTTACGAACGACACTTCTATAGATCGCCGCACGACTTTTCGTACAGTGCCCATGAAAGTGTTGGCATTGAGCGTTGGTCGCACCGGGACAGCCTGTGAGTCGCAATCGATCATGCAGGTCCAATAATAATTTTGTTATAACTTTGATTTGTCGCTGACCAGCAATCATCCGGTTGTTTCACCAGCCCTCCGAGCTGCCCTACAGCAGCTAGGGTATATTAAGACATATCATATGATGTCCGCAAGTATCGAGAATCCCCCCGACTGCCTCATGTGGCTTGATGCCCTCACCGCGAAATATGATGGCATTGGCAAATTCGGCCGAAAAGAATGGGATCAGCTCCTGGGAGACTGTCAAGCTGTTTGTGACTGGCCAGCGTGTGCATTTGCCAAAGAGCTCATAGAAGCGTATCCCGAAGCAAAGGTCATACTTACGACAAGGGAGGTCGACTCATGGCATTCGTCAGTATGCCCCTTCGAAAATTATATGATTTAGGCTACTACAATTGCAACGTTACTAACATATCTGGCTTCTATTCTGAAGCTCAACAATGCGAACTGTATACTGGCGTGCGACTGATTTTGAACACAAATTCATTTCGAAATTCAGCTGGGCCGCAAGCATGTACTATCCTATGCTAAATAAGTTTTTCGACACATTCTTCCGCGGCGATTTTCCCAACCAGGGTAAAGACGTTTACCTTAATCACCTCCAAGAAGTTCGTGCCCTGGTACCATCCGAGAGACTACTCGAGTTCAACATCTCGGAAGGCTGGGAGCCTCTTTGCAAATTCCTGGGACATGATATTCCTCGAGCCCCATTTCCTCAGTCAAACGAGATTTCAGACTTCATATCTCGCAGTCGACGGCGTAACAGACGGCAGATGATGAACATTATGCTTTATATACTGGTCGTGGTGGCTAAAGCGATGGGAACTGCTTCGATTCTATACTTTTCTTTTCAAATTACTCGGTTCTGGCCTAGACGTTTCTTGAACGGTGTCGGAGGGAATACCTATATCTCAAGCTAGGTAGTCAGTTAACCTTAAAGTCAGCATACGAAAAAAAATATGGCTGGATAGTCTCCAGTGCTATCTTGTACATCAAAAATCGTTCATACTGCGTCCTCATTCCATGGATGCCTTGAAATGGTTAGTGTAATAAATTACCCTCAAGTATCAGTGCTATGTTACACTTGTAATAACCATACCGTTATCGGTTAAAGGCATGCTGAAAACCTAGAAAAGATACCGTTCGACTAATGACGGAACTTTGGTTAAAAGGTATGGTAACTTTACGTGGTAATATAGGTATATCTTGTGCTTTATCTTTTATCTTCAGATAATTCCTTTATTCAACATATCCAGCGCATCCCACCATGCGTTCCATAGGCTTTTTCGTGTTAGCTTTAATACAATTCAATCTGGTATCGGCTGATGCTGAACACTTTTACGCATCGCCTGCTTACGAAACCGGAGACTTGGGAGGATGGCCACAGCAACTGTACAAATCATCGCCAGTGATAGGACCAGTTCTGAATTACATGCAAAAAAGTGAGCAATGCTACAGCCATGGAGGATATACGATGATTACGCCGCGAGGAAATAGCGTTCCCATGCCTGGGCCTATGATTGTGGACGATCGGGGAAATTTAGTGTGGACAAAAAACTACGGCAGAGCATATGACTTGAAGGTCCAACAGTATCGAGGAGAAGATTATCTCACATTCTGGATCGGCAAAGAGATCGATGGATATGGCAATGGCAGTCATTACATGGTAACCAGTACCACTTCCATGTATCGCACATGTCGAGAACAACATTTTAAAACTGACAGTTCGAATTAGTTGGATTCCTCCTATCGTGAGGCATACATGATCAACGGCAGCAATGGACAAGCAGCTGATTTTCATGAATTTCGCATTACTAATGACGACACTGCAATTTTCACTGTGTATCGCGTGGTACAAGCAGACCTCTCGTCGTTAGGAGGACCAAATAAAGGGTACTTACTAGATTGTGGCTTTCAGGAGATCGATGTTGAAGCTCAGTCCCTACTTTTTGAATGGTGGGCCTCGGATCACTTTACCATAGATGAGGCATATCAGAGTCTTCAAGGCTCAGGTACGAATGAGGAGATGGCGTGGGATTGGTTTCACATTAATAGTGTTGACAAGCACCCGAGTGGGAACTATCTTGTGTCGTCGCGATTCTTAAAATGCCTAGCATATATAAATGCCACCGCCGGTGATATCATATGGAAGCTGGGAGGCAAACATAACATGTTTACTGATCTTTCCGATGGTGGCGCTACAAATATTAGCTGGCAGCATGACGCTCGTTTTCAAGATAATGGTGCGGCCATCACACTCTTTGACAACGCAGCACGAGGCATAAATTCATCCGCTGCAGCGCCCGACGATAACATCAGTCGTGGTCTTTACCTCGATGTTGACGTCGAAGAATTGGTAGCCAAAGTACGACACTCATACTGGAGCTCACAAGGAATCATCAGCATCTCGCAGGGGTCAATTCAAGTCCTTGAGAATGAGAATAGGGTGATTGTAGGTTATGGCCTTCTCCCGATATGGGTTGAATTTACTCTCGATGGAACACCTTTGTGTGAAGTCCACTTTGGACCTAGGACGGGCTATATAACACGAAATATCCTTTCATATAGGTTATACAGATATCCCTGGACCGGGAAACCTCGTACATCTCCAGACATCGTCGTTGAAGGAGATCAAGTGTATGTTGGCTGGAATGGCGCAACCGAAATCGCGACCTGGGTCTTGGAAGGTGCAGAAGATCTGAGTACCTTGAATGAGGATCAGCAAATCCTGTTTTCCCAGCCAAAGGACAGTTTTGAGACTATTATCAAAATTCCGAAACACAATACCCACTCTAAGATCCTCGTGCGAGCTTTGGATGCAAATGGTGATACTTTGGGCTCAACTAGGGTAGTGGAGGTAAAAAGGCCGCACGAATTTGTAGAGCCTCTTTTTGATAATTTGTCATGGCTTATTATGGGTGCAGCTGCATGTATCTCAATGATTTTTATACTAGGTATACTTGCCACGTGTGCATGAAAAACGATATCGAAAGGACGGCTCTTTGCTATAAGAAAACAAAGGGTGGTAATATGCTTCCATCACTTCAAAAATGATCAGATATAGTGGTATGGGGTAATGATACATTGCACGCGAGATGACTATTGATTCTCGTGGAATTAATCACTTGACTGTTGACTATCCATCATTTACTTCCATTATTAGAGATTTGAGCAGTCCACCATGGTTTCGAGGCCGGATCTTATCCCAGAATGAGTTGAGAGGCGATATAATAGACGCTCTCCCTTCAGTTGAATCTCATACAACTCATGTAGTGGTGCTTGCAACTTCGTCGACATGTACTTTTTTCTTTGTCTGTGTTCCTGTTACAATACAAATGAAGAAATAAAATATTGTAGGCTAGTGGTATACCTACAGTTCAATTATGGCTCSAAATGTTATTATGGCAACTGAAGCATACTGTAAACTCATGGCCTGCCATGTAATGAATTCTTTGATAGCTCGGCTCGCTCACTATCCGGCGCTCTGTAACACATTGCGCATTAATTGGGCAGCAATCCACAACTGTCTCCGCATCGTATTGCCACTCTATCATGTCACCTACCAAAAAAGGTTTATACTCTGTGGGAGTGTCTGGGCACCCTGAGTTACCTGCTAGCTATCATTCTGCAATATCAATTCTCTCTAGTGATTGCTCTTTTCTGAACCGTTGCGGCCCACTTCAAGATATCGGGATGAAGCGCGCGGAATCGGAATCAAGTCACCTACTGAGACTATCGAGACATGAGCAAGGCATGGACAAATGAAAGTGCATATTTTTAATTAAAGTGTATTTTATGCTTGGTTTGGGTGTTATTCTACTCGGTGGACCTTCGACTGATGTTGGGGGCGAGTTATATACCTCATTTCGATCCGATTCGCATACCGCTTGTGTATTGAAGAGATTTATCATCATCCTGTGACGAGATACTGGCTCAAGCGTTCGTTCATAAGACGCTTACCTGCAGGCAGCTGAAGAATTCATCCTATAGTCTCATTTATTGTTGAACATGAGCTAAGAGATTAGACAGCAGCCACTTACGAAGCCTAAACGACATGAAGATAATTTTTATCCAATAGTTAACTAGTAACGTATGTTACCATAGTGTGGTACATGATAAAATACGATGCTGTGAAAGGCTGTAATTTTACTGTACAAGCTGTAATGAAACAAGGTTCAATCAACTCTGTAATTTAAGGATCAGCGGCCGCCTGTAAGGTTTTATTAGAGCGCACATTTTTCACAGCAAACTTACCGAGCGTACAAAACATGAAAGTAATTCAATGATTGACTAGTAAAATATCCGTGTATGTTACTAGGGTGAATTACATGGTAAAAGACATCATGCTATGAACGGCTGTAATGTTACCGTACAAGCTGTAAGAAAACAAGGTTCAATCTAGATCGACGGCCGCCCGTAAGGATGCATTGGAGCGCACTAGGTTCCACAGCCAACTTACTGAGCCTCTTAACCAGTTAAATACTAGAATGAACTGTATACAAACACTATGTCGTAGATGGCTATAATGTTACCAATCAGCTATTAAGAAATAAGGTGTAATCTATTCTATACGAAGCAGATAAGAAAATTTAAGAATTGGCAGCCACCGGTAGGGATCCATTGGATTGAGATGGTGTGATTTAAGCTATGATTAGGAGCGCACTAGTCTCCACAGATAATTTTAGATCCTGCTTTAAGTACTCGAGCCTAAACTCTAAAGATCCTTCCTGGCTCTCTGCAGGACGCACATGCCACTTCATTGGGCTAAAATGTTGTGATTTTAAGCTATGTTTAGGTGCGCGCTAAAAAGGTTAGTTCGTTTCGTATGAAGAAATACTCCGCCCTTCGATAGCTAATTAGTAATAAGGTACATGCGAGGGCCAAGCCTGCATGGCCCCCGACTCGGAGTCCCCGAGTCGGTTCAATAGTGGTAGAAATTACGCTTAACAGTTACAACGGCTGTTGGGTTGGATATCCTTAGCCGGCATTCGGGTCAATTTCCGTCCGTTGGAGACACACGATGCTCTTTTAGCATATACAGCCCATGAATCAAGGCCCAAGGAGCAGCGGTGAGGTATTGGACTTGGCTAGGCCACTAGAGACCACTACCTAGGGGCTCCACTGGGTTATAACCTGTTAGCCAGAATCTCTTGATCAATCTGAAGCCGTTATTCCTTTTTTAATGTTTGGATGAGGCAAGCGATGTCACCTATCCATGCGTGACCTATTCAAATTATGATAAGAGGGGAACTCGCTATCATCTCTTATCTTATGACGTAACGTTGTTTAAGTTTCAGCCTAAGTGTTAATGCTATTCAGCTGATGATAAAGACATTTTGTCCAAAGAATACCCTTCTGGTACAGACACTTATGCTGCGATACTGGCCTTGCTCGCGCACTTTGGTCGTAAAAATACAGTGCTGGTAACATAGAGAGACTACGTAGCAGGCAGACGAAGTAACCGAATCACGACTCCAAGGCCCCGTTCGGCCTCGGTAAATAGCCACGTCGTAGCCGTTCAACTTCGTGATAAGTTTCCAAGGCAGGCAGGTCATGAAATTGCAATAGCCAGAGACACCGTGCACAATATCAGGTAAAAGTGACAAGACACAGTATCAAATATGATGAATGGTCTTCTTTTCCCATGATGAACAGCATCCATCACTCCAATTTTCAAATTATGGCTGAAATATCGTACTGTAAAATCTCATTGATGCCTCCTTACAAGAAGGATGCCAAATAGCTTGCGACAGCTTGTCCAGAAAGCAGCGAAAAAAGGGCCTGGAGTTTGAGGGGTTTTGTTCTTTTTACGATTCACAAAAGAGTGAGAAAATGGTGCTATATAAGGACCCTTCAAATCCGACAATTATCACGGCGGGKTATTTCCAATACATAGGGKGAACTTGACGTTGAAACTCGAAAGAAAAGACTGGGTAGATGTTGAAGGAGAACGAGACGATACACGGGTGCGCTCCTTCAGAGATTTTATACTTGACGAACGACTCTTATCCACTCTGTAAGAAATTGTACTGTTTCAATGTTCGAGCTTGGAGCTCAGTAATTACGGAAGATGTCTCTGCGGTTCGAACAATATTGTTAAAAAAATTATATTGGATCCCCTGATGTGTCTTTCTTCTTAACAGGACCGATCCTGGGACATCTCATAGCAACCATCTATGTTTAACAACCTGCAAGCTTTGGAGTCTCACTATTCCAAGAAGTGTGTTAGTGACGTCTCAAGTTGAGTTTCAGCTACGCTAAGTGAAAGGTCATTTATACTTAAAAGATATTCAGTTTGCCCAGGCTTATATTAACCGTTAGAACTATCCGGATAAAGGAAATTTAGTATAAGTTATATATCTATAGTATACAGTCTATAAAGATAGCAGATTCTCTATAGCGTATAGCAGAGGATAGGTTTCAAAATATTGATATTCTATACCGCACCTTGTATATCCAGGTCTTATGATCCCTCTTGAATCTCTATGCATATGCATATCCATGTAATATTGGTACAAAAGCGATCGACAAAGCCATCAACAAAGCATTTCATAAGGATATTCCCAAGACGCGAAACTCACTGCCTTGCCTCGTCAGCCTTCCCTGTTGGAAACGTGACAATGCGACAGCTCTCAGGAAGCGAATCTAAATTCGAGCCTCTTACTTCCCTGCGTTTTCGAATTTCTGATATAGTCTTTTTGTTCCTCTTCCTTCATGTTATTCCAGATCATATCCCTTCTCCTATTCTCATATGTATAGTAGATTTTCGTGCCAACGAAGACGAAAATAACAAGTATGTTTACTATCAATAGCTCTGTGTTTCCGCGACGGTATAGCGGTTTGTCATCGTCACGATATATGAATAGTGCTATGATATCGCCCGCCTGGACGGCCATCTATGGGTTATATTAGTTTGCAAGAAGACGACTACTCCGGTGAACGCTTACATTATATAGTGCGGATGAGACGGTGCGTGTACCAACGCTATTGGAGTTTTTGGATGTCCAAGCAACAATGATTGCTAAAAGTAATCCAGACAAGTCAGATCCAGCGTTTGATGTTTGATATTTGGAAATCGAAGGCCTACCATGGCAATTAGGTCCCCCGACTATAGCCGTCACCAATATAAAAGTTCCCCATGCATTTTCCACGAGACCTGGCCAGAAGCGTAAAGAAATAAGAAAAGGTAGAGCCCAAAGAGGTTGTATGATTGCCACCAATGACCTGTTGTTGAGCCACTCCGATGCATACGTAATCAAGAGCAGAGTGAAAGCATAGAATAGGCTGGGAAGGATTGTGAGAAGACTAGTAACGAACTTGCTGAATCCAACTGAACGCAGAATCAAGGTAATGTATATACTTGGTGGGGTCTGTGGAATGAAGGCAACGAGGCCAATTATGTAGAGGGGCCATAGATGGTAGTCTGTAATAGCACTCCAGAGCTGCGACAAAGTGATAGGCTGGCGGTTGTTCATATCTCCTTTGGAAGGATCGTCGCGCAGGACTCGGTTTACTACAATGGAAATTTCGCGACTAGATTTGAACCATCCATTCGGTCGGAGAAAAGACATTGTTTGCACTGCAGAAGCTGGCATCATCGCATACGATGTAATGCCGATGGCCAAAGTGAACAACCCCTCAATTAGGAAGAGCCATTGCCAACCAGCCCAGCCATTCACACCACTAAGGTGAAAGATAGCAAACGCCAGCAAGGAGGTTATCGTCGCGGTGACCGGCAGGGTCGTCCAGAAAATGCTATATGACTATTAGTCAAGACTAAACAGTGGAGGTACCGGATGGAAAAATACCTCAGACGAATGGGGAGCTCAGTCGACGTATAAAAATACGACAACCAAAGTATGATATCGGGAATAAATCCCCCCTAAAAACATCAGCCGAGAAAGTGTCCATGATGGGATTATAGGTTTTACCTCTAGAGCACCAAGCAAGGCCCGCGTGACGAAGAAGGACCATCGCCCAGTTAGAGCACATTGCGACATTGCAACAACAGACCATAGAGTTATTTGAGTTGGTATCCAGCGATCCGGGCCAATTTTCTTTGATATAAACTGAGAGGGTAGTTCGGCCAGTATAAAGGATAGTCGAAAGATAGCGTTACCCCAGTTGAAATCTTGAATCTTTTATTAGCTTTTGGCACAATTATTTAGGGAATAGCGAGGCTCTTTTTAGATCAACAATAACCCTGGACAGTCAAAACTTGATAAAAAGCGCGTAGGAAATACGTTTATTGGAGAAACGCGTTCTTCTGTTCAACTCACCATCAGTATTGAGCCCGAGATCTTCCAGAAATGTGTCCGACACAGCCTGGCCCAGATTACTTCGGTCTACCTGTAGGCTGAGAAACATCACACACTAGAAAATGTAAGCCTTATGCAAGCGCGCCCACACGATCGCGAAAATTCTATATCATGTTTCTTACCGACCAAAGGCAGACATTCCAGTCAATAAGTCGAACTAGTCGCTTTTCCTCCTCGTCAGACCACGTCAAATGAGGGTCAAAGAAGTGTCGACACTCATATTTAGACTCTTCGTACGTACGTTGCCAGTGCTCGGCAACATCTGGGTCAAGGAAGGGATTCTTCTCGTATGACTCTTGCTCAGTAGACTCCTCCGAGATGCTACTATCTCTCCGCTCAGAAGGAGGTTTCCTTGGTTCAGGCTCATCAATACTTGTGTCACTTATGTGTGCCTCTTCGGATGGCAGTAGTTGCTCTGTCTCTGACAGATTTGATGACGCAGATGAGCGTCTCCGTCTTGTCATCAACATATGGACCATGTTTTTTTTTCCCCTTTTGAACAAAAAGTTCTTTGATTGTTTGACTGATGAAACTCTTCGGTTAAGATCACTATCCGCAGTATTCTTCAGTCATTCGTAGTGGACAGACTAGAGAGGTACTAACTTATTATTGACCAGTGCCTTTATCTCTCAAGCCATAATTCCGTTACTCGGGCTGAATGAGCCCCCACTACTATTCCGAAGCCGGATTTATATAGACTTCTGAGCTATTGTAACCTTTTTCTTACACATGTTCGGATTGGTCGCTTTTTTGTCAGAAGAATCGGGACATAGCAGCGAATGAATCTGGCAGGCTCACGGAAGCTAATGCACGATGGAACAAAGGATTATCCGCAATCACCAGGGTTAGTAGGATAACAGAGCCCTTGTTAGGAAGGTCTATGTCAAGAACAGAGAAATCAGAAGATTTCCATGTTCTCTATGTTCGAGCGAGTATAGAACCTCTATGTTTTCTATATTTTAAGCTTGGAGATATAAGGACAACCACTCACCATGTATTTCATCTTACTTTTTTAATCAACTGTTAACCTTAATATACCATTAATCTTAGATCTACTAAACTTATATCATCTTGAATTTACTTAGACATCCTGTCCTTTCGTTGTTAGAATACCATTTTACCGCCGTTAAGTGACGAGCTTACACTGATCTAGACGTTAACGAAACATCGGATTACGACATCATTTGATGGCTTCAAACTTTCAAAAAGTGTAATTCTATGTAAAATAGGCCCCATTTGTGTAATAGATTTTTGCGATTGAATTTACAAATTTCTATATACATCCGTTACACAATATATGTGTAATTGAGAAGTGATTCTTTCCACACGTAAAAGCTTTGGCGATTAGATGGACTTTTCGAGTAGTGAAGTAAATGCGTCAAATGATGGAGCCAGATCTTTGAGCAACTTGTCATCATTCGTCACGTCTGCGATTGTCTTCAAGTCGTTTTTCATACGATCTAGGTTTGTCGTTCCGTCCAGTATCTGCAGATCACCGAGACCTAAGACAAGCACATATAATGCCAATTCCTTTTCCAAGCTCAGCTTCTCCGCCATCGAAGCAACTAGGTCCGAGGCCAACAAGTGTTGGTTATTTTTCAATACACCGAAGGTTTGATAAAGAATGCCATGCTCTCGAGCAAACGCTCGAACATCTACATCATATCCAGTCCCCTTGAAAAATCGGTTTTGGACGATCACCGGTTTGACATCTGCCTCCTCGTAAATCTGACGCAGAACCGGCAGACTGATATTGGAGACGCCGAGGTGACGAATAGTGCCAGGTACATAGGTCTCAAACACCTTCCAAGCCACAAGATTGTCTGCGTCGTCCTCGAATGGGCAATGGAGGATTAGTGCGTCAAGATAATCTAGCTTGAGGTGTTGAAGGGTTTGCGAGATGGACTCCCGAATCTGTCCTTCGATACTCTGGTCAGGGTTGAATGGAATCTTATCCTTATCATGACCCCGTATGGGAGTAAATTTAGATTGGATCTAGATTTGATGGATCAGATCTGAGTATCAAGATATAATTAGAATCAGCTTACAAACAGTGTCTCTCTTTTGATTCCTGTATCAATCGCAGCAGAGAGCCCATCTCCCGCAAATGCTTCTCTGTATGCACTGGGGTGGTTGGCCGTATCTATGCCCTGGAAACCTGATTCAAGAGCGCTCTTCGTCAATTCGGCAGTTCTCTCGCGTTTAAATGCAGTTCCATAGAGAAGAAACGGCTGTTTCTGCCCTAGCTTCAGGCTAGGGCTTCGCAGATTGCTTGAAGTCATTCTGACGGTTCTTTTAAGATTGAGAGATGGAAAATATATTGAAATGATGCTTCTCAAATTGTTGTGATATGCAATGGTTTGTAATTGAACGTGCTGGTGGAACGGAAGGTGGTGAAAGGAAACCTAGGCACCCGGACGCAGCGGGGTTTTATTGCTCCGCAAGTGAACACAGCTAAATTCGTGGGATGATTGATAGAATCCTTAGACCTACAAGCGGATTTGGCCAATGAATTTGAAACTGGTATCTACCTAGGTACCAGTGTCAGAGCAGAAGCTCCTCTAAAATATGACTAGGAAAGACMCTCCAMCCCCGCCGCATCGTTCGACTACATCATGCGGTTGTAATATTACGTATTGAATTTCTACAAATTATTCAAGATTCAGTTTACACCTTCTCTTCCGAAATTTCTGCTCTTTTTTCCGTTTTTCAAGAATTTTCTTCTTAAATTGAAACAGAATTTTGCTCCTCCAGTTCTCTTATTTCCGAAAGTCCTAAAAGACCTAGTGCCTCTCTTCTTGTAGGCGACTTAGGATCAAAATATGGTTGTTCTGCCAACGCAGTCGCTCTTGTCCCATGTCTAGGCTCGGAGCCTTCGTAGTCCCAGCTTGCGACATGGATAGTGACTCTGGAAAGAGATATCTCGTTAGTCTTGCTTCACGAATCACAGTGGATGGTTCATGGTGAATTATAAAAGCTTCTGACCTGTTGTCCCATAATGCGCTGGTTTTCGGTGTCCATCTGAAACGGACTTGTATATCCACACTCTTTTCGTAAAGGTCGCACAAATATCCCAAAATCAGATCACTTTCAGCTTTGTCCAAACCCACAATGCGCTCTGCCATAGCCTTATTTACCCATAGAGTTCTCCAGCCTGTGGCTGGATGTGTTCTTACGAGTGGATATTCACGAACAACATGCTTCGGGCCGGCCTCTGGGTTCCTGCTATCTATGAAGGCGACAGCAGAGCGATAAATGACTTTCTTACCATCGATAAATTTCCGGAACGACGGTGATAACTTCTCATAGGCACAGTACCCGCTAGACCAGAGAGTGTCTCCGCCTATAGTTGGGACAGCGTCATTGTGCAGATGACTTATTCCGGCTGGCCGCTTGTCGTGACCCAACGCAAGGTCAGTGTGCCAGCCTGAGACCCCTCCTGGACGACGGAAGCTGGCCTCAGACTCTGTAGCTTGATAGTCGGGCCAAATTACACTGGCGCTCGGTACGCCGGGGACGTGAGGTGCTACAGGCTGGAAGAGAATCAGCTAGTACGGTAGAACCCTGGAATTTAGCGGAGGCTTACATGGACTTCAGGCTCACCATAGTAGTCTGCCAATTCGTGTTGCTGTTGGGGAGTAATATCCTGGTCGCGGAAAAACACGACTCCTCTTTCTGCAATCAGCAAGGCTAATTCATCCCTCTGCTGGTTTGACAGGTCCTTTATCTGCAGACCGGTAATCTCTGTGCCAATATGCTTTGTCAAGTGGATGACCCCGGTAGCTGCAGACAAAAGACTTCTTTTCTCTTTGTCAGCTCGGGATCCTGCATCAATATACGGCTGACTATGGTCCCGTCCAGAGGGATCCTGATACTGAACTTGGCGGTTAGGTTTTTGAGGATAACCCTTGGAAAGGTCAATTCCGGCTTTTTCCAAGCGCTGTCGAGTTATCTCAGGGAGCAAAGGGGTTGCTACTCCATTCCCATTAACATTGGTGGAATCAGCTGAGGGACTCATGTTGGAATAGAATTATGGGTCCATCAGAGTGTGAATCTCAATGCTGCATCTGACTTTTCACATGTAGTATATGTAAATTTATAATTCCCGCACGCCGTCAGCGGCGTTGCATCGAGACTCTGTTGCTCTGGGTCTTCCTAAAAGCTGCCACCTAGTGATGATAATAGTTGTAGATCCTAGTCTAAAAGGATGTGGAGCCTATGACTCGGCGCCGAAGGATCATGCGGAACGAGAAAGAACAAGAAGTGTAGCGCAACTTGTGTTTTGATACACATAAGGGCCAGTGGGGCATCCAATGCGGGTTTCCCATACATACATAGTATAATTACGTTATACGCTTGTATTATATACTTTAAATATTGTTGCAAACCTTCGTATTATGACAAGCGTATTCGCAAGCAATCGGATATTAGGGCAAGGTATTATTGGACTACGTATCAGTAATATTTCCGCCCCATTCGTATACGCATTTAAATGAAGCCTTAGTCACTAATACCCACATGATAACTACGGCTAAACAACGATGTCATTGATATTTTAAGTCTTATTTTATTCCTTAAGGTAAAATCATACTAATTAATTTACTTATGTGCTTCTGTAATGCTTCGATCCCGTGATGGACCCTGGAGAGTGAGATCGAGAGATCGGATCGAGGATCTTTTTGCAGAACGCTTGTAGCAACGAGTACAGTATAGTGAGTATCTGAAGAATTCGTCTCGAGGTAATCTCAAACAAAGTCAGATTCTACAGGAATAATTGCTTGCTCTTCAAATATCTAGTGAAGACTTTCGCTCTATATAGATAAGAATCAGGCGCTGGTCAGGCACCACATCAAATCAAAGAAAGTCGGATTGCGTACTAGCCTAAAGCTAGGGCATAAGAATTCTAAGGGTCCCGCGCTATAAGCTGTAAATCCTGATTCTTTAGGAACCTGTATCATGGATTTATGATCGCTAGCAACAATCCTTCGCTCGATCGGCCTTCCGGATCTCGCGGCGGAACCAATATCAAGTCATCATCGGGGCACAGTCAGATTATATATATATATATATATATCGCTAAATTATCCAGATTCCTTATATAGTTTGATGAATCGCGAATAGGCCATTTTATAAGACCATTACACTGTGTTGCGCAGCCCAAAGACAAGAGCAAATCGATATACTGGCATGCCAATCGTCTTTCAAGCCTATAAGATTCAATTGATGATACATATATCAATCGAATTCTCCTCACGTACATTCAAAATTCACGAACTTTCCAAGATGCTTTATGCGATTTCGCATTAAAATTAAGAAATATTTCATTGAAACGGGATTGGTTTCGGTTTTACATTGAAGCCTAAGTATACAATTTCTGTAAGAAATAGCGTGGCTTGCGACGGGGGGCCAACATGCGAAATCTAGCCCCTGAAAATGTGACCGGACCCCAGGCAGACATCAAAACCGTGACCCACTACTCATCACGTTTATCAGCTCCGAGAAGACTTCGACTCAAATAGCATTCCAAAATAAACATCTACTTCACATCTTTGTACATGTTTATGGCCCTAGAGTAAACATGTCGTCCCTGCCGACGTGCGACGCGAAATTTGGTCCCAGGGTCGACCCTTCTTGCCGTGCTTTTGACTTCACACTATACTTTGAAGATATCTTCCTTAGTATCATTCCAAATGCTGCAATCATTTTTTTACTTCCTGTTGGGCTTTTTCCTTTGTTCAAGGGCTCCAGCGTGATTAAATCGAACCGACTAGTTAACCTCAAAGCAGTGTGGCATACCCCCGTTGATCATGTGTCCTCTTTTGCTCTTAAAAAAATCGTAACTGATTTTTGGTTTTAGGTTGTTTATGTGTCTCTGGCTTTAAATCAGATAGTTTTTCTCATACTTCGGGAACTGAATCGAAATATTGAGACCCGCGCATCCTTAGCTAGTGATGCTCTTGGCCTGGCTGCGACAATCGGTGTGAGCATATTCTCATGGCTTCATCACCATAGATCTGTACATACCGCCACACTGCTTGAAATTTTTCTAGGTATATCTCTATTACTCGATGTTGCGCGAGTTCGTTCTCTATGGCTCCTCGCCGACGATATTGGCCCAGCTAGTATCTTATCTCTCACCCTGGCTCTGAAAATCAGTGGTGTATTTCTCGAATCCTTCAGCAAACGCGACAACTTACGGCTGTCTGATAATAAGATCTATATGAGTTCCGGTCCGGAACCATTCATCGGCTTCTGGATTCGGGTCAGCTTTGGCTGGCTCTTTTCCACTATGCGGCAAGGTTACCAACGGATACTAGCTGTGGATGATCTTCCTGCCTTGGATTACCGACTGAGAAGTGATAGCGTGTATAGTAGTCTTCAAACGACTATGGCCGAATGTAACGTATTGGTTTCTACATTAAAGTTATATGACTAACATTACCCCAGATGATATGGCGAAGAAACATAGTCTCCTCAGAGCTTGTTTCAGAGCTTACAATCACACATTTCTTGAGGCAGTGATCCCCCGTTTGTGCTTATCAGGATTCACTTTTGCGCAACCCTTCTTGATTAATGCCCTCATAAGTTATGTTGAGACAGATACTCCGCTTTCGAATGGAAAAGCCATGATCGGCGCCTACGCTTTGGCATTTCTGGGCAAAGCAGCCTCAAACTCAGTCTTTTCATATCAAACATTTCGCTTTCTCACACAATTGAGAGGTGGATTAATCACAATTATATACCATGAGACTGTTCGAGGCCGAAGAGTGGGCCAAGGCGAACTTGATAGTACTTCCTTGATGGGCACTGACGTGCAGCGAATTATTTTAGGCTTTCAGTCAATTCACGAACTCTGGGGGTCTTTGATCGATATAGCCATTGCAACCTATCTTCTAGAAAGAGAGGTTTACGTGGCGTGTCTCGTTCCAGGTCTTTTAGTATTAGGTAGGCACTTAACCAGCATTATCATACTCTGCAGTGTTAACAGATCAATAGCCTTCGTCCTAATGACTTTTAAGATCTCAGCGCAAGGCAAGCGATACCAGAAGCTATGGGCCGAAAAGGTAGAAGAAAGATTAGCCGTTACTTCCAGCATGCTCGGGGATATGAGGGCTATCAAAATGCTCGGTCTGAGTGACAAGCTATTTGACATCATCGACAGATTGCGCCGCGCTGAAATTTACGAGTCCCGTAAATTACGGAAATTGCTTGTCACAGAGATTTTCTTTTGTAAGAATTGCCACACTATTATCAGCCAGTCTATATCTAATCCTTGCAGCGAACTCGCCAACTGTTCTGGCGCCTGTGGTAACATTTGCTACGTTCGTTGCCATCGCTGCAGTACGGCATGACCATTCAATCTTGACAGCGCAAGCATTTACTTCTCTGTCCTTGATATCTCTTCAGACTACCCCGGCATTAATATTACTCCAAGCCATTCCTGCAGTTATGCAGTGTCTTAGCTGTTTCGATCGCATTCAGGAATTTTGCTCCCATATTAGCAATAATGCTGTATCTCAAAATCTACTACCACAGAGCTCCGAGTGTACACTCAACGAGCACGGCGAGGGTATCATGGAGTTGGCTTTGCTACCTGGTAAATATGTCAGAGACAGGCAGTCTCCTCACATAGTCTCTTTCAATAGCCAAAGTTTTGCATGGAGCAAATCAGGGCCTGCAATATTGATCAGCATTGATGTGCAAATTTCAGCCGGCCGCATAACAGCTGTCATGGGACCTACTGGGAGTGGCAAATCAACCTTGCTTGAGACTATTTTGGGAGAAACCATACCTCTCTATGGACCTGATCGAACAGTCAGGAGTTTCAACACCGCTGCATATTGCTGTCAGACCCCTTGGCTAATAAATGGGACCATCCGTGAAAATATCCTTGGGCAGTCAGCTGTCGAATCAGTGGATGAAGTCTGGTATGGTACTGTTTTGTGGGCCTGTGGTCTCGAAGCAGATATAAGCCGTCTCAAAGGCAGAGATCAAACAGTCGTAGGAAGCAAGGGCATGTCTTTAAGTGGTGGACAAAAGCAACGCGTTGTAGGTTGAAGTTGTGGCTGATGAGCTCGTTTATTTTCACATTTGCTGACCTGAATTTTTAGGCCCTGGCTCGTGCTATTTATTCTCGATGCCAATTCGTTATTCTGGATGATGTTTTCAGCGGTATTGATGCGTATAATGTATCTTTGATCTCGGCCCGTTTATTTGGAGAGCATGGCTTGCTCAGAAGACAGAAGGCTACCGTTATCCTTGTGACACATGCCCGTGAGACTATAATCCTACTTATTACAGACTTGACCGGCTAACAAACATCTAGCTTCGGTGGTTGCATTTGCCCAGGATGTTATCATTTTAGAGAAAGGCCGTGTACGGAAAGCAGACCCAATGGAAGAACTACAAGGAACCAACGATTATGTATCGACTTCCAAGCAAGCAATCGAAGTTTCCAATGATACTATTCCTGATCAAGATATAATGACTTCGCTTGACACTGGCGGAGAATCACGCAAAGATGCTTGTTCTTCCTCGAATGAGCAGGCTAATGATCTAAACCGTCGTAACGGCGACCTGTCTGTATACAAATATTTCTCAAAGGCCTCAGGTCATGTGACAGTTTTTGGAATTTTTGTCTTTTTGGCGCTTTGCGTTTTCTGTGCTGAATTTTCTAGTAAGCTATATTTCCTTTCAGCAAAAATTATGAACATCCGCTTACTTGTTCACTCTAGCTGTCTGGATTGATTGGTGGTCTGCAGCAAACTCAAATGATCACAACAATAATGCCACTGGCATGTACCTTGGGGTTTATGCAACTTTGGGAGTCTGTTCTACCCTTTTTATGACTGCAGCGTGCTGGTGAGTGGAAGAGTCTTTACCTTGCACTAGAGTTTGGAAAACTGATAAAACAGGCTTATGTTCGTCAAAGCGATTTCAAACTCGTCTTTGAACCTTCACACCGATCTTCTTACCACGACAGCTCGGTAAGTTTTCATAGATATGACCAATTCTAGACTTAAGGCTTTGCTGACTCCGTCAACAGTGCCACACTACAATTTTGTCTTGAAACAGACCTAGGGTCAATAGTGAACCGGTACCTAACGTCCATAGAATCCTCCGCTCAGTGCACGCAGACCAGACTAACAAGTCTAACCCCTTTTGTCACTATAGATTCAGTCAAGACATGGAATTAATTGGAATTGATCTCTGTTCAACCTCAATCAATTACGCATATGGTAAGGCATCTACATTATGAGGCGTGATATATATTAACGTTGATCCTATAGCTGTTTGTGACCTTCTTGGCAAAGGCCTCCTGCTTGCTGTCTTCGGAAAATACCTCAGTGTCACCATACCATTCGTTACTCTCATCGTGTACATTGTGCAGAAGTTCTATCTTCGTACTTCTCGACAGGTTCGACTATTAGATATTGAGGCAAAAGCTCCCGTGTATCAGCTTTTTCTAGAAACATCAAGCGGAGCTAGTACACTACGAGCTTACGGCTGGCAATCGTCATTCCAAAAGATACTCGAGTCTCGTCTTGATCGGTCTCAGCGCCCGGTGTATTCACTGTATTGTATACAGCGGTTGCTCGCCTTCATCCTTGACCTTGTCATTACAGCTCTTGTCGTGATACTCGTCTCTATTGTCGTCACGTGGAAAAGCTCATTTACAGCTGGTGCGGTTGGTGTATCGCTGGTGACACTTATGACATTTAACCGTACCATGATTTCTCTTGTCAAGTATTGGACAAATCTCGAAACATCAATCGGTGCCGTTGCGCGTATCAAGACTTTTGTGGAAAACACACCGGTGGAGAAAAATAGCAGTGATTGTCAGATGCTAGTCCCACCTAACTGGCCAACGACTGGGATAATTGAGTATAAAAATGTGGTGGCATCCTACAAGTACGTTTCTCCTCTAATATGAGTCTGCGGCAATAAGCTAATAGTTTTCAACTTTTAGGCCAGGAGCAGAGGCTGTACTGAAAGGTATTTCGCTATTTATTAAAAAAGGAGAGAAAATAGCTATTTGTGGTCGCTCGGGGAGTGGCAAGACTTCGATGATCCTCAGTCTGCTCGCAATGATCCATTGTGATCAAGACAGCTGTATCAAAATCGATGGAATAGATGTCACCGCTCTTGCTCCGGCTGAATTGCGCTCACGGATTAATGTGGTTCCACAAGACCCCTTCCTAATGCCTGGGTCCATTCGATTCAATATTGACCCATATGGCACTGTTTCTGATGAAACAATCATTCAGGCTCTTCAGAAGTTAGATCTCTGGAACATGGTCGAAAGTAGTGGAGGGTTAGATACACAAAGACCTATGACGTCTTGGTCTGTGGGCGAGAAACAACTGCTTTGTCTCGCGAGAGCAATGGTTCGAAAAAGCCCTGTCTTGATTTTAGATGAGGCAACTAGCAGGTGTGTCATTCAATGTTTCTGTGCTTTACTTTGAGTTTCTTTACACGAACTTTACCAAGTAACGAATGGCTGCTAACAAATTTTGTTATTGCAGTGTGGATTCTGTCACTGAAGGTATCATGCAAAATGTGATCGACACAGACTTTGCTGAACACACTGTCATTGCAGTCGTTCACAGGCTTGGATATATTAGACATTTCGACAAAATTGCCTTCCTGCAGGCGGGAGAGCTGCTCGAATTTGATAGTCCAGATGCCCTTCTCGCTAGAAACTCCGCCTTCGCGGATCTGTATGAGTCTATGTCTTATTAGCAACTTGTATTAGTACTGATAATCTGTTTCCTTCTTGTCGAGCAAAACCTTTTATTTGTATTTTGAATTTTCTAGCCTCTCCAGGGGCGGCATCTACAAAACATCGACTTTGCCCAAAACTTCTGGGGTATTTTTGTATTTATGTATTTGAGTTTTCACCATTCCAAGAAGCGTGCTAGTCACGTCTCAAGTTGAGTTTCAGCTATTCAAAGAAGGGAAATCTGGTATGAGTCATTGAATAAACTCGATCCAGATTGAAAGCACCAATCCGGTTGCTGCGAAGCTATTCAGAATAATTTCACATTATGTGTTGCTATACGACAAAGTCAATTTTGTCGATATGGTTGACTCCAAACCTCATACGCTGCTCAACAAGCTGCCCATACTTTCGTTTTGAAACAGTAGACAGCCAACATCAACAGCCTGTAAAAGGTCTGAAACCAAAACATGTATACATCAGTCGAGCTCTTGAATGCTGGTAAGGCAGCCGCGACAGGGCATTGTAGGGGTCTTTCATCGTGACAAATCACTACACCTCAACGGCATGGTGTGCCATCGAATAGCTATATTCCCTAACCGGAGTTTTACGTGCGCAAAATGACGATGAAACACTGAATAATTTCGCTGCTTTTGTTGCAAGGTTTTTTGGAACTAAGCTATTCAAGAGCGTTAGCGTGCCGTTTGCCACAAGCTCAACCGCTGTGAAGACTGCGATTCAGAATATCTTTGGTTTAGTTGTTCTAATGTGATGATGTCCTTTACTCATAGAGTGGGAAATCGGGAAGAGCTGGCAGATATGCCATTGTTGCAGGTGGATGATATGGCTTGATTTAAATATTAGTTAGGTATCTTCTCTCGCCCAAAAGAGCGATGAATAAATAGAATACATCATGAATTTGCTCGTATCTGCATTCCTTTAAAAAGTGGTATGGATCACGCCTCAATCATAGCCAACTTCTTCTCCAACAATTTATCCCCTCCGAAGCCATTTCCATGTCCATGCCCATTTGTCACGAGTTTACTTCGCATGCTGACTTCCTCAGTCCACATGCTCGCAACTGTCTCAACAGCGCGCTCAAGGACAACCCTGACACGATCTCTAAGTACAGCATATGAACAATCAACTTCGAGATCTTCAAGCCATACACGAGCAACGTGTTTATCGATTTTGATTTCCACGCCGGGGAATGGGATGCCAAGGGCATGTAATCTAGAAAGCTCGTCGGCTTCGGCTTCTCCGCGTTCTTCTTCTGAGAGTTCTTCTTCTTCCTCGTCTTGATCATCCTTCTCGTCTTCTGTGGTGGTCCCATTCTGGGTTGGTGTGTTCGAGGCCAGACGTGGTTTTTCAATTGGGGTCATGGTATCGCCGAATTGGGCTTCGAGAATCATGAGAAGTTGAGCGAAGCGTTCGTGAGAGCTCATTCGACCCGGAGAGGGCATGTGTTTTTCGTCTAATGCTTCCTCGTGGTCGTGGTGATGATGGTGTTTATTCTTGCAAGACTCTATAAAACTCGTTAGCAATCAACTTGGCGTGATGTTTGAGGAGTAAACGTACGTTTGACAGATGCCGGACTGCTCTCGACTGTCATGAGAACCGCCATGACTGCATCGGCAACCCCGTCATTCATCATATTACCCTCCCATTCAAGTTCAACTTCCCGCGTGCGGGCCAAGTATCTCACGACTACGCTTCCCATAACCAAGTACGTTTCATCTTGCGCGTACTCGATTTCTTCGTCTGCTGCTTCGTGTGTTCCATTTTCTTTCTTGAGCTCCTTATCTCCAGTTGAGCCAATTCTTTCAATAACACCAAAAGCACTCTCTAGGGCCCATTTGATCAGATCCATACTTGCAGAACTCAGTGTCAAAAGTTGCTTGCATGTAATCGTCGTAGTAGTCAGGCCAGCATATTCGCGCAAGTCTTCCGGTGCCATTAATGACAGATCGAACCCATTCTGAACTAGCACGCCAGCCATGAGTTTGCTTTCGCCATTTTCTGTTGGCTGTGCATCTTCGGCAAGTTTGCCTACAACTTTTGCGATTTTGTCTTTCCTGAACGGGATGCGGATCTCATCACAATTTGCAGGAGTATAAACCTTCACCTTGACCGTTTTGTCCGCGTTCAAGCTCAGTAGCTTGGATTTGAGACGCATCATTTGATGTTTTTCGCCGTGTACGAGAATCTATCAAAGTCAGACACTTTCTGCATATCAAGAGATTAATTAGAACGTACCACAACTGGAGCTGCTACTTCTTCGATGAAATTCCTGTTCTCGACACCATCCACATGTGCCGCGAAACTAATTTCATCAATTGTGCAGCGTCTCGGAATCATAACCTTCTGATCTTCGTCCGCCATTGGATTGACACGACTACCAGGACCAGCTGCAGACTTTGACATGACCGCGGGAATCTGTTCTGGCTCGTTGAGTAGTTGCTTGGCCATGGTTCCCTCGACGCTGTAACCAGTCATGACCACTCCGTTGCGTTCACTTGGAGCCCATCGTTCGAGGAGTTCTCTGCTGGTACCCGTTTGCAGCATACCCGGCGAGGCGAGCATAACGCAACCGCCAATATCGTCAAATCGCTCAAGACTCCTCAAGCTACGCACATAGCGGAAGTCCCATGGTCCTGCTGCAACATTTTTGTTGCCACTAGCCTCTGCCTCTGCCATTCTTTGACGGAAAAGACGTTTAATGTTGTCGTTCATAGCTCCGATATAAGTTTGGTAAACGACCATACATCGACGTGCCATATTTCCGATGTAGTATATAGGAATTTTCTGGAATTCAGCGTGTCGCTCCCAGTATTCTTCTAGAATGAGAAGAAGTTCTTGCGCTCGACCGAGGGCAAACACAGGCATCAACACCCTCCCACCCCGATTGAGTACTCCCGTAATGGACTTCATTAAAGCTGCCTCTCGCTCCAAGCGCGGTGGATTTGATGAGATACCAAAGGTCGACTCTGTGATGAGGACATCAATTTTGATTCCTCTAGGCACTTCTGCGGGAATCAAATGTCGGTCTTCTTCTCGGGAATAATCGCCGGTGAAGAGAATGTTGAGACCTGCAATCGAGACAAGGAACATTGCAGCGCCGAGAACATGTCCAGCAGGGTATGGCGTAACGCGAATGCTGTTGATAGTATGGGTGGTATAAAAGTCGATTGTTTCAATGAGGGGTAGCGTAGAGAGATGGTCATGTTCTGTGTATAGTGAAGTTCTCTGATCCGATGAGGAAGATGTATTGCTGACTCGCACATTGTCCTGGATCAGCCACTTGTAGATAGCCTTTGTCGCGTGTGTTGTTAAAACTCGACCTTTAAAATTAGTCTTGCTTAGGACATAGGGCAGTGCGGATGAATGATCGACGTGGAAACTGTATATGCGAGCTTGGGGTCAGCTGTTGTTCTGTCTATGATATCGAGGAAGCGGCCCATATCAATCAAATCCTCATTGTCTGGACGAATACGCAGAAGTACGAGGGCAAGAGAAGAAACAGTGAGAATAATTTGCATTCATTTCTGATATACACATAGCAAGGATCCGCATACAAGCAAGATGTCCACTCATATGAATTTGGAATGCAATGGCCACTTTCCTTATACAAACATCATGCGACTCATCGATTATGAATGTAGGGCTGTGCCAAACTAAACGAATGGGGAGTGACGTACTGGCTAAGTAGAAGTATATCCACGGTACTGAGATCGAACTCGTCGAAGAAAGGTAAAGCTGCGAATCCTTCTTTTGCAGGGTGCATGCCAGCGTCGAGCTGTACAGCTTCATTAGCAAGCACTTCGCACATTGCATGGAAATCAGGCATACCATAACGGTTTTTCCCTTGTATTGAATGATATGACACGAACGACCAACTTCGTTGCCGCCTCCTAGACAGTAAAAGGCCAGCTCATCGGATGGATCGACTGGCTCGTCGTCCACGGTCGCGGCCATGGCAGACGCCTTGCGTTTCGCAGCCATGATTGTATGTGTTGGACGAAAAGACCCTAGATATGTTAAGTAGAACAGAGTCTTCGATTTTAATAAGTTTATATCAAGGATAATAGTCTTGAAGAAACCGATCACAACGGAGCGGCCATTGCAGTCAAGAGCTTCACACCGGGCGTTTGATTAGTGGAAAGCTGGATAGAAATACCAACACATCACATGGCAAAGCAACAAAGACAATGTTGTCAGCAGGGGAGACCAACAGCAATTGTTGAATGGTGAATAGATGAAAGCTGGAGACAACAGAAGGAAAGCCGATCAAGATGAAGGTAAGAGGAATAAGAATAGGATAACAATAGCCGCGTCGCGGTCACGTGAGCAGCCCGCAAACGCGCGCCTTCCGGAGCCGATCCTGCGGGTCAAACTATTTCCCAAGCTTTCTTACCCTGAATCTCATCCTTTTCCAGCTCATCATTGTCAATCACCGCCATCGCACCATCCGCGTTCGCCTAACGACTACAGGGTCTCCGTTATTATATTTCAGATGAGCAGAAACTAAGGTCCTTCTGAGATGGTTACGACTCATCTACACGTCACGCTTGAGCGCTCCGCTCGCATATCCAATATCGGTCGCTGAGATCAGTCCAACAGCCTAAGTGCTCATTTAAAGCCCCATCGCAGTCATCCAACATGGCGCAGGCACAGTCACAACAGCCTCCATCTCAACATTCTCCTCAATMCCCTCCCAACCAGCCGTTCTCACCTCCCGTCTCGACTCCCACTCCTCCAGCGATTGGCATCAACCCCCCTCCTCCCAAACGACAACGGCTTTCTCCTCTTCCACAAACACAGTCGCCTTATGGTTCGCCTGGATTTAGCGCATCACAGCTACCCCAAGTTCATACTCCCGGGATGAATGGAGCTCAGGTGAATGGCATGTCGACTCCGGTCCATCTTCAGAGCGCTACTCCTGTCCCACTCGCGCCCGTTGCGCCCGCMCCTCCTGGTTCTAKGGGACCGCCATCTCGMCCAGCCGATAAACCAACGGATGCTTCAGATTTGAGCGATGTTTTGGCGCAATCTGGTATTGACGTCAAGGAAGAAGAGGCGTATTTGACACAAAGCTATGCTGCACCTGTAGTAGCGCCTCGACCACAGCCACCCGGGCTCAACACTTCTTTTGTGTCAGCTCCATCGACTCCAGGTACTGCTTCGGCGAATGTCAGCTTCGATCTTTCTCAAGGAAGGCCCCCGGCAACACAAGAGCAACAAGTTGTTCCAGCGTACTCGGAAGATGCGCCCTACAATCAGCCAACATACGAGGAGACCCAGGCAGCGAGGAGATCTCAGTATCACTTGCAGGACCCGTTTCTTCTCACAAAAGTACTCGAGCAGAAAATGCAAAAGAGAGCATACGAGCTTGGAGTGCGGCTTCCAACAGAGGGCTTATATCATCCTATGCCGGGTTCTCGTCAACCGATTGAGGTCACAGGTCCGGACGGTTCGTCAATCGTTCGTAGAGGACACACAATCATCAATCAAGAAGGTGCGCCTCTTGTTGATATACTTTCGCTCTTGTCACTTTGCTGCGAGGAGCGGTTGAGGGGTGTCGTCGAATACTCTGCTGGTCTATCGAAAAGTCGGCGGTTACATTCTCATGGCGCTGTTCCTACAGAATGGCAAGACTTGGCTGTAACGGCTCAGAATATTTCGGAACCTGTTACAGGTACTCCTCAGAAGCGTAAGATTGTCTACTCACCGATAGCTTTATTGCAAATTTCTAATCTTAACTATGTATAGGACCGCTTGCTGCAGTCGACACCGCGTCTCAGTCACTGGCTGGCAAATATCTTATCTTATCAACAAAAGACATGTCTGCTGAACAAGCTCGTGCTGCCAAGCGAGCAAAACGAAATGCGGATGCTATAATCAGCGAGACTAACGGCGGCAGCAGAACTCCGTCGATAGATGTGGGCTCCGGTACTACGACCCCTCTATCACAACTAGCAATTGGTCTCAACAAGGGCACCACCAAAAAAGAAGCAAAGAAACAAGTAGATGCTCGGGCGACTGAGGCCCAGCAACATCAGCAATCTGTCGAGACTGCTCGCAAAGCTCTCTCCAGTACACTCTTCGGAGGGTCAAAGAAGCGAAACTATTCCTGGCTGAACAAGGGTTCCGCCGTGAACAGCATATCATCGCCACGATCTCACTCTCCTGCTCTTGGCAGCCCCAGCGTCGGTGCCATCGGTGGAGCCGATACAGGCGACAAGAAGCGCCTCGATAGCACCACAACAGCAGAAATAACTCGATTGGGAGACTGGCGTGAAGACAAAGCCAGCGGGATCCAAGTGCGCGACGTTCTATTCATGCTCGAACAAGACGGAAGAGGTTCGAGACACGTTCAAAAGGCTTACAGCAAAGATCCTCCCGACGAACGTCTTGCTTGAGCAGGGTACCTTTTTTTAATATTTCATATCAGATAAACATTACGTGGGGCTTTTCTTAAAGTTGTATCAACATATTCATTTACAGGGGGTTCTTTCACAATTGATCATTTTTAGCGCCGGTTCAATTCGTTTCGAGCTTGTTTGTTTGTCGTTTAGGAGACTGAAAGGCCAGATGATATGATCGAAAAGGCATTTTAAATTACTCTTTGAGCATGAGGCATTCTATTTGTGCACTACCTAGTTCAACCAACGGTGAATCGTAGTCGTAACGTCGCTCATGAGCAAAGCCTCGGGCACACCTGTGGACCGCTTGACTTTGTAGAAATTCTTCTACTCTACATCCAGGGATGTACCATCTTGCTAAAAAAAAAAATGAAATGACTTCTACTTATCATATATATCTTAAACACATTTCCGCAAGTAATATCCCTGTTCAACACGCGTGTGTACCCATGTAGCGAGGTTGATCGGACATTCATATGTTAAAAACATGCACAGCTTCGTAGTCCTGGCGTATATATATTTCTTTCCTAAGGCACTAGCACCACTTGACGACTTTGCATCAAAAACCCAACAGCAAACCACAAACATATAAGACCAACCTGAAAATGGCGTCTGAAGAAGCGCTAGAAAACCCGAAGACGAAAATTCTATCATGTAACCATACTTTCTTGTTTGGTGTTGAGTAGATTCAGGAATGACCCTAAATCCAATTACGGCCGTATAGTAAACCAAGTCACAACAACGAGTTACCAGTAGCAATTCATTTATTCGTCTCAGCAACGAGCAAGCATCACAAATAATCAATACATACTCCAAAAAGTAATCTGCATTCTCTGCATTGAGAGATCCAAGAAAAAAACAAAAAGAAAATCCTCCCCAGCAGGGAGTCGAACCCTGTTCTAGCGCGGGTTGCTGCAATTGCAGTGACAAGCGCCAATCATGACCGGTAGACCACTGAGGATTGATGTTAGTAATCGCAAAAAAGTGCTACATAGAAAGACCTTTTGCCAGCGCCCAGTGGTAGCGAGATGTTGGACTGCTAGGTGAGAGAGATTACCACCAGTTCGAGATGTTGTAGCAGAGAAAGCGCTTAAATTATTTTGTTCGTTGGCGTGGTTAATCTCGAGTTTGTCTCAGCCCCGGGTTCTGAATCAGTCTCGACACACCACGGCTTGCGTAGTGGTCGATCTGTGGCAAATGGCCTCAGCGCCTGTGACCACACTCTCAAATCTACGAATATTATTTACATTACACATCGTCACGGCAGTGTTGAAGGAGACGACGTACGAATTGAACTGCTTCTGAAATAAGAACAAATGGGTTGTAATTAGGTCAGGAATAAGGAGTTTCAGTACACAGTAGTATGTAGCATGCATTTCAGCATCAGCATCCACATCAGCAAATTATCTCCGCATCGGAATGTCTGATGGCCGTCATTTATGATTATCGTTGTTCCGGCCGACCACTGCACCCACACACGCTCTCTCTCTGTCATCATCCTACCACTTGACCCTCACTTCATCTGATCTGTTTGTACACTGCAATGGCTGTCTATATACCTCTTGTAACTTAGCACTACATACCGCCGTGTCCCCCCTGCAATCCTGCAAAGTCAAATCCAGCCGTCTGTTGCTCCGATCGACCACTCGACGAATCGTCACTTTCCGGCCCTTCCCTTCCACACTGACCACAACACCATTCCTCGCCTGACGCCTGCACTCCTGCACACTCACTTTGAGACCTCCAAATGTCCTGGCAGTGAGAGAACCGCCACTCTTGCGAGTCTGCACTCAGCCCGCCCATACTTGACCACGCCGGACGCTTTAGACGAGTCGGCTCTACAGCGACAGCGGCAGATTGTGTTTCCCGTGCGCCGCCCCTCAAGACACTACTACTACATTGTCCACCAACAAAACTGCCGGGTGTCTCTTTCATCATGTCGACTCCCTCGACTGCCACCGCAACACATCCCTCACATCACCCTCACTATGGCTATTCCCACCACCAAATCGGATATCAGTCAAACGGTGCTTATCCCGCAGCGAGTACTACGACCGGATCTGCTCGTCTAGCAAATAGTTACGCCTATTCTGCCAACACGCCTACTGCAACGACGACCACCACACAATCTCATCCTCTTCCTCCTGTCCCTCAATCGACTACAACCCCATCCAATCCTCCAGCGTATAACACCACACCCGCCCACACAAACTCAATGTCGTCCGGCACTTCGAGCCGCCGGCGGAAGCCCGATTGGAAGGAGTTCTACAAGAACGGGTTGCCCAAGGAAATCATCGTGATCGATGATACGCCTCCCCCAGACCAAGCCACAGGTTCTCGCCCACCAGCAGCGGCCGCGGTCAATGGCCAGCCTGCCGGAAAGAAAAGACGCACAGGACTAGAGTCTGCCTACGATGTGACGTACCACGACCGACCGTCATTCTCGACGAACCCCCAGCCGTACTGGGATAACTCATCTCACAACTCACTTTCAACCGACCGCACCACGTCCTTGCACACAACCGCCCCGACGTCTTTGGGGTCCGCTGGTAGTGTGGGAACGAGTAACGGTGTCGTCTACGAAAATGCCAATGTCGGCCAGAAGCGCAAGCGGAATACGAGGACATCGACTCGACAGGAAGCTAAACGTCGAGAACTCGAGGCTGTGAGCGACGCTTTTCTCAGTTACATCCCACCGCCTCAACCTCCGATCAAGGCGAAAGAGGTTCCGGTGCCTGTTATTCGTGATGTAAGTGTCATGCAAATTGAATTAAGTTGGGCGAAGCTGACATTTTAGTACTCTTATGGAAAACACGAAAAAGTCGACGATGACGATGGACATTATATTGTTCAAGAAGATACGCCGCTTACTGATCGATGTAAGATCATATCTACCTGATAAATGTTCAGTTTTGCTTACAAGAGATAGACTCGATTATTCGGTTACTCGGTCAAGGCACCTTTGGCAAAGTCGTCGAAGCATACGACAACAAACGAGAAGTGCGATGTGCAGTAAAAATCATTCGTTCGGTGCAAAAGTACCGTGACGCTTCAAAAATTGAATTGCGAGTGCTGTCTACGTTAGCGTCCAACGACAAAACGAATCGAAACAAATGCATCCACCTGCGAGACTGCTTTGATTTCCGAAATCACATTTGCATTGTCACCGATCTTCTGGGTCAGAGCGTGTTCGATTTCCTCAAAAGCAATTCATTCGTTCCGTTTCCAAGCAGTCAGATCCAGAATTTTGCTCGTCAGCTGTTTACGAGTGTAGCTTGTGAGTTCCCCTTTGGATGAAGGATGAGGATGATTGAGCTCTGGCTAATTGGCTAGTCCTACATGATCTAAATTTGATCCACACCGATCTTAAGCCCGAGAATATCCTTCTCGTGAGCAACAACTACCAGACTTTCACATACAACCGCACCATCCCATCATCATCCCATACCACATCACGTAGCGCTCGCCAGCGTCGTGTTCTGCTCGACAGTGAGATTCGGCTGATCGACTTTGGCTCGGCAACGTTTGATGACGAATATCACTCGTCTGTTGTTTCTACACGTCATTACCGAGCGCCGGAGATTATTCTGAATCTCGGGTGGAGTTTTCCATGTGATATCTGGAGTATTGGTTGTATACTTGTTGAATTCTTCACAGGAGATGCCTTGTTCCAGACCCATGACAACCTCGAACATCTTGCAATGATGGAGAGTGTCATTGGAAGCAGGATTGATGCAAAGATGGTGAAGCAGGTTGTACAAGGTCGGGGAAACAGTCAGAACCAAGCTGCAAAGTATGTTTCAAACCCCCCGGGCTTTGGACGTATACTGACTGTAATAGATATTTTCAACGAAACAAGCTTGACTACCCGAACGATGAGACGACGCGAGCGTCGCGAAAATACGTCAAAGCAATGAAACAGTTGCATGTAAGTACTTTTGTTTCTGTATGCATGATACCTTCTGACATCTACTAGGAATTCATCCCCCAGAATCAAGTATTCAACAAACTATTCCTAGATCTTCTGCAAAAGATCTTTGTCTACGACCCCAAACAGCGGTTGACGGCCAAGCAAGCCCTCAAGCATCCGTGGTTCAAGGAGACGATAACAGATGATGGGACTGAAGCTGTACGGCTTGCCAAACTCCGTTCTCATTTAGTTTGATTATGACACGGGAAACTAAGACGGTTGATTCTAATGTATAGTTAAAATACTCGGGCCGCCAAAAGGTAAATTAGCGCCGGAGTATGGATGGGCATAAATGGGATATATCGTTCATGATGGTGTTTGGATTGGATGGAATGGGTTTCGAGGAGGCGTCTGTTCATACCGGGGGTGTATCGCGGGCTGGGCTGGGCTTCTGCGTAAGTGCTTGACCAAGTACTGAATCAGCAGGAACAACTTCAAGCATAACGACACTATCTGCAGCCAGCCTACCTCAATAACAAAGGCACTTCACCTATATCATTGACGGAGGTGAGCTGCTGCCTGCTGTTTGTCGATATACATGATACATGCGCATTTGTCATATAATTGGAGGTTATTCGATGTATCCTTTACATGCCAGGGTGTTTCCTGTCTTTTTTCTCCTGCTGTCATGTTGGTGTTTGGGTTACCGATTGATTGTCTACTGGTATATCACATTCTACGGATCATAAGTCATGTATTTAATTCAATGATTATCTACCCTGCAACCGCATCTCTTTGCACGGTAATATATTCCCAATTATGCGCTGAGATAATCGAGTACTATTGAATAACGAAATAGCAAGTCTATGTTTAGTGACGAATATATACTCCAGCTTCCAATCAACAATCACCAATCACCAATCACCAATCACCAAGCAATCACCAAGCAATCAATACATAGAGCAAGAAAATAAAATATGATACGCAAAACAATGCAACAAAACCCACTCACTTATATCCGACCAAACAAGAAAATAGCAAAAAAAAAATTTACATCCCCCGATTGAACTCAACCTTCCCCTCCCGTCCCCCCTTATCCCAGAACTCCTCCTCAAGGCTCTTCACACTAATAGCCTGTCTAGACGGAAACGCGCCCAGCGCCAACGGCAACGCAAATATCGATGTCGTGAGAATCAAACCCAAATTGACGGGAAGCACCAATCTAGGACGCTGTTTCAGCCAATCCATTTTCTCGAGACGCACCAGGATAAGCGGCGGAAGAACCATGATAGGTGTTGCGTTTAGCACGCGACTAATGGCGGTTTCGCCAACTGCAATTTTCGCGGCGACTTTACTCTTTCCGAGGGACTCAACGGGCGCGCCGGCGAGTTTCTCTTCTTCGCTGAGGATCGGGTAGACGTCGATACCGCGACGGATCTCTTCGCTGCGCATGAGCAGCACGTTAAGCGCCGTTGCGCTCGAGACAGCTGCAAAGGGGACAAGACGGCTGAGAATAAGTTTTGTGTTTGGGGAGATGTTTTTCAGGCGAGGGACGATTGCATTTAGTCCCAGAGCCACAGAGCAGGAGGCAGAGACGGCGAGGAGATAGGATTTGACGAGCATGGAGGTTGTGAGAGGGGTGGATTTGTTGGCGTTGGAGGAGTTGATGGCGACGTTAAGGGATTGGTTGGCTATTTGCCAGAGGAGGGTGCCTGTTGTCTATATGTCTCATTCTGTTAGGGTCTGCAAAAAATGATTATGAGGAGTTGAGGGTACGTACCTGAAGGCCGGGGGTGAGCATGCCGGCTGTTACGACCAGATTGGAGAGAACGAATGAGGACATTCGGAAGGGAAGAAAGACCGGTTTTCCGGTGTCTGCAATTGCCATACACAATCAGCTCCTGTGTTTTTTAATTTTTCATTTTTGGAGCAATTGACGTACCAGGATGCAGCGTCGAATCGACAATCTGCTTTGCGCGCCACAGCTCAGGAGACATTTCCTTCGTGTCGCCATTTTTGTATGAGACGATTAATTTCTTTGCACTTTCTAGGCCAGCGGAGGAGATGAAGAGCATTCTATACGATTGTTAGCTTGTCTCCTAATAACGTCGAAGTAATTGGGTTGTAGGAAATACCGAGGATCAGAAATGCCGGCCGATTCGCGCACACGACCCCAATACGTGGTCAGGTCATGTTGGGACCGGGGGAGATCCCGAGTGCCGGGGAGAGAGGAGGACATTCGTCTAGCAGAGGCGGGATGGAGATTGTTCAATTGTGTCTATGGAAGTGGTGCTGGCTGCTCTATGTGCTCTGGTGGTAAAAGATACGAAGAAATGAGTCGAAGAAAAACGATATCGGAGATCAGTCGGTGAGGCCCTGATAAGCCCCTCGCCACATCGGGTATAGCGCGCTAGCGATAACAGTCGCGAGATTTGCCGCGGGTAACCGTTTGACACCACCTTATTGCACTCTCCTCTGAATACATTCAAAATGAGGGGTGTTATGGTGATTATCCCTCGACCTTCTTCAGTGCCTCGCCTCCCACCCCTAACTCCGCATCGCCAAATTCCTCGTTATCAGCTAGCTCCAGATCAAACTCATTCAGCAACGCCGCCTGCAATTCAAACTTGGACGCGGACCGCATCTCCAGCACATGCCCTCCATACGATCTATCCTCCGACAGGAAATGCATATGTAGCCCACTAACCGACACTCCATCCATGTACGTCGGCGCCCAGAATCCGACGATACTACCCGTTACGGACTCGTAGGTGTTCACTTTCTGTGCCTCGCCCAGTTCCGACAGCGGTTGGCGCGGGTATTGTTGGCCGCGGACGACGCGGGCGGTGATCGTGTCGAGATGAATGTGCGGAATGAGGAAGAATGCGAAGCGATTGTTTATGCCGTGAAATAGAGATTGTAGATATTGGAGGATGGATTGTTTGCTGGGTAGGTCCGAGAAGGTAGATTGAGTGCGCGTCTTGCAGTCGTTGAAAGAGGTTACCATGGCAAAGGGCAGTTGTTCGTGTGCTTCGACAACGCGCACTGCACCAGAGGATTGGAGATGGTAGGTCGTAGAATCGAGAATAACGACTTCGCCGTTTATGGAGGACATTGTTCCTAGGCCGTGGGTGCCATGCTCTAAAAGATTGGACAGTGGAATGCCGGTGGAAGCGACGCCGGCCATGAGCGCGGATGCGGTGGAGTATTGGTATAGCCTGTCTGCCATTGTGCTATTTATTTGTCCTGAATCTCAACTGTGAAGTTTTGTACAATGCCCATACAATGCGCGACTGAGATTAACCAGATTAAAGAGGGACTGGCGCCACCGGAAATGGCGGAGCTATCAACCACTACGTCAACACCAGCCCCACGTTGATATAGCCATAATAATTTAGCACTACATTCTCTCGTCTTTCAATTGATTCAATTGATGTCCCTGTCTCTGTTTCCAACGTAGCAAAATGTCAAACCGCAACCTCGCCAACATAATAGTTGACTCCCTGTCTAACGCCGGCGTCCAAATCGTCTTCGGCATCCCCGGCGCAAAAGTAGACGGCATATTCGACGCATTGAGCGACCACCCCACCATCAAACTCATAGTCTGCCGCCATGAGCAAAATGCCGCTTTTATGGCTGCCGCAGTCGGTCGTTTGACTGGTCTACCGGGCGTCTGTTTGGTGACATCGGGGCCGGGGACGAGTAACCTCGTCACTGGCCTTGCGACAGCCACGACCGAGGGTGATCCTGTGCTCGCGATTGCGGGTACAGTGTCGCGACTACAAGCTGCGCGACATACGCATCAATCACTCGATGTAAACAAAGTCCTGGAAGGAGTGTGCAAATCCGTCACCCAAGTCGGCGTCGAAGATCAGGTCAGCGAGGTGATTGCCAACGCATTTCGTCATGCGCGCAGATTCCCACAGGGCGCAACAGCTGTGGCTCTGCCCATGGACATCATCAAGAGTACCTCAGTCAGTGTACCGCCATTTCCGAGCCTAAGTTTCGAGTCTCCGGGCTATGGAGCAAGTAATCCGAAACTCGGCAAGGTTGCTATCGACAAGCTTATGGCTGCGAAATATCCCGTGATATTACTGGGCATGAGGTCTGCCGATCCATCCATTGTGGCGTCGGTTCGTCGGATGATCAAAGATCATACATTGCCTGTTGTAGAGACCTTTCAAGCCGCAGGCGCAATTAGTGAGGATCTCTTGCACAGATATTACGGCCGTGTGGGATTGTTCCGAAACCAGCCCGGAGACAAAGTGCTTGCCAGAGCAGACCTGATTATTGCAGTGGGCTACGATCCATATGAATACGACGCAGAAGCATGGAATGTTAACAATCCCACCACCGTCCACAATATTATTCATATTGACTATACCGATCCTCGAGTATCGCAGCATTACATGCCACAAATCGAACTTCTCGGCAACCCAGCTGATATCGTCGATGAACTGACCTCCAGCCTCCAAGCCTTGAAGCCAGCCTTCTGGTCCGGCGCCGAAGACGCTCTAGAAAACATCCGACAAGAAATCGACGAATGGCAATCAAGCGCCACAGAAAACGCTTTATCGCAAGGTCTACTAGATGAACCCGTTCAGCCAACCCATTTCGTCTACCAACTCCGCCACATGCTCCCCAAAGACACCGTCGTTTCCGTCGACGTCGGCACAGTCTACATCTACATGATGCGATACTTCCAGACCTACTCACCGCGTCACCTTCTCTGCTCCAACGGCCAGCAAACTCTAGGCGTTGGTCTACCCTGGGCTATCGCAGCAAGTCTAATCCAAGAACCCCCCTGTTCCCGCAAAGTTGTCAGCGTCAGCGGCGACGGCGGCTTCATGTTCAGTTCGCAAGAACTCGCGACCGCCGTGCTGCAAAAATGTAACATCACGCACTTTATTTGGAACGATTCTGGATATAACATGGTCGAGTTTCAGGAAGAGGCCAAGTATGGTCGCAGTTCAGGCATCAAGCTAGGAGGGATCGATTTCGTCAAGTTTGCAGAAGCGTTTGAGGGCGCAAAGGGATTTAGAGTTAATTCGACGAGAGAATTAAAGGAGGTTATGAGGGAGGCGCTGCAGTTTGAGGGAGTAGCTGTTGTGGATGTGAGGATCGACTATAGTAGAAGTCGGGAGTTGATGAGGAATATTATCCCGAAGGATTATAGATAGTCTGGGCTGGATGAGTACGTGTTGAAGATCTCTGTATTTAGAATTTGGAGGACTTTTATTTTGGACAATATTAATCTACTAGAACTTTACAGGTCACGATTTACAGACGTATCTAATTATAGTCCCGGTAATATGATCGCAATATTAATCTACTAGAACTTTACAGGTCACGATTTACAGACGTATCTAATTATAGTCCCGGTAATATGATCTACTTGGGCATATATCTCTCCCCCTCTCTCGCAGCCTTCACATGCACCACATGACCCTGTCCTTTCCTCATAATCATCTCAGTACCCACCGCCTCCTCCCCAGGACTAAATGTGGAAACAAAACTACTTTCAGGGGACATTGCACTGGCATATCCCCGCGAAGAAGACGGGCGTGTGTTTTGGGTAGAAGAGGAGGAGATGAAAGGAGACATATGAAAAGGGGAAACCTCAGGTATTGGAAGCAGCGCTCGACTCCTATCAGGCGTCTTTGGCGTTTTGGGCGGTATATATCTATCCGGCGTCTTTGATGAATTGGTTAGTGGCGATACTGGAGCTTCAACGTATCTATATCTGTCAGGTGTCACAGGGTTGATAAGCGGTGAAATTGGCGGCGAGAGCTCAGAACGCCTTGTATAAGATTCGGGCGACGAAACCGTAGTCTCCGAAAACCTCGAATACGAGCCTCGAATCTCATCAGTTGATGACCATGGACTGTAAAGTCTAGACGACAGACCTGTACCAGGACTTCGTCTTTCTCCTCCTCCGGTATCAGGATATCGATACTGGTCTAGTACTTGCTGTTTTTGAAGCACAGCTAGCGTCTTGCTAAGGCGGTTGTCCTGTGAGTATTTATCTGTGACATCGTTTTCATCGTCGATGGTAGAAGAGGCTCGATAAAATGTTCTATTTGGGGAGAACTCATGAAGAAATTCGGCTTCAGAGAATTCGTATTCGTTCCTGCTCAGAGGTCGGTTTAGGGTTGATGAGAATAGCGGATTTGGTATGTCCTGTGTGAGTGGGGGTGTAGGATTGTAGCACAGTGCAGGGAGCGTTTCGAGGCCTTGCGCATTGTGGGCTTGCTGTTTCCTGGCCCTTTCTTCCGCCTCCCTTTTCGCTGCCTGAGCTGCCTTGAGGTTTCTATGGAGTTTCGTCTGGTCGATGCAGTATCTAATCTCTTTAGCACGTTCCTCGGACGTGTCGAACAATATCTTTGCCTTATCCGTAAGTTTTATCCATTCATCCAGAAACGTCAGAATGATAGGCCAGGATTGATATGCTTTCAATTCTACGTGTGCCAGAATCACAGTTCGCAGCTCTCGGAGTGTTGAAGGATCTGTCGCGACTCGGGAAAGCATGCATGCCTCACACTGATCGGCTTGATACTTCCATCGTTCATTAGAAACATCTCGCCATGGCTCCGTCCACATCTCCTGAATAGCCGCGACACGGCGTCGAGTAATCTCCTCATCTGGCCCAAAGGAATTAATAAGCCCTCCCATTTTCTGTATGCCACTCTTTAACTCTGTATGCAATGACTCAAAGATCACCGACGTAGCAACAGAATAAATCTCACTATGCACAGAGCACAGAAATCTGTTCATATTGGTTTCTCGTTCATCTCTTCTAATCTTAGCCTTGCTGAGAAACTGGTCGGTTATTGAATACCTTCGGAGATGGCGAGGCAGATCATTGATTCTGGTTTTGAGCCTGTGTTTTAGGTCTCGCCGATCACCGCTGGAGGTGTTGATGTCGAAGGTGAAACACGCTGCTAGCTTCGCGATGTCGTCTTGGGATGTGAATAAAGCGGACATGGTTGTTGGTGTCCTTGCTTGTGGTCGATAGGAAATAACCATCGACTGCAGGATAGATGAATGATGAACTATCAAACGTCTAGGTAGATTATAGAGGTACTGACTATAAATCAGTGTATACTCAATTAATAGAAATCGTAACTTCATTCAACAATGGGGGTCTCTGGAAAGATTCCCAGAATCCATCACTGGTATGAGCCATACTTATATGACCATGAGGCGTCGACAAAGGAGTCATCGACCTGGAACATTACTTTATCACAGTACACAAGCGGAGCAAAAATTCGTCTAAAAAAGAGTTATGAGTATGAGTAATACCTGTTCGAGGTCTTAAGTTAGGGCTATCCGGTCTTTGATCCGTTGTAGCACATCGGATAATGACTCTTGTTTCGACGTCAGAGGGAACGAGGGCCGTTTGTCCGATGAATCATGTTCATACATTATTTTTTACCGTCTATAATTCGATCTAATATTTTCTGAAACTCTGAGCATAATGTTGTTTGGTACATCGAGCCGCATGAATGATGGCATTGTTGCTGATTCCTGGTAGATCTTAGCTGGTGTCTCGCGATGATTCAAGCGAAATATGGCGCCCATCAAATGAGTGCTATTCTCTAGGTATATAAAATCCTTATCATCCGGCCTGAGGCGTCATTTAGTAAAGAATAGATATGGTCAAGTACACAGTCGTTCAAAAGAATGATTAGTCCGAGAATCCCTCCCATTCCGAGTCGCCTTCCTCCTCACTCTTATACTGGCTTTCGCCATTCTCCTCTCCCGCAGCGGGCAATTCCTCAGCCAAAGCATCGTCTCTGATGAATCCAGCCACAAAAAACCCACCCGTACACTCATCATCACCCGGCCAACACCGTAGACATGCATCTATCTGCTCATCGCTCAGCTTAACAGCTATATCACTGGTAACCTTGCCGTTGGTATGCTTTTTTATTCCTCGATGTCGCCATTTCTGTAAACCTTGCGGCTGCTCATCGCGTCGCATAATCCTCCAACCTCTTCTTCTGGCAATATCTGATGCGAGAACCCTCTCGACAACGCATTCGTTCTCAAGTATGTGGATGGAACACGTGCTATACGTTACTCTGGTAGCAGCTGGGAATTTGAGCGCGTGCTCAACGATATGTGTCTGAAGATTTGAGAGCTTGAGTAAGCGCTCTGTATCCACTTCATCCGTTTTCTGAGTGTTGTCGGGCTTCGCAACTTCGTCCTCTGTAGGCCGTTTGCGCTTGGTCCCTCTATTTGACGATTTAGAGGTCTTGCCTTGCTCCGGAAGAACCAGCTTGGGCACGTCGTCACGACCAATAATACCACTGCCCGAACAACTCGGATCAAGTAGTAAACCACTCACAGACTCAAATCTTTCGTCTTCTGGATCTAATGCCAAAAAGTCCTGTCCAGCAAGTACAGTAACAAGCTTATCCGCTCCGGCGACGGAGACCATTTTCTGAAGGATCTTCGACCGCGGAGCCGATGCATCCATCGATATAATCTTCGACTTGCCGGTTTGTTTCTTGCCGTGATATTTCTGTCGCGCCGCAAGAAGGGAGGCTAAATGAGTAGTTTTATTTCCGGGCGCAGCACAACCATCAATCAAATCCCCTCCCTCCCATGCATCCTCCTTATCTCCTAGAAGTAGATAAGCAGGGAAACAAGATGCCTTGTCCTGCAGAATGATCTCTCCATTCTTATATGTATTCGACGATGAAAAGTCTACAGTACCCGGTGCAAGAGCAACGAGATCAGGTATATGAGCATCAACGTAAATTTGGTTCGCGCTGTTCAGCTGTTTCAGTCGATCCACTCTTTTATGATCTTTGAACGCCGTCTCCATTTGCGCATCGAGCGTGCTCTTGATATTATTGATGCGCACCCACCGTGGGTACATGCTCTCTGTGAGTTCATCCGGCCCAAGCAGCGCTCTCTTCTCCGCTAGTATCGCAGATTGTAGATCCGGAATCGACGCACAGTTTCGGCGCACTCGCGCTTTCGTAAGTTCTGCTTTCAGTCGGACCTTGTGTCTATCAATGGCTTGCCGAAGCGGGTGAGATGCGGGTGTAGCAATTCCATTTTTGCTGAATAGGAAATCGTGGGTTAAAAGTAGACATAGTAATGGCGTTAACTATTTAGGCACCCCCCTTCGATGTTAGTTAGCATCCTTTCTGGGCATGGGATATCTTTGAAAGGTCATACCTTTGGTTCCGAGGAAAGTATTCCGGCATTTTCAATCACTTCTTTGAGCAGAATATCCCATTTCGAGGCTTCTGTCACGAGGGCGTAGATTTGCGCAGGGGAAGCTTTGAGAGACTTGGAGTTGTAGATGCGCGATTTGAAAGAGCCACCTTGATTGTTGGGTGATGAGGTCAAAATTGTCGAGGCATCGTAGTATAGCGACATTTTCCTGTCGTCACAGCTCAATTCTCGACAGCCTGGAAAATAATGTCAAATCACGAACAGGAAACTTTTTGTGGCAGAAAACATAATCGGTGGCAGAATATATGAGGCGGTGAGAGCTTTCGAGCTCTGTCGTTTGATTGGTCAAAATTATATACTTCATCTCCAAATAGGGTTAGGGCTAGGGCTTCAACAACTCCCCGATTATCAACGAATTCCACCCGAAGCAAAGACATAGTTCAAGTATTCAGGTTGTAGGTCTTAATTAAAAACAGCCTTGATATTAAACAAGCTTTCTGATATATTTTTAAGTTATAAATTCCGTTGTGGACTGGTATATGATGTGACGCTGGCCTGAACATGTTTTGTTTGTATTATTTGATGAAAGACGAGACAATATAACGAAAGGATTATTTATATATAGGCTTATTACGATTTCGAGCACCCAATCTTGGACTATTATGAAACTACTTTTTGATTCGGTCCAACCTTAGCGCTTGGACAAGTGCAGCCGATTTTGTGATTTGGCCCAGAATGAAATCAAGTATCATTCGTACAACGTATAATCGAAAGTTGCCGCGTAATGAGATCTCGCTGGGGGCTTGGGATAACGGACACTGACCGAATTTTAGTCAATTTGAATCCTAATCTAGTTTCTGGATCTTGGCTGATGTTATCTGAAACTTCGAATTGTCGCAATCGTACCATACTCAGAGGAAGAAGTTAAGCATGTTAATATAAATATTAGGTTTAGGTAAGCCTCTGGTCGAAGCCGCGCTGTGAAGGAGTCCTGGATATCCTGACATCACCGTAATACTTGCGATGAGATGCGTCGAACATAACAGTCAAGGTGTACAATAAAACACGGAAATAACCTGGAGTAGTCCTCGTCTTCTTAAATGGGGTGATAAGTATTGATGATTGGAAGATATTGTCGTTACAGTGTAGCACTTTGGTTGTCTAACTTAGATACATGAGTAAGAAGAAAATAAAAGGAAATCCGTGGCATACGGTAATTGAACAAAAAAACAAAATGATGATGGTTAGGTAAAACTGATAATCCGTGACTGATAGCATAACTCCTAAACACCATGATGCATAGGTGTACCTGCACCAACCCCCCTCGATATTATTGCTCGTAAACATGTCGAGAACATAGAACATTTGGAGTTGCTACTTCATCTTGTGAGTGATAAACGTAGTCTAATTGTGATAGGAACTCTCCAAATCTTCAGTCATCTTCGAGTCTCTACCCGCCTTGAGCGCCTCCCGACTGGCAGCAAACATGCCTAAGCGCGTGCGGTATCGTACCTGCCGCATATAATTTGTTTGATCTTGCCCTGGTTCTTGGGGCCCGGCAAAACTCATATCGCCTCCTTTAAACATCCGATAAAAGCCCCAGCCCATAGAAGCGAGAAAGGCGGTACCGATGATGACGAGGATAACGATCAGGTTGACCATGCCCACGCTGAGGCCGCCGATCTGATCTGAGGACATTGTTGTGGTTGTTTTTTTTTTGTGGTTTTTGAGATCAAGTGTATCTATGTTGTTGATGTAGTCTTCAGTCTTCTTGTTGGGAGGCAGACCGTTATTTGACGTATTTGGTTGCGCGCTCTGCTCTATGATCTTTTTTTCTGAACAACCGAGAAAAGGGAGCGGCTTGTGACAGTGATGATGAGTAGCGCTGTCTAATCAGGATATATAAGCTGGATTGCTAGATCTCTCTTCTGGAGGATGTTGGTGGTATAATCGGAAAGATCGAGCAAGAGTGTTGCTAGGAGACTGTCGTGGCAAACGAAGGGGCAGATAAATCACTGGTGCGTATATTATCGATAGCGTCGTGTACGTGAAGAACAATAAGCGAATGAATGTGACTTGTTCAAAGATACTCAGGTGTAAGAAGTTTATTGATGGAACTGCTCAAGCAGGATAAAGAGGAAAGAAATTCAGGGACAAGTGGAAGGAAGAGAGGGCATAATCACTACTTATTACAAATCCTCGATGCAAACCCTGAAGTGACTAGACAGTCAAGCCAGCGCATTAAAGCCACAGATTTCGCACTTCTATCTTAGACCCATGTGTTTCACCCATAAAATGTATAATACCATAGGCCCGACATCCTGCTCACCAATCAGGCAACGAGTAACGGCCGAASGAGCCACATTCTAGACACACAGCTGAACACGAGAGGAACGCTAAAGCAGGGGAAATGTTAAGATGCCACGGTTCAACCCAGGTAAAGTGGGATTGAAGGGTTCTGTCTGACAGTCTTGCTGCATGGGCAACGAAAAGCGAAGAAATTAGGGTATCAACAGGCACGCTTTGCGCTAACCCATCCTGGTAAAGGGCAACCGAAAGGAGTATGGCTTGCAAAGAAGTGATGTCATAAAGCGAGCAGACCAATCACAGCGTCAGAAAATGTGGGCAAGACAGCCAATCAGCAGCGGATCCGAGCTTTGTCTGGTGTTTAAATTGATATCCCATGCACTAAGCCATTCCAGGCATAGCTCGATCCATACTGGTTAAAAATAACCAACTACAGCCTCTTTTTCTTCTTGACCGGACTGATCAATTGGCATGTGTGCAAGAGACTGGAGAGATACGCGGCCTAGTGCGTATGGCAACTCAGATACGTCTCGAAATGGGCAGTTGTTCACGCGGACTTGCGTGGACTCGCGTTCTTTTCCCGATTGAGATTCAGCTTGCTCCCTGGGATTTGAAATCAATGAGGTGCTAGTCAGGGTGTGACCTTAACACCAAGCACGGCAAGTTCAGATAGTCGACGTGTTCTCCGTGTGGAACGGCGTTCTGGCGTGACTCCTTGGCTGAAATCTCGTGACCCAGTCCTGTGATAGGGCGTCTGATTTGCATAATGGGCCTGAAGTGTAGCTTCAAAAGGAAATGGTGCTGTAGAGTAGTGCCGAGTACTGCACATTCTTTACTTACCCGGACGTCTAGTATGGGTCGTATCCTGTCTACCTTGTCACTTTGACGTGGGCTGTTCTAAGGTCAGATGATCTGAAAACCAAGCTTCTCCGCAGCCAAAGTAATGTTTTTCCTCATCTGCCTTGACTTACTTCAAATTCACGGATACAAGATTCCTCTGTTAATAACTTGGATTACAACGTCCATACCCTGCGCAGGATACACGAGACAGATTGGAGATTTAGAAAACATATCTGGTGTACTCAAATCACCTTCTAAATTCGACTGAATGTCTAGGCAGTCGAGCCGCACAAAAACAGCTGCCGAATTGGATCATGCAATATTGATATGATTCCTACGCTGCTACGTTGCCTGTGTCACTCATTCAGGTAAATAGCGTCACGATGTCGGCAAAAATCCTGATGGTCAGCGGCCGTATCGTCGATGGGTTGAGATATTGACTACATTGACTCAAATCATCTCAGTCGCTCCTGTCCTGCACGACCTGCTTTTCACCACTACAACCAACTTTGAGGTTCCGACCTTAGCCAGAACAGCGACGGAACAAAGATGCGACTCGGCCATTGCAATCAAAGACCTAGGAACAAAAGCCTCTGATTATACAGTACACTCGTGTTTATAGCTCTGAGCGACGACCTTGGCCATTCTTCTACCTGAATTGCTTCGATTAAACCACGCCTAGTCAAGTTCTTAAGGCTTACCCATGCGGTTTCAAGCGACCACCGATGAAAACAGAAAGTCGATAACGTTGTTGGCACGTCAACAGGATGCTTATCTCCCATTTTATGCCACACTTGACGGGAACTAGAACAGCCGCACGCGACTTCACCCAGCCTGGGTTGAATTTGACAGAAGATTTCGCGTGGTGATTTCACTTCACTTTATCCATGACTGGACGCTGACATAGTGGTTGAATTTGTACAGTCGTCGATGGTTTCAGTCAGCGACACATTGATAACAGCATCTCCACGTGGCTGATGTTTCGCGATCCTCATTCACAAACTTCTCGTTTTCTGTCACGCCACAAGCCCTTGGAATCGCAGGAAATGTGCATATCGACACCGAAATCGAGCCCGATCTAGAACCGATATTCCAATACAGCGTCAAAAGATCATGGCGGTACTCACGATTGAGTTGCTTGTTTATGCGGCAGGAAATGCAGCGTGAGGTCATTTATTGAATCGCTATCCAAATGGGGAAGATCAACACTCTTCCCGTACAGGACGCTCCAATGCATCTGGGCACATTTCAAATCGGCCGAGGTGCAACATATGACGCTTGTTCAGGCCCGGAGTTTGTATACGGATGTATATTCTACCTAGGACCAACAGAGAACACTTGGCAACGAGATTTGTCATTACATTCCGGGATACTTGGAATGAAGCGATGTTGCTATGTTGGAAGTGGACCAACGATTGCTCGGACATGTCTCCACCGCGCGCTCTTATGTTCATCTCCGTACTATCTCCGAGCGATTATAAATACATGATTGAATCACGAGAAAAAAAAAAGTTTGATGTGTATATATCGCGAGGATCGTCCCGTTTACGCAAGTGTTTCGTTTAAATTTCGGTATCTGACGTCACATACCAAGGTATCCGTCTCAGGGCTGGCAGTTTACCGAGTCATATATACACATACCTAACGAATCGCAAATATGGCACCAGTGCATCCAGAAGTCTTCAGCTTCACCTCTACCCTTCACCATGACACCTACCCTGCCGTCGCAAAAGCTTCTCACAAGGGCCGAACGGTTTTCATAACCGGTGCCTCCAAAGGGATCGGGCGAGCAACAGCAATCTCATTCGCCAAAGCCGGCGCAGAAACAATCATCATCGCCGCACGAAGTAGCCTAACAGAAGTCGAGACCGAAATAATTGCTGCTGCCAAGGAAGTTGGCGCATCACCTCGCGTCATCAAACTCGTCCTCGAAGTCACAGACGAAAAGAGCGTTGCAAATGCCGCCGCCGAAATACAAAGGACAGTCGGAAAAGTGGATATCCTCATAAACAACGCGGGCTACCTCGAGAAATGGCTTCCGATTGCCGAAAGTGACCCAATCGAATGGTGGAAGACATGGGAAATCAATCTCAAGGGTCTCTACCTCGTCACCCGCGCTATTCTGCCCTTGGTCCTCCAAAGCGAAACGAAAACAATCATTAACCTCAGCTCTATCGGCGCTCACTTGGTGAGTCGCGGTGCGTCTGGATATCAAATCTCGAAACTAGCCGTGATAAGATTCACGGAGTTTATTGTCGAGGAATACGGCGAGCAAGGTGTCGTCGCTATCTCTGTGCATCCCGGTGGTGTCCTTACGGATTTGGCGGCTAATATGCCGGAGTACATGCAACAAGTACTTGTTGATACTCCTGAGTTGGCGGGGGATTCTCTTGCATGGTTGACGCAGGAGAAGCAGCAGTGGCTGAATGGGCGGTACCTTAGCGTGACTTGGGATATGCCAGAGTTGTTGGCGCGAAAGGATGAGATTGTGAATGGTGACAAGTTGAAAGTGAGATTGGCTATCTAGGCATTTGGATGTCGGCGGCATCATACCTAGCTTAAGGAGATACAATAAATTTGTACATGGAAAAATACATCTTCTTTGTGACTGGTATTATGCTAGTTGTCCACCTGTCGGATATTGCAGGCACCATGTAGACATCTATTCGATCGCTTCAAATGTCAACTACTAACTTATTTTTGACTTAAATATAAATCATGCGAGACAGTAGGTGGTAGTACGAGTGATCTTTCTGTCTACGGCGTTTAGTTGACGAAGACCGAAGGCATTTCTATGAAAATTGAGCGACTTTTCAATAAGTTGCTGTATGTGAGTATATAAATGTGTATTGGTGTGTTTTATAAGAAGTAATTAAAGTCTGTCTGCGTCACATTAGAGTTTTGTTTCTTGTTTGATTCGTCAAGCCGTGCTCAAGGTCTTGCAACAGCTCCTTGTCCTTTGATGGATATCAGGGCTTGGTCAAATCAGCCCTAGCCCTAACTCGTATCCGATGTGATTACTGTGCAGCGTCTACATATAGATTTCATATACCGTTTTTGAGTCTGACTCTGAAGAAAGCAGAAAGTGAAAGAGAAAATCCTCCAGGATATTTAGAAAATATTATATATAAGTGTAATAGTTATGTCTGCCGCCAACGCCTGTACCATCCCGATTCCTGCTCCATTCAATTAACATGAACCAATGACACATTGACAGTAAAAAATATTTTCAAGAGAAAGTCTTCTGAGCAGACTATAGATAAATGAAAGAAAATTAAAGATTGTATATCTAAAACCTCCGCGTCGGTAACCGATGTACAGATCTCGTCCTCCGCACCGCATACCGACTGCTCTCTCCCAACCGACCCAGCGCAAGACTCTCAAGCGTCTTCTCCTTTTCGTTGAACAAGTCACTGCACACACGTCCCGTAGGCCGTCCCTTTTGTTGTACGGACGGAATCAAGAAATGAGTCACGATTGACCCGACGATCATAGCGGCACTGAAAACTACTAAAATCCAACCGTAGCGAACTGTGCTGCTGACAGCCGTGGATGTACTACCAATGTTGTAGTAGACTGTGAATAGCTCGACCAGAATCGACCCCAATTTGCCAGATGCGGCGCTGATGCCGTGGCAAGTTGCGCGGTAGCGGGTTGGGAACAGCTCGGCGGGGAGCATGTATGTCGTTGCGTTGGGACCGAAGTTGAACAACGTCTGTCCAATAATGTACAACACGATCGCCACGGGTCCTTCCTTATGGACTGTAATGAACATGACACCCATGGCAATAAACATGCAAGCCAATGCCAAAAAGCCATACTTCTGCAAATGCACGCGATTGAGTTTCGGCGCAAACACGATAAGCAACAACCCTCCAAGAACACTGCCCGCATTCAAGATCACCATTGCCTCGACTGATGTTTGCAGAAAAGATGAATAGATGGATTCGTTGGGGTCGGTTGTAGTTTTCCAAGATGGTGCGACACCGTTAAGCTCCAGGTTCCCCCAAGTCTTTGCCAAAAATTGCGGGTTCGAGAGCTGAATACCGTAGAATCCGAAATCGAGTAGCATCCATGCAATTGATGTGCCGAGTAAGGTTCGCCAGTTGCCTTCTTTCCAGAAGTAGTACACCACATCGTGCCAGACAACGCGCCAGTGGGATTGGAAGGTTGGTGGGTGCAGTGTGTACTCCGTGTTAGGCGTGATACTGCCCGCGTCGTCGATGGATGCGCTAACGCCACCGGCACTTGCATAGGAAGAGAAAGAGGCCGCTTTGGGGAGCGTAGTGCCATCCCACGGCGCATCAAACTCGCTACCCATCTCGACATGTTGCTGATCATTCCCAAACAAAGTGGTAGCATCAAACTCAGCTTTGATGGGATCATTGTCGATATCGAGCAAGTAACGGGGTGTTTCGGGGATCGCGAATCGGAACAGAGATGCAACCACGCCGGGAATGACGCCGATGCCAATGACCCAGCGCCACATAATGTCGACTGCGCGGACGGTGTCTGAGTTGACTCGGCTGCGGGTCGCGGCGACCACAATGAGGGCGACTATGTTACCGGCCAATTGGCCGAGGGGCTGCATGAAGAAGACCGAGGCCAACATGCGGGCACGATGTTTGGTTGGAGCAAATCTATACTGTCAGTATCCTCTCTTCGCTTGTAGGACGAAGAAAAACTTACTCCGATGTGATCACGGCGCTCAAAGGATAATCAGCGCCCACCGCAACACCAGTAGCAATGCGCCACCAGATCAACCACGCATAAATGCTCATACTATTGTTTGCGCCGGTAGACGCCATCGTGACTCCGAGAGTAGACACAATTAAAAGCACCAATTCAACGCCATACATCCTCTTCCTGCCCCTCTTATCCGCCAAGAACCCGAAAGTGATTTGACCGACAAACGTGCCAGCGAGCGTCGCGATGTTGATGAACGTCATTTTTCTAGAGCTGGTTTCGTCGTGCCAGTATACGTATTGAATCATGGGCAGGGCGATGTTACTCGCGAATAACTAACAAATCAAAAAGAGACATCAGCGAATGCTTAAAGCTTGTCAAAATTTACCGATAAGGGAACACTTACGGTGTATCCGTCGAGGAAAAAACCGACGCCGGCGACGAGAACAACGACCCATTGATATTTTTGACGGTCGATAGTTTCGTAAATCTGTTGCATGCGCACATAGCGATCCTTGGTATGGTGTTAGTTTTTTGAAGTCTGGCATGTGGATGGTAAGCGTACAGTTTCATGGTCGAAATCGCGGGCTCTGTCGGTTTTGTATAACCGATGCATCATTCGGCCCATGATGGGCGATTTTCCGTTAATCCGCTGTGATTTTTATCGAATTGTGAATAGCGGGCTGCTCAAGAATAGCGAATGCTGGAAATCGAGCGTGGTGATTATATTGACTATGTTCGAGGTATGAAGTAATGAGTAAGAGGGGAAGAGGAGAGCAAAATCTCGACTCAAATCGCCACCATCACTGTACTGTAGCAGTTGAGAAAATAATAGTAACTAATTAGACATGCAGCTAGAAGGTACCTAGTCGATGTTATATGTATCATGCTACACTACGCACGTATTGCCATTAGCCCATGCGATTCTATACTAGGGTTCTCGCCCGCACCGGTGCCATGCCAAATGCTCCAACCAGTGGCAGACCTTATTGTTGCCGGATGTCATTGGTCATGGATCGCATTTTGTGATTGTGCTCTGGATCTTATTCGTGGGCGTAGAAGTGGGTAATTTCTCTACGTGATATACTAGAATAAAAGAAAAGTGCGGGATCCATAGTCGGCCCATGGCCTTGTACGGGTGACTCCATAGGGTGGCATACATTGATCGTATCGATACTAATAGTGCGTACTCCGTGCCTACTCTAGTAACGATTCGATCGATAGTGGTGTCGTGCAAGTAAGACCTCCAGATCCACACTGCAGGATTATTATGTTATAAGTTAATTACTCGAGATTACTCCGTAGAGGCCACGCCCTGAAAGTGTGCTCTCCACGAGTCCAAAATCTTCCAGGTTGTTCCTTAATCTCATCTCGTCTCGGCTATGTATACGCAAACACCAGATGTTGCATATGCCAATGCCCCGGTGAACCACGACCTAATTCCCATTACGAAATGCGGCGAACAGGGGAAAAAGAAAAAGATGAAGAAAACAAATGGTGGCTGGCCCCAGACTTCACCACCTTCACCAGCGAGACTTTGCGGTCGATACACGTGCCGGCTGCTTAACCCTCCGCCCGCCGAGTCCCGGAACGGGCTGCCCTATCAACTGGGCCGAGAGACCTAGCGTGTCCTAACACTACTAACTGCCTAACAGCCTAACAGCACTAGGGGTTTGAATGATTCATGAATAAGCCGATTTTACCGCGTGTAAGTGAACCAGTTACTGGCAGTACATAAGCCTGCTAAGTTATTGCTTGCCAATGTCTTGATATGTGCCTAGTCGTGAGTTCTTTGCTTTGATTTTGTTAGATGAATTCGTACAACTCGCGACGGAATTGCTCCGTCTGTGCATTGTCTCTCAGCAATTGGCAACATGAGAACGCCAACGGAGAAAAGACCTTAAACCAGAAGGTCCAGAACCGTGGCTCCCTCTAAGAGCCCACTACCCACTGGCCCAGAGTCCACCTTTGAAGAGTCCTAACTATATCCGGCATAGTATGCATTTCTCTGTCACGTCCAAGCTCAACCCCTCTAGCCTACTACGTAGTAGTTAGTACGAAGTCCTGCATTTGCCGGACAACAGGGATCGGCCATTTTATTTTATGCAGTAGCAGGTGGTCTGACCATACGGAAGCACTTCCTGAGCATAATATGTGATGATATAGACCGCAGTACGTACGTAGTATCTAGGTTCACTCAACACTGAATGTACCTGTGATCCAATTGTTGATACATATGATGTCCGTCTGGTTCACGCTGCACAGTCCTCCTCGTAATGGAAAGTAGGGTTGATGATCAATTGCGATTCATTCGGTACCGCACGACAAGAGATCAACCGAAACATGGTAGAAATAAGATTCATGCATTGCGTGATGGGTATTGGGTTATCTATGAAAACAATAAGATAGTAAAAGAACGCCACGATGCAAGACCAACGTCAACCCTGAAACGCCATGCAAAGTATTAAACAATAATAAGAAAAAAGTGCGATACGAGACTGTCTACCGCTCGATGTGGTGTGCGATGATTTCGCCAAATTTCTTTCGCTCTGTACAAGAATTAGCAATTCGATTCTCCGGTCGAGAAACTTTAAATGCAAACTTACCGTCATCATCCAAAAAGTGGAAATATAGCACCTTCATCTCAGCCAGAATTTCAAAGTTTGGCCGCAGATACAGCAACACGGGCTTGCTGGTCTTTTTGGGCACATCGATCTTGTCGATGCAGTTCAATGGCACAGATACGTATCGTTTTCGTTCTTTTCGTTGCGAATTCGCGAAGAAGAGGAGTGTTAACCTCTCGTGCCGTCCGCGTAAGAGTCGTAGGTTTTGGCTGATGCATTCCTCGCCGCGGCCTTTAGATTTGGCCTCGGCTATACCGGCGATGAAGACGAGTTTGGAGGATAGAAGTAATTCCTGGAATCGGACGCAGTCTATAAGCGTGTTAATAGAGGTCAATATTGGCCAAGTTCCAGCCGTAAAATGGCCGTAATGGCGTAATGTGTTGACTCACCATCCCAGTGATCGAAAGTATATGAAAGTTGTGTGGTGAATTGTGTATTGGCGGTTTGAACTGTTTGCTCATCGAGAAACGATACTCGGTGCGGGGTGTCTTCCGACAGACGAGGATATTCTAGGTGCGGAATTGGAAGTCGAGTGCCCGAAACTGTTCACTTCTCAGTATGCGGTTTTATTTGTTTATCTGACCGGGTGTCACTCACAGTCATGTAAAAAGGTGCTATGCGATCCATTCGAGCCTCCAAGGACTAAATGTTTGAGCGTTCCGTTGAGTTCTTTGACAATATCGATATGCGAATATTGCATGCGAAACAAACGAGTCTTTCGGACAAAGGATCTGCAACGGCGCCCGATGGCTTTGTTAATAAATCTCCCTCTTTATATCCCAACATCAATGTAGTACGAATATATCCAGGGTTGTAGGACGAGTACGACGAATAGGACACATACATTGTCACGGCCGGACTCAGATTCACTCGCACAACATCCACTGGAGGCGACGCTTTTCCCTTGTCGCTCACAGTAGGCGAGATCGAAGTCGTCGGACTCGGTGGCGGTTGAAATCTGCTGATAGACAAGAGGCTGGCCTCCGAGTCCTCGGTGGCGGTCGATCCGTAACTCATGTATCGCGTATCACGAAGAGGCCATTCGGGCCAATCTTCGAAATCCTGGGAGACCACTGTATTCATGCTTTCCAGAGAGTAAAAACCTCGACGTGGCGTCGAGTTGCGCAAGCATGTAAACTTATATATAATTAGGTGATGTAACTCTTAAATGTGGCTCCCGCCAGAGGAAGCGATTTGGAAAGTGGAAACGGTAGAAAATAGTCGAATCGGGTAGCGCGATATTATGGCATTATTTTGTGTATGAATCCGCTTGGTTCTGGCTTTTGCCTCGACGGACTGTGGCACCTCTAGTTGAAACGCTGTTTTTGCTTTTGTATCTGGTACCTGAAATCTGTCTCCGTGAGAGAAGTGAATTTGATTATTCGAGAGGGGGAGCAAGCGTTCGAGGTTGAGATGGAGGGCAACGGTCTTGTACTAGTGAGGTATGGCAGCGCGACGATAACAAGAGGAGGAATAAGAAAACATCAGCCACCACATTGCAATTGCACACGCAGGAGCTATGGTATGAGCTGTGTCGTGACAGGCCAAGAACGAAAAAAGCCATGACTTACTCAGTCTACAAGGATGCCTGCAACGAGCACAAGCGAATCACGAGGAGTACCCCCCCAAGAGACCATTGCGGGGCTTCGATTGGCTCTCCGGGTCCCCACAAGGCGCGGTACTGCCAGATCGCCTGGAGCGGCTATAGACATGGTCTAGTCTTGATGCGGGTTAGCGCATGTGATTCAGCTGGAAATGAGCCCCACTTGCAAAAAGCACGGACCCGGCTATTTCCACGCTGTTGGGTTTATGGGCTGCATTGCCGCAACGTGCTCGATCGATTGGCTGTCGACAAAAGCTTGGTACGGGACCCACAACCGTAAAAGCCACCCTCCTGCACCAACTTCCAGACTGATTCCATTTCATCCGCAGGTAGCCTGAAGCCGAAGTACAGGTACATAGCATCACCGGCATCATGTCCGCGTCAGTCCTAGCTCGTCTCGTACATAGTGCTTGGCACATGAATGTGGTGAAAACACATGCTATTTTCCTCCGCAGTACGAAGTTGCAATATATGCTTAGCCGAGTCGAGCCCAGGGGTCCTATGTCTGGCTGGGCAACGCTTTACCTAGGTATGCTATGCAGCGAGCCTCCGAAGACTCGATGAAGGATAGGGTTCTCGAATGGATGGTATCACGGACTGTTCCGTACTCCGTGCCCCGTTACGTATACAATCAACTAGTATACTAGTTACTGTGGCCGAGCTAATCCAACCGATGAACCGGGGGCCCTCAGTCATTTACCAACACGTGGAAAATGGATTGTCTCTCGATGATGACACCACCTGACACTTGCAGTGACATGCCGAAGATCAGTCCATTAGCCTCTGGCATAAACGCACGAAACTTATTTTATGTACGGGTACAACGTACTACAATGTACTACATATGTATGTATAGTAAAAAGCAAACACGACGTCGATAACAAATGCAAGCCAAGGAGAAGCTCAAAGCGTGGAACGGGTGGGACGCGAAGGATTCCCAACCCGACGCCCTTCCAGAAGCCTTTGTATGAAACACGTGGTCCTTAGGGCTCTGCCGATGGGACGATGCTACGTTATTCCGCAGTAAAACTCGGACAAAAGTCCCAGGGCTCATCTCGATGTACTATGTGGCCTACTAGGCCAAGGCGCAAACGCGTATGTAGGCTGACGTCTCTAGTGTGTGAGGGGAATCAGAGATTAGATTGAAGTCGAGTCGTCAATGCTCACGTGTATCGCATACGGAGTCGATTTGGAAATTAGCATCAGCAGACTGCATACAAAATATACAGCTTGAGCACAAATCTAACCTTCATGTATTAGGTTTGAGCTCTCACGCAAAGCCAAGATCGCCCAACAAATCGGTTAGGAGCAGATACTGAAATTCCTTGCTTGAGGCTTATCATCGGATACTCAATCGAGACCGATCACTACGTACTCGACTTCAAGGCCGTCGACTATATGAGGTCAGAATCCCCGAGTCGAACTATGGCTCATCAATTTGCTAGCCTCATCGCGTACGAAATCGCCGCGCACGAACCTTCTATGGAGTACTAGTACATGTACGCTATTCTCAAGAAGGAGCAGCTTTTACATAAGTTACGTACCTGGCACTATCTGCGTACTAGCTCCTTCCTGAGAAGGTCAATACGAGCGAGAAGGATTGATATGCATAAATTGAAAAAAAAAAGGCACGCTTTGACGATAAGTTGCTAGTACTACTTGCTACAAGTACGTACTTGCCCCCGACTTCCGATCTCCGAACCTTGATGATCAAAATGAGTGCCGTAAAGTACAGTGCAGAAACTAGTCCCAAGTAAATGCCATCATGAGTCTAAGCTGACTTTATAACGCCTCCAACATTCCCGAACGCGTCCAAGCTTTCGTTAGCGAGCAATTAGGATTTCATCCTAGCAACACGTGTGCCAACATCATGGTTCTTGACTTATGATGAAAGTCTTGGATGAGTTGATTTCTTCGCGTTCTGCGCGTGTTCGATAATACTTTTCTGGAAGCTTTTTGCTAGACTGATACTCGAACTCTTCAAGCATTCGTCCTTGTGATGGATGTTTGTCCATTGTCTACTGACCCCAGCCGTCGAAACGGCTCSCTCGGCTTACCCGGATCTGTCGTCGTCTATTCTCACCGTAGGAGCTACTATCGACCTATCGACCCCATAATCTATTTAAAATACCACGTGCGATGGTGGCGACGGAGCTGGTTCCCTGCTCGAGGACGGCAAAGTTTGAACAAAATCGGGGACAATAATGGGCCTGTTAAGCAGGCCGTCTCTATCGCATGGTGGACATTGTTGTACTAGATTGTTGCTGTTGGTTTTCGTCTGATTGAATCGGACATTGCTCCATAGTCCGTAGAACCTGGCCACCTTTCTTGATATTGACGTGGATATGTCTTATCAACGAAACTGTTGTCCACGTCCTTGAATATGTCATTCCATAGTATTTGTAGCTCAATATGTCAGCCTTATGCAATGACTTAGAGTCTTCATTATACTTTCAACCCGCGACGAATACCGGTATTGTTCGAATGAGCTTAGCACTGACCAGGTTCAATTAAATTAACGTTCGGAGCTTCTGATTCCTACTAGTTTGCTGTGGAGTCGACTATATTCATACTGGAGACGGTTTACATGGACGAGGATAAGGTTGTTTGGTCACGGAAATGAAGGAGCACGTCAAGCTCCCGCTGCGATACTGAGACTCTTCAGATTGAATGGACACTTGCCAGAGATATCATTGTTGTTTTCCAGCAGTAGGATAGAAGTGTCGTAATTGGTATGATAGTACACTGGTGTTAAGCCATCCCCAGTTGTTGCATCGGCCACTCAATCCACCTATGAAACTGACGTTGTATAGAATCCCTAATACCCCCCATGACATGGACATCCCATCCCTTCATAAACCATACCGTTTGCATGTACTTCAAAAGCATAGCCCAGTAGGCCAGAATCACCAGAGCCGTTGGCTCTTTTCGTTCGAGCTGTTTCACGAATGCGTCCGGCAGTCGGTATACCCACCCTATGAGTAGTTGCATCAAGCCCACTGGTGGCCACCGAATCGATCGCTTATTGTGAACCTCATTCATAACCGTAATTAGGTCGTCGATAACACTGTCGTACATGGTGACATCACTTTCTCGTTGCAACTTTTGCCGAACCAGCGTCCGTATTTCTTGTAGCTGTGCTATGTGACTGTCCATCTCACTCCGCTCTAACGACAACTCGACAATGGGTGCTAGAGGCTGAGGCTTTGGTTCTAAAACTCCAGTGAATACCTCGCTCCGATGTGACTCTACGATCGATCTGACCCCGTTCATGAGCACCTTCCATTCGGACAGACCATGGTCACCAAACACAAGATACTCCCCAACTCTCGGCCCTCGCCCAAAGTAGACAAAACAAATCAATGTAGTCGAGATGTAAACTTGCTGGCATGTCCGACTATTGAGGCACCCCAACACAGCAGTCACCGACTGCAGCCCAAATGTGAAATGCTCATCCGCTTTTCGCACGTACTCAACTTGCCGATTGGGGAAGTCATAAGCCAAGTGTAGTGCAGAAATGGAAAGGATGAGATGTTGAATAGAGGGAAAGTCCATACCCCATCGAGGGACATGGACCTGCCAGAGTTCACGGCTGCTGGCATCGTCACTTATAGTATCGTATGTAGAAATTGCGAAATGATGGAAAAGGTGTAGATCATCTATGGAGATGTATCGCGTGGAAGGGACGTCGAAATTGCATTGCACGCCGACGGAGTGCGTCGAGACTACGTGATATTCTTCATCGACGCTAGAAGTTCCTTTCTCGTCATTCTCATTGAAGCCGTGATGTAGAAATGTGTACGGTCGAAACCGAGATCTTGTTTCTGGCAGACTTGTCGAAGAGTGTTCAGCATTGTCAATAGAAAATGTGCAATCAAGGGCACGGTCCGTGCAATTGGAGCAGACGGGTTTTTTCTCGTCGCACTATAAGGGTAAACGATTAGTAATTTCGTCGTAGTTCATTTTGCCTCATGTAGAAGAGGCTCCTCCTATGATGAACAGCGATATTCATCAATATCAGCTTTGGGCAGAATTTGAAAAATGAAACGGCAGGATCATTGGACACTTTGAACTCACTTTTATGCGCCGCCTCTTGCAGTTCCCACATCCTGCGCGTGATTTTCGATGCGACCGTCGTACCGACTTGCTTGGTTTATCGTCCGAGGATTGTCCCTTCATTTGGTCGACGATGTGCATGTTTTTGAAGATTTTGGTTTAAGAAGGAAATTTCAGCGTATTCGTACTTTATCATGTCCCGATTGGCTAACGAAAGTGGAGTTGATATCGATTCTCCTCTATTCGAGCCTCTTAAACTCCAAGTCAAGACTTGACTTACCTGTATCTTGAAGTAATCTTTTCTGACTTATTTTTTCACGGAGTACACTTTGGATATATGTCACGCCTCGTAATTCCGAATTTTGTTGCCTAGCATTGATACTCCACCCATTTTGGGCAAATCGTCGCGTATTCGTTCCATCTAGCAATAACCCTATCCATGGACACGCAAATCATTATGGCTCCCAATAGAAGCGCCCCTCTGGCTTGCTTCTTGAGTCTATCAGTGAACTTCAATTGGCTGAGTCTACCAAATATCTCAGGCAGAAGTATTTTTTTATATGGTCCGGGAGATCTTTTGCTATATTTGTCTCCAGGTTTGACGTACCATGAAACCTTTCAGGGACATATTTCCCAAAGCATCGATGAAAACTTCGTTGCAAGTATGTCATCATGTTGGGGGTGGGTATATATAGTTGAAATGATTGCCAGCCATTTATAAGTTCTAAAATTCAAAATTTGCATTGCTCACAACATTTTCTAATCCAATATACCTGCTTCTTTGCTCGTCACTGCTGATACATCATGAATCATTACACATTGACAGAACGAGGCCTGGCGCCTTTCGATCTCTACCCGTACAATCCGTCAAAAGTGGCCGGTTTGGTATTTGTCGTGATCTTTGGCGTTGGAGCAGCTACTCATTTCGTTCTGATGTTTCCTCTTCGAGCGTGGTTCTTCATTCCATTCATACTCGGCTGCATTGGTGAGTACCATCACTTCGCAGATCAATTAGAACTCTGGTAGACTGATAATTTTGATAGGCGAAGCTTTTGGCTACTACGGCCGATCATGGTCTCACAACAATATACGTGACGGCGGCCCTTATCTTCTTCAACTTATGCTTATCCTCGGATCTGCACCTCTTCTTGCAGCTACAGTCTACATGACCTTAGGCCGATTTGCACGCGCACTTCATGCAGAGCAGTACACAATTATGAGCGTGCGCTGGGTCACAAAGATCTACGTCCTGATCGATATTGCAAGCTTCCTTTGTCAGATGGCTGGCTCTGCCATGCAATCCAGCAGTGACCCCAGTGGAATCAAGCTCGGTCAGCACATAGTCATCGGCGGACTGATTATCCAACTCATCGCGCTGGGATGGTTCACTTTCGAGACCACGATTCTTCATATCCGCCTCAACAACGGCCCGACAGTGATCACGTTGAAAGATCCCTCGATTTCGTGGCGACCAACGCTTTGGACTTTGCGATGTGTCAGTGTTCTTATCTTCATTCGAAGTCTCTATCGCTTGATTGAATTTACAAGTGGCAGCAACAGTGCTCTTGCAAAAACTGAGATCTATTTGTATATCTTTGATGCGGCGCTGTTGTCAGTATCTGCTTTCCTTTTTGTTGTGATTCATCCTGCGCGCCTTTTCCGAAAACTTCATAGGCTGGCTTTGCATTTATCGGACGGGGAGGAAGATATTATGGTGTTGGCCGAACGTCCATGAACTTTTGCTCCAGTACCTTGCGGGCCTCTAACAGATATCAGATAGACCATAGGTTATGAGTGGATAATAAAGCATCCTTGTCTTTGTATTCTCTAAAGGTTGACAAGGGGAAAGATGTAAGAAAGAGTATCACACAATGTATTGTATATGGTAGTATGTTTTAGGTACGATGTCTGTGACTTAGAGTTAATTTCTAGATTGCTTCCTTTCAGACCCTGATCTTCTCCGATTTCTCATCAATCCTATTGGCCCACTTCTTTTCTGACAGCTTGGTATCGACTCCAATCGATGCTTCTTGACCAACATTCAGGCAGCCATACTCTTGGTCACTATACACGTGCGAATCCCTGCTTCGACCAAAAAATCCCAGAAATGGTGTAGCATCCCCTTTGGAAGCGTTGCTTCGACGAGATTGTTTTCGAGCACGTATGGACCACACAATACGTAATACAACTGTCAGCAGCCACAGCGCCATATTTACTAGATCCACCCAAACAGCAGCACGCATGCGAGAGACTGACAATGTAGATCCAATATACTCAGGCCGCACTGTAGGGTAAAAGATTGTCCCAAAGACTCCCACTTGAGCCAACCAAAGCACGAATATGGTCGCATCAAGGACCGACCATGCAACATGAATCGAAGACATGAGGCCGAATATGAGGCAGGTAATTGCAGATACTGCAGCGACAAACTCGGCATATATCCATTCTGCGTCAGCGTGAGCTTGTGTATTGGTGAAATGAGCGAGGTCGATTCCGTAAAGGCCGGCGACCACGGCAGCGAAGATCAACTGAAGAGCTCGAAGAATGCGGGAAACGGTGAAGAGGCGATAAATTGCACTCAAATGACGATGCAAATCGCCAGAGAGCGAAGGAGATGTGATCTCGGTCATGCTGAGCAGGAATCTCGTTTGGTGTATAGTTGGCGCCCTTAGAATCAAGCGATGTGTCGCACAATTTCAAATGTAAATTGCCGATGTAGAATACAGATGAAAATAAAAGACTTGATGGACTAGAAAAATCCTTCATTGTGTCCTAATACCATGATCGGGTTTTAATTGACCTCGACGCTGTGGAGCATGCCCTAATTTATAGCCGAAAATGGTAATAAGAGCGTATTCGTATCGTGAGGCTCCACTTGTTTCAGTGCCATCCATCGTAGTAACGAGTGTCTAAAGTTCTGGCGTCAGAAAGTAGACTAAGTGAGTCGAAATGTGGTCTATTTTTAATTAGTTCTACAATGCTCAACGACACCTGTATCAGCATGGAGGTTATTTATGTTTCTCACTCCATTTTAAAGAGCTGATGGATTGGTTATGTAGACCGTGAGAATATTTTGAGGAGTTCCCCAAGGCCACGACCCAAGCTCGATGATAACCTGAGTTTAGGTAGGGTAGATTTATTGTTAAAGACTATCAAATGGTTGCAAAAGTTGTTTGGAAGTACTCATTCAAAGTATGGTATTGTGTGATTAAGAAATTTGACGGGGAAAGCTGTAATAGCACTTCTTGGGTGGATACCTGAAAAGCTGTCAAACGATCTGCATTTTAAACTCTAAGCATTAGGATGAGATCGATCCCATACGAAGTCTACCCTGCCAAATGCATCAATTTTTAAAGAGATTACCTTCGATGGAGGTACTCTCCCTTAATCGGGTCGACTTGCCTCCTAGCTTTCGGTAATAAGTTCAGGTACAATGGGAAGACGGCCCCGGCGCAAAAAACTGCAGTGACAATACAATAAGAATATGCTTCTCCACGAGACACTTGGATGGCATGTTTTATGAAGGGGAAAAACAGTCCTCCACCAATGGCAGAGGATAAGAAAGCCGTCGCTGTTTTTGTATTGCGTCCTGTCCCACGCAATGCAATTGCATAAATGATAGGAAAAGCTCCACCCTCAAAGGCCCATAATAGAAAACCTACCGTATCATAAGCCCTGCCTGTTGTATTTATACGGAGAACGGAAAGGACAATCATTCCAATATAAGAGATGAGAAGTGCCCACCGTGGCTTCAAAAACAGCCATATGACGATGAGAGCAAGGATGCGGCCACCAATAAAAACGGTACTAGAAATGCTTGTAAAGGCACCCGGCGCATAATAGCTGTAATTCAAGCCGTGCATCTCTTGCCCTGCCACGTAAAAGAATTGGGACCACACACCTAGTGCAAGAGTCGTGAAAGGAACAGGGAGGCCGCATACCTTTGCGCTATTTGCCGGGCGCAAGCCACTTAGTTCTGCTAAATCATCATCTGGCGCCTCAGGAATTGGCAGATAGTAGAAGATAACAGCAAGAATCACATCACAGAAAGCAAGGACCAAAAATGTCCACTGTCCGTTGACCACTTGGGTCACACTATTTTTGTCTTTAAATAACACCCTGTCTGAAAGTACTTGTGCCGAGAGCGCTCCGGTGGCCTCGAAAGCCTGCGCGACACATAAACGGATCTCAGAGTATTCCAGCGGTCCACACAATGCGACAAACATATTTGCCGTCGTTTCCAATATCCCAAGACCAAAACCAACTATCAGGTTGGAGGCTAGAAATATTGCAGTTGAACCTAAAACAGCAGCTGGCCAGAAAATGAGGGTCCCACAAGCGTAGATATAGAGACCTGTTATGAAGGTAGCTGCACACCCGTATCTCTTCAGAACGAGGCGGCCCACAAGAAGAGGGCCAAGTAGATACCCCCCCTCAAATGCGCCATGAAGTCCAAGCGACTGGCCGTGGGTCAGTTGCGTGACGGTCGCGAAACTTTCATTGAGAACGCTTAGAGGGCTATAGGCGAACCCCCACAGGAAGAAAATGGTTGAGACCAGTGCATTCGGTCCAAAAGATTCCCTGTTATCCAGTTTAAGCATGTTTGCTGGCTTTGCGTTTAACAAATTGATAAATGTCATGTTTCCTCGTGCTTCGTCGTAGTCGATTTTGTCTGCTTCCTCTATTTCCGTCTGCGATGCTATTCGATGGGTTAAGACATCCATCATTTCAAAGGTTGCCGGTTCGTTTCTTGCGGTCATCGGTGCGTTGCCTCGCCCCGTTGCATCTTCTGACGAGCGGTCCATTCCTGAGTCGCTAGGTTGGATCATTGTTAATTTGAAATGAGTTGCAAGAGGCTTCAAGCTAGGAACACAAGCGCAGACTATGGTTATGTTCACCTCTACCGCAGACAACATGAACGATATTGCAGCAAACCCTGTGCGAAATTAGCATTGTGTTGCTTAGCTTCGTCCCAGACTAGAATGACGCAGTGATGGCCAAATTGGGGTCAACGGACAGGTATAATCTTCATCCGGAATTTCGCCAACCTTCGCGGTGTGAAGATCCTGCAGCCGAGATGTGGCTGTACTTTCAAGGAAAGCAATCCGAATGACATCAACCGCTATAACAAGAATGGCGGCGCCAAAGGTAATGACCAGAATAACCTTCTCCCTGGTCGGCATACGCATTCGAGTTAGTAGAGGAATTGGTATCACCAGAATTGCCGTATCAGTGATTATGTTGAACGGAGAAGTTGAAATGAATGACGCAAAAATTCCAGTGCAGTGTTCCTTGGTCTGGGTTTCAAATCGGAATTTTGCTGAGATCGGATGACACTGGAAAACTGTGTCGAAAAGTAGAGCGATGCCTACGACAGTTACCACAAAGAGTGTGATATAGTTTGCCCAATAGTAGCCCTTTTTGAGGTGCGTAAGGCTTAGGAAGAAAATAAGAACCGAAGCTTTAGCGGCTATTGAGGATGCATCCTTGAATTAAGCTGTCTCAGCATATCTCTCTATAAATTTGGAGTGGACACTTACATATAAGATCTGGAAACAATAAATGGCTTTATTCAGACCAATTTCATTCTCGGGGCTTATGAAACGAGCATGGCGTCCCAAACCCTTCCCCGTTGCGTAGAAGAGCGAAAACATCAAGCCAAAGTCAAGCATCTTCATGAAAGATCCATCAACTACCATCAAATAAAATGGCCAAAGGAGGACGAAGTGCTTCATTATGTGCAGACTTACCCATGCCAGAAGCATTAGCCAATCGGCCAGCCTCACTGTCCTAACCACAAAGACGCAGGAGATAAAGTAAAGAGCCACAAAGACAGTAGCTAGAAGAAAGACAATTATTGAAATTGCTAATATTATGTCTTGTTTTCCATCCATTCTGAGAATTTTATTAATTCATGATCATAATTTAGCAAACGGAATCCATACTACGCCTTATAGTGCCACAATGACGTTTCGATTTGGGAAGGCAACGCAGGCAAGTTTGGAGTATTGCCTCCCCATATCTAAACCGTAAAGAGTGGCTGCAAATAAACCCTTGATAATACTATGTAATGCTATAGGTGCTCAGATAGGGCGAGCTTAGGGTAATCTGGATTCGGGTTTAGAGGTCTCTGCCATGACATCATATCTCACATACTTCATCCACGCAGCTTCTTTCGATCAAATCATGGATCACAACAAACATCTCGAGGGACAATTATATGTCCATACTACATATACTGTATAGACTCTACTCAATTGTGGTTGTGATCAGCTTACCAAGATGTTATTCGCGTGGCGATTGTGATGAAGCAGCGAATTTACTTTAAACAGGCGACAATCCTTACAGGTTCCAGGTATATTGAACATAGTATTGCCCAAGCGGAATAGCAGACTTATATTAGTGAGCTTGAAACTGACGAGCTTGTACTTCTTGCCTTTTGTTTTCTATCAAAGGCCAGCTTTTGTCGATGTGTCAGCCTAGTTTTGATGATAATGTCAATCACTCTTGTACATAGTGTGCATAGAGAAGGCTGGATCTTCGTCGGAACTCACATAGTTTTAGATGAAATGTTGATACCTGGAAGGAGACCTATAGTTTTTATTTTCTTTTTTCTCGAAATTCACTTTGGATGCTCTTCGACTATCCATAATACCGACATATCGGTTCAAGTAAGAACTTTGAAAATTGACATATTAGAAGACTCAAGCTCACAATTAGAACATAACTCGATTGCGAAGCGGATCGCATTGAAACAAGACAACAAAGAACTACATATCACCTACCGGATTATATGAACACGGTCGTGTTGGTTGATATAGTTCTTACATGTAGACGTATTGATCTTCGTAGCCTAGCCGCCCAACTTGTGATTATGTACTAATGCGACCAGAAACATATTCATAATAAATATGTTTCTGGTACTTGTGTGGGGTCACATGCAGTGTTGTTAAAATATTTGAATACTGTGTTACTGCACTCTCCAACTTTTCAGTAGGCATACAATATTACTGCCTGTTCCCAGGCTTCAGAATTGTCGCAAAGATGATAAAAGGCCTGGGGGCATGCTGCAAGACATATGGAGACTTAGCATATAGTCGCCTCCTATTCGAATTCAAGATAGTCCTAGTAAGAGCCTCGGGTTATTCAAAGCAGCCGGTGTCAGTTATAGATTCAACTTCTCTGCTGGTTGAGTTTATTTTCACCATTACCTTCACAAAGTGCTATCAAGACCTCGAACTTATTCATGTCCCTGTTGCTTAATATCCCGCTTGAGCTCCGAGAGCTCATCATCGGACACGTACTCTATGCGCCGACCAGCCCTCCTGTAACTCCGATCGAGTCCGATGGGGTCGAATACAATGATCTTCGGTACAAGGCATGGCCTGGAGGAGGTGCCAAAACTTATTATACGCAGCAAAGTATGACTAGCCCTTCAAGTTGCGTGTCTCTTCTCCTCACAAATCACCAAATTTCAGTGGAGACTCGGGCAATTCTTCAACGCATGAAAGTGGACTATATCCTTGATATCTCAGTTAAGGATGATTTGACCCTCTTTCTGATCTGGCTCTCGGTGCCATGTCTCACTACCCATATATCGACTCTCTACGCGAATGTCCGTCTCTTTGGTAACATCGCCGATGAAAAAATTATCCGTAGCCAACTGGGCGACGGTGGCCGGTTGGGCTTCCACTGGTCATTCTATGCCGCTTTAGAGCGGTTCCTCCGCTATGGCCCCGTGGCAGAGAAAAGAAGCAAAGAGAAAGATAACTCCCAGAAAAGTCGTTGGAACATACAGGAATTCGAGGACCGCGGTATGCTGATCGACACACTTGTTCTCGATTTCCAGTCTGCGGAACTAGAGCTGGCCTTCCCACCAGAAAATATCACGTACGACCACTGGTCGAGTCGGCATTGTGGTAGCGACAAGTTTGACCGAAGTGAAATCCCTAGGATTTTGTCAACGTATACAACGCGCCCGGAGTGGCTTTGTCGATACATGCAGGACTGGATTTGCCATCTTCTTGGTATGGATTACTGTACGTCTAGATATGGACAGCTTCTATACGAGCGTATCGGGACCATCCAAATGCTTGTTGATGGACAACTAGAATATGAATTCGATCTTGCAGCTTGGCTAGCTGGCCTAAACTTTACCGATCCACGTGAAACAATGGGCCATTTACCCGCAAATGAAAGGGTTCCTGGATTTTGGAAATGGAAAAGAGACACGTTGTTAAGAAGAGAGGCTCAAGGGCTCCCTGTTCGACCGCCATCGGATGATGCATCGGACAAGCGAGATGAAGAATATGTGATATAAAGCACCAGTATCATTGATACCTAGGTGATCTGCTATGCCAGACAGCCCAAGGTGCGGCAGTACTACTGCTACAGGAAATGCTAGCCCTCCACAGATGTTATCATCCTTGTAGACCTTGGTAGCTGAGATTCGACATCAGAGTAGCATAAACCGGAACCAATCCGAGGTGTTAATTTAAAGAGCAGGCCAGACCGTAAGTGAAAAAAAAATAGGCTTAGAAATTTGTTGATGTTAGCTATTTTTGGGTAGTGGTATGCACTTTTGGGTTGCGATTGGGCGAATTGGGACTTTTACTAGAGATTCTGGGATCGTGGCATTGGGTCATTTTGGTCCATGCCTGCAATTCATGACATTCATGTTGGATGGTACTACACGAGTCAACACCAGTTCGGCACGATGAGTTGGTCGACACTAACCCGCCTCATATTTCCTGAGCCAGTCATTTTATACTTGGAGTTGATCGTAGATCGTGATCGGTGGGCCCCGAGGAGATCCGCATTGAATCATTGGACTTTCTCAGCCACTGAGGCTGGCTGAATTATACCCGCTTTCCATATCGGGATAACGACTGCAACCCTTTAACTGAGAGCGGCATTGATTGATCTCATGCATTCAATGATTCAAACTAGATATAAAAAGCCTCTCTTTTCTGGAAAAAAGCCCTCTTATGTTTTGCACACCACATGCTATCTCCATAATACACACAAGTTCTGAAAAAAAAAAAATGGCGCTCTCAGGAAAAGTCGCTCTTATCACCGGCGGTGTCAAGAATCTCGGTGCTGATATCGCCAGGGAACTAGCGAACGTAGGCGCCAATCTTGCTCTTCACTACAATTCTAACAGCTCGAAAGCCGATGCTGCCAAGCTCGAGACTGAGCTCAAAGAGAAGCATCCTTCGTTACAAGTCAAATTCTATCAGGGTGATCTCACTACCGCCGATGCCGTCACTGGCCTCTTTAAAGCGGTCGTAGCCGACTTTCAGAAGGTGGATATCGTTGTGAACACCGTTGGTAAAGTGCTAAAGAAGCCGATCACGGAGATCACTGAGGCTGAATACGATTCCATGTTTGCGTATGACATGCAATCTTTTTTAAGCCATGTTTACGTACTGACATTACCTTGCTGGTAGTATTAATTCCAAGGCCGCATTCTTTATTCTGAAGGAGGCTGCCGCCCATGTTCCAGACGGCGGAAAGATTATTACCATCGTCACTGCTCTCCTGGCCGCGTTCACGGGCTTCTATACATCGTACGCCGGCAGCAAAGCCCCAGTTGAGCACTTTACCCGGTACGTTCTACCATTTATTCTGTACAGAACACGTCGTCTCTTTTACTGACAGCAGGGAATTTAGGGGTGTGAGTAAAGAGCTCCAACAACGTCGAATCAGCGTGAATGCTGTTGCGCCAGGACCAATGGATACTCGTGAGTTCCCTCCCTTTTCAGCTTAGCTGATTTCAGCCGACAGTAAGAAAAAGATTAATAACTGATTCAACCGCATAGCATTCTTCTATCCACAGGAATCGCCTGAAGCTGTTGAGTATCACAAGGCTAATGGCATGGGCAATCGTCTCACCGAGACGACTGATATCGCACCGCTAGTGCGCTTCCTGTGCACAGAAGGAGGATGGATTACGGGACAGACCATCTTTGCGAATGGTGGCTATACTACCCGATAATTTATGATCACAGAGAGTATCAAGACCCAGGAAGAGTTGCGCTGATTCCATATTGGTAATTCGATCCTTGATGAAATAAACGGATAATGTTATATGTTTAGTATTCACATCGTATATAGGTCTGAGGGTCAGGAAAGAGACTCCCCTGTGTATTAAGTCGCTACTAAAACTCTTGAAAGGAGCGAGAGCTCTCTGCAATCTCTGTTGGGACTGCAGCAATAATTCTAATTTTGGATAAGAGCATGTCCTAACCCTGATTACACAACTCTAAGCACACGAGCAATCCAGAGACCTCCAACTTCCTCCAATATTGTTCGAAATAATACCATTAGCAGTCAATTGTGATTACAAAAGTTGTACTACATATATGAGCTTTGATAGTCCTAAAATGGTAGTGTATCTAAAGATTTTTCCGAGAACAGCGAAATGTGAAATTGACGTCAACGCCGAGAGCTCCAGTCAAGCTGCCCTAACACTAAGAACAATCATCAAGGATTACTGGCCAATGACTATGGTCAATACATTTCTTTGTCGGCATTTCCGTAGGACCGTAGGATAAACAAGGTTGATTTGTTAAATCTGTTTTCGTATGTTTGTTGGTCGCGCTTATAACTTGAAAAATGGTAGCGGTTGACGCAAGCGTAAGGATACAACGAGATGGTTACAAACTAGTATATCACCGGTAGTAAGATAGTTGTTGATATCAGTAATTGATTGCAAAATACTATCTAATGTAATACTTGCGATACCATATGCAGTAGTAGTGGGTAAACTATGCCGCAACCTTTGCCAAAGGGCCAAAAGTCTGTGTCCAGGATCTGATCTTTCGCCCATAGAAGTACATCGGAATCGCAATGAGAAGGAAGAAATATTGAATTGCAACCATTTCACCGAAAGCCTATATATGGTCAGTGTTATTAACATAGTTCCAGATCAGGAATACCTACATCTTGGATACCACCTGCAGCTTGCCAATTCACAGTATAGAGCGCTAGGATGGTTGCGATGGCATTTCTGATGACGAATACGACAACAAGTGCCTCTCCAGCCATCTTCCGGACTGTTAGCTATCATTTCCTCTGGAGCAATTGGAAATATTTGCGACATACTTCCTTGTATCCATCGACGGCGTACGTGACAACGACATTGGAAACCGCCGTCAACCCAAAACCTTGCATCATATATCCAAAAGCAGGGCCAATCCAAGCCGTCTTGTGAGCCACGCAGAGACCGAAAATGAGGACACCTAGCGGCCCAATAATGGCGGGGATGATGATAGCAGGCAATCTGAATTCAGGTTCTCGCCTTCCATTGTTTGCCTTGGTCATGCGATTTGCAATCATATCGATCAGCTTGCCTCCGAGGAAGAACGCGAATATGGCACCGATAAAGCCGGATATGGAGAGGAGGCCAAGGCTACCAACTTTCCAGCCATAAGGAGGCTTGGTGAATGTTTGGCTGGAAGTAAGTTGTACGACGATGTTCCTAGAAAAGTTAGCCACATAAGGAACCAGTTTTGTTTATCACTTACCATCCGACAAATGTGCCTACAGTTAGACCAGTCCAAGTAATTGGAGGATATGCTGCTAGACGAATAGTAGACCAAAACGCTTTGAAAAACGATACGTCCTTCCTGTAACCACGCGTCAAGCTCATCCAGGAGACAAGACTTCGTTTTGGTGCGTAGGATGAACTCGGTAAGTCCAGATCAGCCGTTTCTCGGGAGTAGTTTGATTCTCTGATTGAGACTAAACCCACCAAGAAGGTGGCTCCTCCAGCAATAGCGATCAAGCCACATGTCCAACGCCAGCCCACCTCCTGCGTAATGTATGCACAAACCAGTGGACCAAGAAAAAAGCCGGTACTAAGGGCAAAGTGGAAAATCATCATACAATGCCCACGTTCATGAACAAAGAACAGATCGGCAACCAGAGATGGCACTGTGGCATCCGCGGCAGAACCTGCAAAGCCAGAGACAATGCGAGCAGCCAGGAGACTTTCGAAGCTATGTGTGAGAAAGCTCCAGACGTTTGTTCCGATAAGAAGTAGAAGAGCTACCAAATATACGGGCCGTTTCCCAGTGACTCGCGACAATGGGACCCATATTGCGTTTCCTACACCTAGAAGGAGGACGTTGAAGCAGACGAGGTAACCGGCTCGAGTCGTTGATTCATGGAATTCCTTGCTTAAGGGAACGATAGCGACGGTGAAGTTGCTGGAATTGAAGGTTGCGAGGACCGTGAAGAAACATACTGTGAGATAGGTCGAGTACTTTTCGAAATTTGTCCAATTCTGAGTGTCAATATTAGCATTGTTGACTCTGTCACATTTTCATGGATGTGGTTTGGATGGGTCAAAGTTATACCAGTGGATCATTGGGATCTTGTGTGGGTTGCGGTATCAGAACAAGCTCGTTGACGATTTTTTTCTCCGAGTCGATGTCTTGTTCAGGGGCAACGCGCCCAACTGACTCGATATGGAGAGCCTCGTTGCCAGGGGAGACTATATCCTTGCTCATTATGCCAGAGATATCGCTTTCGGTGTTCTATGGGTATATGGTGAATGTGACATGGCAGAAGAGTCGTAGGATTATCACTCCTTTTCTAGTCCAGTGAGAGCATACCAATGACCTGGATGACCCCAGTCCGGGGTAACCGGGGCCTTTGCGGGGGCGCTTAGACTGTGATACTACTGAAGTGGAGTGTCATCTTTCAGCTTGGATTGAAGACCATACACCCAATAGCACTGACTCGGAATCGCCGCTCTCTAGCTTTTAGGGTTTCCATGTCTCCGGGGCAAAGTACGGCAAATCCGAGTCACGTCGAGGCAAGGAGAACTCGCCGAGTTTCAAGGCTTTTCACTTGTGGGAGCTTAGTTGTAAAAATTTACAGGATCCAACATTGCGCAGCCTTCAGACTTCTTGTTTTGAATGGTGCGAGTCATCTAGACCTAGTTATGCTAGGCTAATGATAGGCTACACGTGTATGACTGCTCGCCTAGTATTGCAATCTCTTTTAGCTGTATAACACTATCTAGGGTCTAGGGTAGCTATTCTTTGTAAAGAACAAGGGGAATTAATCTTCTAGGCAAGGAATGATGTCGTAGTGATGAAAATTCGCGGTTCTTGGCCGAGGGGGGGGGTGTTCAGTTACACGGCATATCCGGTTCGTGGAAAGCTACAAGGATTTGACAGCGGGGATGAGGAATGTAATATCAGGACAGTCCTAATCATGTGAACAAAAACATGACTCGCAAATCGTGTAAGAAATCTCTGGCATAAGTTCAATTGACTCCCCGTTCGGATTTCCCGAGAGCGCGGAATGCCCCCGAGCGTGTAGCGAAGAGCTCCGCACTTCGAGAGCATTGGTACATGTGTCAGGTTCGGTAAAGCGCCATACGACACGAGGAGCTTTCGAAATTTATCTATCTTCTAGTAGCTACACAATTGCAAGCCTGGACAAAATTTTATTACGATAAGCTGAACGACACTTGTGGTGTGGAAGAGTGTATCACCATAACTTGGAGCAATTCAGCTTTACCATTGCGGAAACATAAACATGGTATGTGCCTACATCGTCGAACTGAAGCTTTGTCTCACTTATAGATTTAGGCACCAGTTGCGTCTGTTCAACTGAACGTAATTGTGGTTGGGGCGGGTTTGAGTGGCCTGGCGACAGCAATAGCAACCAGTCTGGCTGGCCACCATGTCACCGTCTTTGAGTCTGCAAAAGAACTTCGAGAGGTAAAAGCCGAAGAACGGTAACAAGTTATTTTGAACTAACAGGAAGGTACAGGTTGGTGCAGGCTTGCAAATAACCCCCAATTCCAGCAAAATACTCCAACAATGGAATCTACCAGAGCAATTATGGAAATCCGCTGCCGAGCCGACCGAACTGCTTGTCCACCGCTACTCCGGCGAAATATTAGCTAGAGAAGAGAACTTCGATAAGAAGATGCGCCAAAAGTACAATGCCCCATTCCTCGATTCGCATCGCGTGGATTTGCAATTATCACTCTATGAGCGAGCCAAGGAGCTCGGTGTCGAGATTAAGCTTGACGAGAAAGTGGACAATATCGACTTTGATCACGGTCGAGTGACTTGTGCTTCGGGCTTTAAAGCAACTGCCGATCTTATTGTCGCGGCGGACGGTCTGTGGTCGAAATGTCGTTCTCTATTTCTGAAAAAGGATGACCCACCTCTGCCTACTGGAGATCTTGCTTATCGCATCGTCTTGAATTTGGAAGATATCGAAGACCCTGAATTGAGGTCATGGGTGAAGAATCCCAAATGTCACTTTTGGATTGGACCCGGTGCACATGCCGTGGGTTACTCACTCAAAGCAGGAAATCAGTACAACATCGTGCTTCTAGTACCGGATGATTTGCCGCAAGGTTCAAGCCGGGAGGCAGCAAATGTTGAAGAAATGCTTTCGCTGTTTGAGCACTGGGATCCTATCTTGACTCGTTTCTTGAAAATGGTTGACAACGTCGAGAAGTGGAAGTTGATGCATAGTAAGTCATGGCACTTGAGATACGGATTTTATCAAGCAACAAGAAGTGATGGCTGACCGTATTAAGGGGATGAGCTTGCATCATGGGTGAATGAGAAGTCAAATTTCGTCCTTGTGTAAGTTTTTTCTCAAATCCGACTTTTATACGCTTTACGGTTATACTAAGACCTCTCTTAGGGGTGACTCGTGCCATCCTATGTTGCCATACCTAGCACAAGGTGCAAATTCAGCAATTGAAGACGGTGCTGTACTTGGTCTTCTTCTAGGCCATATCAAATCGAAAGATCAGCTGCCTCAGGCTCTCAACATGTACCAATCACTGCGCAAAACTCGCGGTGAAAGAATTGTCAAGGAGACATTCAAGCAGGTCAGTACTTCTCGTCCAGAGATGTGGTTTTGCATGTGATTGACATGAGTTATATAGCGCGAGTCCTTTCATATGCATGATGGTCCGGAGCAAGAGGCACGAGACAAAATCTTCCTATCTCAGCTGGGCAGTGAAATTCAAGGGGCTTTTCCGAGCAGATGGACTTGTCCAGTGATCCAGCCCTGGATTTATGGATATGATGCCCGCGAGGAGGTTGAAGCTGCAATTCGCGCACAACCCTTTCCCGATATCAGCGAACACACTTCCACGACAAGCAAACCTTCAACAACCAAGCCCAAGCTGCCTAGCTTCATAGAGCGTATTCTCAATTTTTTCAAGCTTGTAACTAGAAATTAAGCTAATTGTGTTAAAAGAGTGGATTTTTATTGTTGGATACAGATTGATTACAAGTAATTCAATATACCAACTTTTCGTTCGGTCTGCCATTCTTCTGTAACGACCTTTTTTAAAAACTCTAAACTTGAAAATGACATTCATAGTACCAATCTATAGATATTGTATCCTGTAGTAGTAATCAAATATATCGAATAAAGGTATAGCTAACTAACCTACACGATCACCAACTTCAAATTTTGGCAACCGGATATCTACCACAGCTGCTCGTCCACCACGGACCACTTCAAGTGCCTTTTTAAGTGCTCCTTCAATTTCACTGGCCTTCTCTACACACACTCCGAATCCAGCCCCCGCCGAAACTGCGACCTGCGAGTGATCACAGCTTGGATCAAACGTCACGTTCAACTGGTCCGCGGTCACTTTGCTACTGTGTCCATTTTTGTGAACAGTGATAGCACTCAACATCGGACTCTTCCATCCACGATTGTTCAAGATAACCGTCAAAAATGGAGCATTGTACTTGCGGGCCATCCAGTGTACGTTAGCCGGGAGACTGAACAAGAAAGACCCGTCACCCGTAACAGCGACAATGGTTGAGGACGGAGATGCCAGTTTTGCGCCGATAGCCGCTCCTCCATGCCAACCTAATGCTGTTCCTCCGGAGGTGAAATATGATCCAGGCTGAGTCCTCATTAGGACATCGGCAATGGGTCGGAAGTTGGATATACCTTCTGAAAGGACAATGCAGGAGTCATCCAAAACAGATCGCAACACAGACAACGCATAATGGGGTGTTATAACTTCGTCGTTGGTTGGGACAATAGCGAGCTTGTTGATCTGTGCAATATATTCGTCGTGCCTTTCTGAAAGTTTCTGAGTTCGCGCACTCACAGTGGTGTTCTTTTCTGCAGTCAGAGCACCTGATATAAATTCATTTAACTGTTCGAGAGCGGTACGAGCATTAGCCTGACAGCTCAACTCGGTGTCGATGTGGAACAATGACATATTGACTTTTAGCGGATCGCAGTCGATATGATAGATTTTGGCTGAGGCCGCTGGACGGAAAACGCTCTTAATCCAGGGCACGTCGCAGTCAATCACCAACACCACATCAGCGGTATCAAGGGGTGACTCTTTCAGGCCTTCACTCCACTGACTGCCTTGATACAACGGGTGAGTATGCGGAAAGTTCATATGCGCGGGCAAAGCCTCTATAACGGCGATTCCGAGAGACTCGCAAAGTTTGATGAGCTCATGGACAGCAGCCTTGTCACGACCAAGATAGGTGGTGATAACGACAGGGTTCTCAGCGGCAAGGAGAGCGGCCCCAAGTTCTTTGACTGAGCTTGGAGATAAGGCCGAACTAGCAATAGGTGTCCATTTCTTTGCATTCACTTCGTAAGGCTCAATTTCTTCTTCCAGAGCTTCGCGAGAAGCAACCAAATAGGCTGGACCTTGTGGTTCGCTTTTTGCGAATTGGGCTGCACGGAGAATGATCTGTTTTGCATTCTTGCCCGTTCGGATCTCGTGATCATATACTGAGTATCCTTTGACAATATTTCGCTGACTACCATTATCTTGTATATAATGGATAAACTCCTGGGAGAGAAAAGTTAGCCCCGCAAAACTTTGATGTGCAAGGAAAGGCCTTACATTTCTAGTTCCACGCATCTCGCCCTCCTCGGTTATGGGGCTGGTTCCAGCCATCATAATCACCGGAATCCTTGCTCTAGAAACATTATGTATTGCACCAGCCATCGCTAACGTCCCAGCATCCACGTGAACGAGCATCGCTTGCATTTGTCCACTGACTTGAAAGAAGCCTTGGGCGGCTGAAAGGCCGACGAACTCGTTAGGAGCAGTCAGAAAACGCAGTCCTTGTCTGTTGTCCAGCTGCCATTTTGATACTGCTTCAACAATTGCAGGATGGTCACTTCCAAGATTGACAAACAGATGCGATACTCCTGCTGAGGCCAATGCCTCCAGCATCGCCGTAGCGGTTGTATAATTCGACATGATCGTCGACACTTTTTGCTACAACTTGTTTCTTGTCAAGCAGGGATATAGAGACCCAGAAACAAAGCAATACACAATATATAGTCTTAAGACGCGTTTGATCATATGACTGAATGAAGCAATGTCGCCAAAATGCGGAGAAGCGGAGACGCTGAAGCTACTCTCCAATGGATGCTCCGCTCGGTAATCCCGAACACGGTCTATCTAGGTCAATCATCGTATAGAACAAATAATTGTGGCGTTTAGGTATTTGGAATCAGCCGATCTTGGCACAGGTCAGTTTAAAGTTTGGTATTACTCATGTCGGGGAATGTTGCGATATTGATTGTGTAGTTCCAACAGAAAATTAGGTATTCGGAACGTCCGATGTAGAGATAGTTACATCGAATCATTTGTCCATTTTTCGAGTATTAGAAGCTATCAAGCAAAAGAAATTTCTACCATTTGTATTTGAGACAGTGTATATACGGGCATGTCTCAAAGAATAATACGATCATTCTGTTGCAAATATTGAAGTCTGGTGTATCATTCTATCATAGACAGTACATTAAATAGGAAAGGAATGTTCTCCTGCAGAGATCGTAATGACCCTGTCCTCCGTGAACTCATTGATGCAAGCATTGCCCCCAAACTTTCCATAACCACTCGCTTTCTGTCCTCCCAAAGGCAAATGTGGTTCGTCATGAACTGTAGGACCGTTGATATGACAAGAACCACTCTTTATCCGCCGCGCAACTTTGATCGCCTGTAATATGTCAGTGCTGAAGACCGACGCAACMAAGCCATATTCCGTATCGTTGGCGATGTTGATAGCTTCTTCGACCGAATCGAATTCGAACAAAGTCACGACAGGACCGAATGACTCTTGATGATATAGGTCCATGTCCTTTGTGATCTTTGATAATGCGACGGGCTGGACAATGGCACCAGAGATGGAGAATTTTCCCCCAACAATTTCTGCTCCGTTTTCCACCGCATTACTTACCAATTTGTGTACACGCGCACCTGCCGTGGCATTTATCAGGCTTCCAAGAGGCGCTGAAGCATCCACCGATGGATCAGCCGCGTACATAGAATCGATCTTGGCTCTGAAAAGCTCTTGAAATTTGGCAGACACAGTCCGGTCGATGATAATGCGCTCAGTTGACATGCAAATTTGTCCCTGATGCTGCATTGCGCCGAAAGCAGCTGCTTTGACCGCCTCTTCGAGGTTCGCGTCCTTGAGTACAACCATGGGTGCTTTGCCTCCTAATTCAAGGACCACCGGTTTTAGATATTTGGCACACACTGCACTTATAATCTTTCCCACCGGTGTGCTGCCGGTGAAATTGACTCGAGTAACAGCACTATGGGCGATCATGGCCTCGGTGATAGGTCCGGCATCTGCGCGAGGACAGCAGATGAAGTTGAGTACACCCGCAGGCAGTCCAGCCTGTCGGAAACAGTCCACTAATAGATACTGAGTGTAGGCGCTAGCCTCCGAAGCCTTGAGCACACAGGTATTACCGCAGACGAGTGGGGTGATAAAGGCCCGAATGCCCAGAATGATAGGCGCGTTCCAGGGCGCGATACCCAAGACCACACCGCAGGGTTCCTTGTAAACCAGAGCAATAGTACCTTCGTCATTACTCTGTAGCAGCTCTCCCTTAACCTGAGTCACCATGCCAGCACCTTCCATCACAAACTGTATTCCGGTTTTGATATTAAACGCAGCCCAGCTTTTCTTCGCACCCGTCTCTGCCACCATAGCATTGACAAGCTCATCTTGTCGGGATTGGAGAATTTGTACAGCCTTGTTTAGGATTTCGCGGCGCTTGATTGGGGTTGTCTCGCGCCATGATTCGAATGCTTTTTGAGCACTTTCGACAGCTTGAATTGCTTGCTGCTGTGTTGCGGCGGGKGCAAGATGCACAACTGAGCCGGTGATGGGATCGAGCACAGGAAAAGAAGCCTCTGTGTGTTTGTCGTCGTTGTTAACCACAAGTCCGAAACGGGCACCACTTGCATTACCGCTGCCGTTAGATTGAGTGGAAGCCATCTTTGGTTTTTTCGAATGTTGGCTATTTTCAATATCAGCAAGGAAAAAAGTCTAGTTGACAGCGCAGTATGCTACTTCTGCTTCTACTCAATATTCTGTATTCGACGATAGCAAGTTGGCCGCATAAATATTGCGGGGAGGCATGTTTTCTCCGGATCTTCAGCATTGCGCCGCCGGCTTTCGCCAGTTTTAGCGCTGAATACATCCGATACAAGCGTGATTATCCGTTTCCTAGTTGAGCGAGACGGCATATCCGAGAATCCGGAAAATCCGTAGCGGTCGAAGACAACCTAACAGATCTGTATAGTCCCACGAAACTTTGAAAAGTACCGGAAGCAAAGGAATAAAGCAGGAGAAGATAATAAGATCTATAAGGTTTAGTTATGCTTCTCGCCGAAAAATCCGAGCCAACACTTTTGAAGACGCGTTCTATAGTTCGGACTATGCGCCGTATGATGGTAAATCCATTCCAAAGGTCAACGTTTCTGTATCTTGTGATGGCAACAGAATAAGAGATAATTCCTAACAACATATTGTCCGGATAACCCGCCTCAGCCAAGGTCGCATATCTAGTACCTGAATATATTCATCGAGGAAGCTCCATACAATACCGGTGTATTCCAAGATCTATACCAACCCTAGCGTGTAGCTTAGCAAATCATCAAGACGAGATATCGATCATCACGTTGAAAATTATTCACTATCTATTCCAGCGTCTGCAGTAGTTTGACTGCTCGTTGCTGTAGTTATGTGAAGGATAATAATACAACGTTTGACAGCAGGCTTACTCCGTAGTTGTTGGCTTTGCAGTTAGCCTACCACATTTTGCGTTGAATATGGTAAAATCGCGGAGAGCCTATAATGTCAGATTTCCAACTGACTCACAATGAGTACGCTGATGGAGTGCATTGTAGGGCTGATTCTACGAAAGGCCTCTTGAGTTGTGAAAATTGCTCTTCATCGAGTCGTTCAACAATCCAAGGTCTCAAACGAGGCGGATAATCAAATGCAATTGATTGGTTTGGCTTGCTAAGCTCGCTGTTACATATTATGAATACTGTTTTATTGACATCTTGACCTATTCAAATCAAAGTCGTGCACCACCAGTCTGACTGAGCTTATCCCTATTCAGCGCCTTTGCCAACTTTCGACTCGTCCAGTCTGTGATCGCCATGTTTGTGACCATTGGATTGACGCCGCTAGCACTAGGAAACACCGATGCATCGGCCACGTAGAGTCCTTCGGTACCCCAGACTTGACCATCGGGGTCGACGACTCCCTTCTTGGGAGAATTGGACATCCGACATGTGCCCATTTGATGGGCGCTGGCTACTGTGCCGTACTCTGCGACGAGAGGTGACTTTTTGCGGAAGTCTCGAATCCATTCCTGAAATTCGGGGTCATTGATGCCACCGTCAGTAGCACTGATATCTGCATCGGCTGTATTCTTGTCTTTTGATCGAATGAAAGGTCTCATATCACGATATGACGTATGGAACTCTGTAGCTCCACAAACATATGCTATCTTGGCGGCAACGATCAATCCTTCGAGGATATGTTTGCGGTCGAATGCCGAAGTAGTGTAATCAATGCGCGGTTGTCCACTTATAGGATCGGGGAAGATGCGTCCTGTGTCTCTGTCTCGAGTCAAAGTGATAAAGCCTGCCATGCGGCTCATCTTAGTCACAAAATTTTTGTATTGTAGACCGTCAAACCACGGCATAGTAGTCAAGAACATGCTGGGTACCATTGCCACGTTCTCGATCTTGATACCATGGCCCTGGCCATCTAGGTTCTCGAAGTCGGTGACCAACGTCGTCAAGCAGTCGCCTTCCCAAGGCCGAGTTTGTTCTTCAAACACAGCGGCGGCGAGCATCACTGTCCAAATTAGCAATGGAATATGGCAAGCAATAGTGAATAACATACCAGGGTGTAAGTAAAGATTTCGTCCCAAATGGCTGTTTTTAATGCCGCTCCGCATCAACAACAAAGGACTCTGAAGAGTGCCGCATGATACAATGACCTTCTTTGCTTTGATTTGAACCTTCCTACGTGTAGCTTCCTTGCCCGAAGTTCCTAAATGAGTATCTCGAGATGTCCMCTCMCCCTCAACTCCAGCCGCCACTTTCTTTCCTTTGACAGTGTCGAAAAGAACTTTCTCGGCTTTGAACCCTTCAATGAATGTCGCACCAGCTTCTGCTGCATCGACAAGCCAGGAGGCCACAGGGCCTTTCTTGCCTACATTGTGACAACCGAGAGTACAGTGTCCACAATAGTGTGGCGTGTTGCCGGAATTTGTCGGAATTATTTGTGCGTTATATCCTAATTTCTTGGACCCCTCAATGGTGACCTTATTCTGGAAGCTCTGTTCATATTCAGTGTGCACGCCCATTCGATGGCAGACACGATCTAGAGAGTTTGAAAATTCTGGCGACGTAAAGAACGGCAGGCCGGTATCTGCCCATTCCTGGCGAACATAATTCTGCGTTCGTAGGGAAGCTCCCCAGTTGACAGTGCCACCACCACCCCAGGTTGCTCCAGCTAGTACAGCCAAGTAGCCATCATCACTTATCGTGTTTCCTCCTTGCTCGAACATATGGGTGAATGCACTGCCTTGAGTCATTGGAAAGTAGGACGATGGATAATGATAGGCTTTTTCGACCACAACCACGCGATGACCTGCCTCGGCCAGGTTTTTTGCTGCCACGCCACCACCGCAGCCGCTTCCGACAATGACAACGTCGGTCTCGATAGTCTCAACGTCATCGCCGGGAGGAAACTGAAGAAATTGGTAGTCAAAAGTGTCTGCTGGCTTGCCATACACTGGCACTCGAGGAAAGCCAATGATCTCGTTTGAAGTTGGGCTGTTGATGAGCCATTGACGTTTTGACAGGAGCATTACAGATTTACCAACTTGACGCAGTTGGGGTAGTCTCGAAGTCAACCAGTTGTTCAGAACTTTTTCTCGTGCTTCAAACGACTGGTTCTGGATGGGAGTGGATGACCCAGTCAATAGCAGAGACCCAGCGCGGGTGCTAACAGGGAATTAGCATTGCTCTCGATAAGCTTATAATGGCTTACTTTAGTGCAGTCAAAATCAATGATAGGCCATTTTTAGACTCTTGGGGGACGTTGAGTGAAAAGGCTCGTCGAAGAGCTTCTTTGAACAGCGGATTGGAAGATACATTCTCTTCAAGAAATTGACGAGCCGTTTGGACCGCGTCTGGTGTTTTCAGTGTCTCAGTGATGGATTTGACCGCAGAGTCGTATTCTTCAGTGGTGATTCTCTTTTGGTATAATTTCTTGGGGTTCTTTTCTGTGGTCAAAGCGGGGATGACCACGTCGCACAGCGAGAGAAAAGATTCCCATTGCAAATCGGTAAAGACTGGATCCTCGTGAGTAGGGAATAGGGGTGCATCCAGCGGCGTGTAGCCAGCAGTCGCGGCCATGTTAAAACTCGTGTAGTAATACAGTTGTGTAGGTGAGGTGAAGAATAGAATTCACGCGCGAGGCGAGAGGGAATTATTGGCTGAAGTGATGATCGAAAGTTCGTGAGGTGGTTCGAGGTTAATGTAGGGGGCGCCTTCCTCGGATGTCTCTCACATGCTCTCCGGTCAGGTGAGATCAGGTGATGCAATTGGCATTGATCAATTTCTTCTCAAGATCTCCTGTTACCTGCGACCGTCCACATTTCACACTCAGCCAGCCGCGGCAATCAGCAATCCTGGTGGAGATAGCCGTCCCCAGATGAGGGGAACTGCGTGCTGGTCCAACCAGAGTGAGCTATTGTCAGGGATTCTCCTGCGCTAACTCGGACACAGTTAGACTCTAACTACCCCAGGATCTAGCCTGTATCCATGTGCGCGACAACCAGACCAGGTTCGTCCGTTTTTAATTCAACTGCGGAGTCCATGCACTGCTTGTGAATGTCAGTCCCAATCGGATTTACATGCCATCGAGGCTGGCTGGTCGAAGCCTAGACATTTGCATTTGGTCGCCGATGCGGAGTGTATTCCCAACAATCTGCTAGCTCGCGCCTCCAACTTAGCGGGGATGATCTCAGCCCGCCTAAATCTCCTCTATCTGAGCTGTCGGAAAATAGACTTTACTTGACATGTACGTAGGTGCTCGCTAGTACTTGCTGCTTTGTTATGTTTCAATATATTGAGCTTCCAATGATATTGTTATTAAACCTGTTAACTCTTAACAGCTGATGCTTTATGTCGCATTCCGAGTCGACACCGATGGCCGATGGCCGATGACCGAATCGACGACCGAATTCAATATATTGAGGAAATGCCGAAAGGCTAGGGATATCCCATATTACCAGCTCATCTCAACATCCATGACATAATATGGAAGAAGTCCCCCCAGTACATGTTTTTCTGACAATGATTCATGGTTGGGCTATTTTTGTCCACAGACTCTTTTTGTCCCGATTGAGTCGATATACCTTTTCGCCACAATGCCAAATTCACTACAAAATAATCCAAATTTATCGGCTTGCTCAAACAAAGATGGTCATCTTAAACAACAATGTTTCCAACACTCCGCCGCGTTTGTTCATATTCTGAACCGGAGCGAGCGCACAAAGGATGGATGATAAAAGTAGCAACAACCACGTCTTTGATTATATGCTGTTTCGAAGCTCAATGACGATTGCGAAACATTTAAATAGGCATATTCGCCATCATGTCTTGAAGTTGAGGTAGATTCGATACACATCAACAACGATCAGTCGAAGAGCGAAACTCGACAGTAAACGCCAACATGTTATTCAAGACCGTTCTATTCTGGATGTCAGCTAGCTTTGTGCTGGATGTATACGTAAGTCTATGCCCGATGAAGATAATGTCTTTAGGTTTGCTGATAGACCAGGCCGCTGCCATTAACGATACTCGGTCTTCATTAAGGCTAAACGCCGAATTCATGGACATCAACGCGCTCACCCAGACAGCCACTGATGCCGTCCCATCGCCCGATATTACCGCTCACAACACAAACGCTTCCTCTGTCACAAAACGCGGCTACAACTACAAAACCGCTCCCTACAAATGCCACGGCTTCGACTATGGGTACGCCGCCGTCGACTCCGTGGTCGCAGGCATCACGCACCTCACCAGCAGCAGCCTCAAGGGCAAACCATCCAACGAAGGCCTAAACTGTGGGCGCGTCAGTTGTTCGGACAACGCTGCTATTTGGTGGTGCAACAACGTACGTCTTTGCTTTCCCTTTGCACGTTTGCATCTTTCCTCAATAGGGTTTGGCTGATAAGAGTAAGGACAAAAACACATTGACGCTAGACTCGTTCACGGACATTGCGGCGGGAGCGGGGKATGTGCAATCAAAATGCTCGGTATGGGATGATGGGAGGCAACAGGAGATGGTTTCTGGAGAGGCGAGCCCGGGGCCGGATTGGACTGTTGTCGTGAGGAAGAATAGTTGCTAGACTTTTTCCAGTGTCATAGGGCGCGCCGTATTACCTTCACTAGATGTATAGACTAGATATCCGAACTCTCCACCTCGAAAATCTTCATCTACAACACAACACAACACACAATCCTCACATTCCCAACCAGGATTTGCCTAAGTAATAGAAGATAGCCGCAAAATGAAAAAAGAATACAAATTCACCACATCACTCTACCCTCCTCTTCACCTCGCTACTAAGGAAACAACACAAATATACCCGACACCCTCTGATCCACATCCGCCAACAAACGACCCCGTCTTCTCGCATGCGATGCACGTCCGCGACGCGGTGTTTGTGCAGGAACAGCGCTGTCGTGCGGAGGAGGAGATTGACGATGACGATGCGAGGAGTTGGGGGTGGGTTGTTTATGCCCATCCGACCCCTCCCAATCATCAAGAAGATGGTGAAGAGGGAACAGAGGGAGGACAGGCGGTAGGAACGATCAGACTCGTCCCGCCGCCTCATGTCTCGCACTCACATCTCACCAATCCCACCAATTCGACAGCATCAGACGTACCATCTGGCGAAGAAGGGGCCAGGGAATACGACTACTCGCACGAAGCATACATAAAAATCACGCGCGTCGCGGTACTGCCTGCCTTCCGCGGATATGGAGTTTCGCGCTTGTTGATGCGGACGGTCGAAGACTGGGCGAGGCAGAACAAGGCTGTTATTGATCAGATGTACTCCCTCGTCGCAGCTGCAGACCGGAAAGAGGAGAGGACGAAAGAAGGGTGGTGGAATGGGTTGATTGGGTTGCATGCGCAGGTGCAGGTTGAGCGGATGTATGCCTCTATGGGGTACGAGACGGATGATTCGATGGGGAGGTGGGATGAGGAGGGGATTGAGCATGTAGGTATGTTCAAGAGGGTGGATGTTGTGTGATCTTTTTTTTTTTTCAGTTGTACAAGATAGAAGATAGAATAAGAAATATGGTCTATTATCATAAACAACCCAAGCTAGCTCTACCGCTAAGCAATCACAACAGCAACATATGCCGACTCTCGACTAGAAGTCTAGAAGGAGCAAATATGTACAAAAACACCAGCCTGTAGAAAAACGCCAGAAACAAAACTCCGAAAATGACTTGCACAATTCTAACTGTAACCGCCAACGCCAGCAAATTGCAGAAATGTGTAGCGCTTGTCGCGAGGAATGCGCTCATAAATTAAAACAAATGGGGAATCATGGATATCAATAAGCGAACAGGTTGCCTCCCCAGAAATATGAAATGTCGAAAAGGTTCAAAGTGGTCATTAAAAGTGGTTTAAAAGGTGCTCCAATTCCAGTCGCGAGGAACACTGCTGGCAACAGTGAATTCCGTCTGGCGATGAGGGACCTCTGCGGAGTCGTCGGCTTGTTCCTCATGTTCGGTGTGGGCATGGATGTGGCGGGCATCGAGCTTCTGCTGAATTCGGGTCATACCCGCAGCCCGACCGTCTTCCCATCGCTGATACGCCTTGTAGCACTGATCGCAAGCCCGAGAAGCGGACCCTTCAGGGTGAAAGCGCGCATTCTGGTCAAGAGGGACCACGTAGGGAGTATGACCGGAGCAAAAGACGTGGCCGCAGTGACGACAGTGATGGCGGCGGGTGAAGATGCCAAACGAGGAGCGACACGTGGGTGAATCGCACGTTTGGGAAGCAGAGTCGGCCTGTTGGACAGTCAGTCGTGATTTATGAGGGATATTTAATTTGTGTTTGACAATAAGCAAGGGATGAGGGATTTTCTCGGATCCATGCAGCACGTAGAGAGAGAGGGTCGAGATGTCAGGTCATGTCATCAAGCACGTAATAGGCGAATAAAATGGCTCACATCGACCCCACCAGACAATACATAATGCTGTGAAAGGACTCTTTTTGTTTCTTTTTTCAAACAAAAAAACAACCGTGAAAGCGACAATAATACAAAGCGAAAGACAGACAAACTAACCTTCCAGTGGTCGCGTGTCGGTACTCCCGTCACCTCGCCCAGGCGCTCGCCTTTCTTCCACGCATCCTCGGCGACCTTGCTCACGGTATTCTTCGGCTGGAAGTTCGCCTGATACTCGACCGGAGCAGGGTCTTCATTCAAAGAGTCAAGAGAACCGTGCACGCTCCGAGGAGGGGTGATAGGCGACGGATCTCTGGTGGTCGGCGCTGTGGAAGTCTGAGGTCTGCTGGGTCGCTCGGTCGGACGCAGCACGGCGGGAACATACAGCGGCGCCTTGGGAGGGCGAATCTGGCGAGACTGAGTGGGTAGCAGGACGTTTGCTGAGGCCAGGTGTGGTGRGGTGGGSGAGCCGTTGGCAGGAGTATTGGTGTTGGAGTTTGTCGGGGAGGGGTGGCCGTAAATGGAGATTTGGCCAGGGTTGGTGAGAGTCTGCGCGGTGGCCATCATTGTGTAAGCGTACTGTTTTCGTAGGTATATTCGTAGTGTATTCGATGTGTTGTAGTGTCGAGAACACGACGACTGAGTATGACGGTAGGAGGGGAGAGTGGTCGTGGTGTAGAGGGTTTCGAGGTGAGAGTGGGAGAGAGAAAGCGAGAGAGCGAGGACGGGGTATAATAGTTGCCCCTAAGGACGGCGAAGAAAGGAAGGAAGCGGTGATGAATTCTGGCGGCGGGGGAAGCAGCGAATGGAAAGGGGCGAACAGCCCGCCGTTTCGGGAAGCCTCGCCGTTGCCCAACCAGACTCTCTACTCTGCTTAGTACTTACTTCTATTCGTTTTGTTTAATGAACTATATCTGTGACTATGAACATACTTTCACTATTCACCACTTCCAGTCAAAGCTTCAACTGATCATCGCGACCTACCGTCCCTCTGGGTCTGTATGATCACCATAGTGGCGAGGATGATGGCTCGATGCATCATTCCTCTATGGCTCACTTATCAGCAAAGCATGGGGATGCTTCTCCTCTGCAGCAGACATGTTCTTGACATCAATTGCTTTATCTTCTACCAATAGTACAGTGTCCTACGTATGTAGACTTGATCATCCAACACKGGAGCCGAAGAATCTGGCCAAGCCATAGCCAAGCCATCCAGACTTGGGGACCAGCCATCAGGAGCCCTAGAATGCGCCACTCGAGATTGCTTTACGCAAAAGCGCCGAGCAGTGAGTGTAGTACATCATTATGTCTCTATCTTGGGTAGGCACAGGGCGATCAAAGCATGTTGGTGACTTGGTGTTACATGTTACATAGTACTCTGATATTACAGATTAAGGACTGGGATCATGGGTAGGGCTTCGGCAAGCAGGGATGCCAAGGTCACATACGGTGATTGCCTGGAAAGGAAGTTTCTCTCCGATAGACACACAAGGGAAACAATTATTGAATAATGAATACGAAGTCAAAGCAGTCATAGGCGAATCAATATAAAAGATAATCCAAATGACATCGAAGGTCATCATATTCGCGAAGATCCTCATTGACGGGCCCCAGAGGAAGGATGTATAAGCACCAATCAGAAGGCCGATAAAGCAGATGGCCGTTAGTGGGTGGCACTAGCACTAGCACGTTAATAGGATCAATGCCGATAGTCGGGCCGGGCCAGTCAGAGATGGCAAATCTAGAGTAGAGTACGTCAAGACTCGAGACCGGTGTTTGCTTTTGCTGATGGTCCTACTATGTAGATTGATTTGATATGATATGATATGATAAGATATGATACATCCACACAGTCCATGTTCTTCTGCTCTTCCAACCTAGATATGATTCGAAGTCGAGGGATCCCCGTCGACATCCATCTGCTTATCTTGAGCCGCACACCGCTCTGTCCCAGAGTGTCCTCCGTAGACCCCTACCATAATGCATACATTCCGATCCGAGGCATCCATTCTTTGCTTGCATTGTTTCTCTATTTCCGAGGACATCGGTGTCAGTGCCACTCAGGAAGTCAATTCTTAGTTTAGTCTCCATCCATCCGTCTCCATCGCGTCTGGGTCCCTCACGCGAGAACTTTCTCAATGCAGACTGAGCAACGCCTAAGAAACGGCGAAAACACGACAAGTTGCCCTGTTTAAAAATTCATACGCAAAGGTACAATCCAATGAAGTGATTTCTGTTATGCAATGAATTCGATTTTGAGTGAAACTAGTTCACTAGAAAAAGTGCTGAAAGTGGAGAGTGTCGGCAAGTGGTCGGAATATTCTTTTCCCATTCCATGCTCCACTAAGTCCGCTCGGGAGAACGGATAACCTTATTAACCTACATTTGGTTAGCTTATTGTACACAGTGAACAACAAATATTTTGTGATACAGATTATAATTCATGTCTATAGCATACAACTGGTAGCTGCAGTTGACATCATGACAAAAAGAAAAGATCATTGACCTGACCGACTTTGTCCCAGCTTGAATCGAGCAGAGGCTAGCGCGAACCCTCGCCGAATATCATCTCCGGAAGGAGCTTAGCGTGAACTCTGTCTTTTCAACCGGCGTCACATGATTGGTCGCCTCCTGCTTCTTTATCGGAAGACTCTCATTGGTTGTATGATATAGATTGATTGTGATTGGCCGGTCGAGTGCGACTGCTCTTTTGGGCTTAGCACACAGAGCTATGAGGACTCATACTTCTGATTGGTTGCACTTCATTAGGGCTAATAGTTAGGGCTACTATGTACTACAAAGCCATACCCGCTCTAGCAAAAGGATAGTCAGCATTTGCTCTCCAGGTTTGAAAGCCGTGTATGAGGTTCGTGGTACTGTTTCGGTGGAATCATTATTGTATTATAAACACCGGGGTGTCATAGATGATACTAGGTATATGCATGTGCAGGCCGTGGCGTGCGAAAACCACTATTCCCTGCATAGGCCAGATACCGTCCCTTGCCCTCCAAAGGCGCACCGCCCTCAATGCCCAGCGCCAATTGTCGAATCTTGTCGTCTGGTCCTGAGACATCACGGACCACACCAGGCCAGTCATCCAAGACCTGAATTTTGTGCATCTTCTTCCCGACAAGTAACGGCAACTCCTGCTGTCCCACTGCAGCGCCCATGCGCAGCATTGTGAAGGCATCTAGAGTATCTGTCCAGCGACGACTAGCCGCTGCCCAAATCGCCAGACACAGTGAAGGGATCAAGTACAGGGCCAGAAGTACAGAACCCACTATCATGCCAGTCCGGGACAGCGAGGGGAGCGTCAAGGTGGTGGTTTGGACCACATCGGCTCGGACCCAGGTGAGAAAACTAATAGTACCACCCGCACTCACAAAGCCGTCCCACAGGGCCTTGGTTGCCAGAAAACAAGCCTGATTCAAGGCCGAAGTAATGTTACCCCGATTCTTGACGTCAGTCATCTCGAGAATCCACGTGAATACGGCATAATTTTCGTCGTATCTCTGATGCAGACCGAAATTTTCGAGGGGAGCCAGTGTCTGCGGTAGTTGTTCATCTAGCCATCCATTCCATCCAAGTGCGTTTTCGGTGTTGGTGAGACTGTAATTAACGGTTTGCTGTAAGTCGGGAAAAGAGCCAGACCCAAAGAGGGCGACGGCAACGGTCGTGAGAGGACCTGGCAATGCAGGTGCACTGAACTCATCTGACTGTCGGCCATAGGGACGACCACGTCGACTACTTATACTACTGCTGCGGCGCGTTTTGTAATCTGGTGTGTGAGTGTAACTGCCGCAGGTGCCAATGCACTGCGACGAATTTTCCAACGGACCTGCGGTCTGGTTTTTAAGACTGGGCAGTCTGAATAGTCCCACAGTCGTGTTCGCAACGATTTTGAAGGCGCCGAAGAATGTCTCCTCGGACCACTCCAACGAGTAGTTACCCGAGATATTGACGTACAGCGTCTCGGTAAAGTCCTGGCGATCGTTGTTGGCACTCCATGGAGATTGTGCTCCATCCATAGGCAAACAAACTTCAATTGTTGCGTTATAATAGCTGTAGGATGGTAAGTAGGAGTATGTATAGTGGGCATAAAACCAGTTAGACGTGGTCGAGCAATCAGATGGAAACTCGTCAACAGACAGATCGAGAATTTCGACTGACGAGTTGACTCTTGGGATGTATTGATCTGGCCATACTCCGGTGGTGATGTTGTTGCTTAGTTCCGCAAACCAGCTGGTGTCAGAAGCGTAATTACTTAGTGTATTAGTACTCCCCCAAAGCTGGGATTGTTCACCGTTCACTCCATCGGCCTGCAACTCGCTTCGTACTGTGACAATGGCTTGGGCAATCTGGCTCTCCAGCTTAAAGTCTATCATATTTTGCACAGTTGCAACGTTGTACAGGTTTGACGAATATTCAACATAACCTTCAGAATCGACAGGCAGAACATTGACTTGGCGAGCTGAAAGGAAGAGTGACTGAATCGGGTACGTGACAATACCGAGAATATGGATGATGGTAGCCAAGTAAAGGAAACTACTTCCATACCGCTTGAAACCAGAGTCATAGAAAAGCATGCGCACGTAAACAAAAGGATTGATCCACGACCGATCCGCAAGAGTCATAACCTGGCGTAGACGCAAACTATTCCCCTGGCGCTGTCGCTGGACAAATCCCGACGCAGCAGACGCACATATTGCCGACAGGATTGGAACCGTTGCGACGACAACAATGAATCGCAGAACTTGCGCAGCCTTGTACGAACGGGCCTTTTTGTGTTTGAAATCAGTCGTGTATTCATCTACTAGAGATAACTTGTACAGAGTCACCCAGGACCAAATCGCCATGGCGCAATAAACTGCAGTGGGGATCAGGACCGCTAGGTTCCGGTCCAGCGGCGCAGAATGTATGCGTGCTGCTGTCGTCTCTTGCTCGTACGGTGGGAGAACATCTTCCTGCGTTTCTGCGTAGGATGGTCTCAGTTCGGTGTTCTCATGGTCCTCCAAAGACAGAGCACTGCCATCCCTCTCATGCGATAATTGATCGGTTGAGACCGAGTAGAGGGGGATACCGTCGCTTCTATTTGCCATTTCAAACGCCGCTCTTGACTTAAGTCGAATAAAATATTGGAATATTCCGGTCACAAACCGAGTCGCAGGGCATGGCCGTACTGTTTTAAAGGGGATAAATTATTTACTGCGCCATCCGTTTAAAGTCAGGCACGACTGAAATTTGTTTTCTCACCCCTGCAGGGCTTAGATGCCTAACTAAAAAACCAGTTTACCGATAAATTGAGTGATGCCGTTTGGGTTTGATGCGACACTGGCTGCCAAAATTAATTAAACTACTACTAGCGGATCCGTGTGCGCCAATGGCGTTATTCTCATCTCGTTGATTTTTAGTCTTGATGATTAGTTGTCGATAGTCTATGCTTAGTTGCCATTAGTGTATGCTAGACAGTCAACTAGGTATGGTGTCGGCGCCTACATGGACTTTATTAATGCGGCGCAGGAGCCTAGGCTTTTGTCCTGTTTGCCTCGACTGAAGCCGGCGATGATGTCCGTGCTGCTCTAGACGGCGTCGAATTCGGCTGCGTAAGTGTTGCCGTGGCCTTGAATATGATCGAGCTTGCATTTTTATATGGAAATCCTCAGACAGATTGTAGATTTCTGGAAACGAAAGGAAACTTTAACCACTGTACGATTTACCGCCGAACCCTATCAGAATGAGACCCTGGACAGAGGAAAAACATTTTCAGGAGCAGAAGAATCGAGGCGAGTCATACGAAAACAACAATAGAGTATTTCAGTCTAAAAGTGGACGAAGAGGGAGGAGCAGCGTTTGGAACCGTTTTATGGCAGCTACCCGTTTGGGCAGTCCCTACTCTGCTCGGCTTGACGTCGTGCACGGTTATCTAAGGTCAATCGGAGATTTCAACCTGGCCCGCTATTCACACTGCCAATATTAGAGTCTAGGGCTAGGGCTAGGGCTAGGCCTATGTTGATGGGTCGATCTCATTCCTACAATACCTAGGTACATCTAGGTAAGAACTGAGAAGGCTCATATCGTAATACCAGGTCAAGATATAAGCAATGTACTGTAACCAACAAAGAATCGAATAGCAATGAGAGCGCGAGCTCATGTCCAAAAAACAGAAAAAACTCCCGGAAAAGGTACTGGGCATTTCAATGTTGAAAATCTCAGGACCAACAGTTCAAAATTCTTTTATGATAATCAGCTTCACGAGAACTGCATCCGAGTGACCCTCCGCAGTAATTCATGCAAGCGTAATCGACAGCAGGGATTTTAAAGGTAAAATCGCCATAGGGGCCAGAGTAATCAATCGTTGTACTGTTAGGTTTCATGTCATAACCAGTGATCTCAAGTCCGGCTGCACAACCAAGTGAACGTGAGGTGAAGGTGTACCAATGGAATTCTAAAAAAGGATGTTGGATACTTTTCCACTTCCACATTTGCTCTTGATCATGAACATTTGGTTCGATGATCATGTATAGAGTTTCCGGTCAGTAGGCCCCGAAGTTTTTCTAAGTTTATATGCCGTCGTGGTCAGACAGAGTGGCTTTTCGCTTTTGGATCAACCGAAGTCCCGAACTATATATTGCATGTTCTTTGCCTCTTCCTTGTATCCGGGATTTTCTTGGGGAAAATTAGTCTGGTTGGTGGAAGATGTTTGCTCAAGGATCGACGTTGCAACGCCGCTGGCGCGTGAAAAATGCGGGGGTCGGTCGATGCTTCCTTCTAGAGTAAGATTGTTATAATTCTCCGATTGATGATATAACTATAAAATATCTAGCCTTTCGTGGATGTTTTACAACAAATTGGCCACCGGTATGGGTTGCCATATATGATGGGGTGGTAGCTATCTGGAAAGTCATCAGGAACAGGTTTCAAGAAAGAACATTGGAACATACTCCTAATCATATCTTCACTAAGGATAAAACATGCTTCCTCTCGTTCAACTAGCCGTAATCATTGCCTGTGCTAGCGCTTGGCCGCTCCTTCATGAAGAATCTAAAGGCTTGTCGTCGAGGTCCAAACCTCTTCCTAAATTCAAGAACATATTCACATTGTGAGTCCACTTCCAATCAAACTGTCTGTAATTTATGCTGATGGTACTGTTCATTTAGCGGAGACAGCTACACAGCTACCCACTTTGACTACACAGGGACCTTACCCAATGCATCCAACCCCCTTGGCAATCCTGCCTTTCCAGGGGTCACCACAAGCAACGGCGACAACTGGATAGGCTTCCTCATCTCACAATACAACAAATCCCTAGTCCTCGACTATGACTTTGCCGTAGCCGGTGCTACCATCGACAACAACCTTGTACCGGCTTACGAGAGCACCGTCCCTTCATACGACCAGCAGGTCTCTCACTTACTCACTCTAACCAACAAGACAGAATGGAGAAACGAAAATACACTCTTCACAGTCTGGTTCGGGATCAACGATATCTCCAGAGGATATAACGCAAATACCTGGAGTAAATTCTCCCAGGTCCTCATCGATCGCTACTTCAATATCTCGCAAACCTTATACGATAACGGAGCACGAAACTTCCTTTTCATGAGCGTGCCACCCATACAACGCACACCTGAGCTTCTCGCTGAGAACGCAACCGCTMAAGCCACAACTGCCTACACAGTCTCAAGCTATAACCAACTCCTCAATCAAGGCGCAAATCGGTTTACCAAACATAATAAAGACATAAATGCAATCTTGTTCGATACCACTCCATCCTTTGATGTAGCATTGAACAATCCGACTGCGTATGGTGCGCCGGATGCGATTTGTTATAGTGGGGATGGGGTCAGTTGTCTGTGGTGGAATGATTTTCATCCGGGGCAAGCGATTCATAAGCTTGTTGCTGGGGCTGTGGCTAATGTGACGGGAATATGAAAAACATTTACTCCAGCTCCAGGTGGTGAACTAGATCATAAATGATTTTAGGGTCTGAAGACGATGTCATTGTTTCGAAGTAGAGAAGTATGCGTGTCGACAATATAAATAACACTTAACCTAGCACTAATTGAGGTCAATTTATACCACATGAATCTCGATATCTTTGCGGAATCGAAGGCACTTGGTGCCTGGCGGTTTTGATGTAATGCTCTACATAAATGCAGGACAATTTATTATTGCTGAGCATAGGCTTACCTATGTAGGCAGCCACTGGTAGCAGCTACGCACTTCCATTAGGTCTGTTATCAAGCAACCCTATTCCTAGACATATAATCTCGCAGCACGAATCTTCGTATTGATAAGTAATTGTTTGATTCTCGGTTCTTGTCGTTCTTCCCCCAAATAATACTTTGATGGCATTCGGCATAACCATCAAAAGCGCAAATCGATCTGATTGGTCGAGAGGACTTACCTCGCATACCTTCCCCCTTCAGTCTTAGTACGAGGGCCACATCGTCACCATCGCAGCCTGGCCATTTTCATGCCATTCTGTGTCATGTTTATACCTCTAGTCATCGATATGTGCCATTTTCATGGCCACAATGTGAAAGTTTATACGGGCAGGTACTTTACACAGAAACGTTCATCGTTTTTCGACTAGACCGTCCCAAGCACGCTTTGCATTCCCGCTTATTTTCCCGGCAAAAGATGCCATCGAAGAGGTTTCATAGCAAGAATAGACATGGCTGTATTCCCTGTAAAAAGAGAAGGGTGAAGGTGGGTTCGTGTTATTGAACGCTTCCGAGACGCTACCAGAGAGTAAGACTAACGGTCAATCCAGTGTAATCTAGTCCGGCCCACGTGCAGTAATTGTGCCAGGAGAAATGAAACTTGCATCCAGTATCCGGATTCGACTTCTGCGACTAGTGCTGGTCTTGCTACTGATCGTAGTCTCGGTCCGAGCCAGATACACAGCTCGCCATATCTGACCAATGAGCCAAGCTATATTACATGGAATGATTCCTTTTCTGCTGTGAGACCGATAAACATAGACTTATATTTTCTGGAAAGATACTTTTCTCACATATGTCCAACCCTTTCCTCACGGCCGGAGACTCAGCGTAACTGGGCCCGAAGGTGGACAGATGCAAATGGATCCTCCAAACAACCCCATTATCTCACCCATCTCCAAATCGCTATTTCGGAGCTTCAGTTCTTTCTGACGGAAAAAGATACCAACAGCAGAGCCCTAGAGAGGAAAGTTTCTCTGGGGAATAGTGTTTACCACCAAAATGCGGCCATATCAATGATGCGCCCACTGTTAGCCTCTACGGTGGACATGCCGACAAGGGGTGCAGGAGAAGTAACGGCCTTGTTTAGCGCAGCTTGGTTAATATTCCTTTTCAATCTAACATTTCCTCGCGACAAAAATGCGAATCCAAATTGGATCTTGGACGAGATTGTTGAGCTCAGTGAATTGTCCAAGGGGGTAGTGGCGATTATGTTAGGCGCCAGTGCTGGGGTTACTCCGGTCTCTTCGTCGACTATGAAACAACCGCTCTATTCCGACGGCGATGATGATCATACTCGCGAGGCAAAAGCAAGAGTCATGTCTGGCCCTCTCAGGTCTTTCTTTGACCCTCTTCTACCGTGGAAACATCAAGATGTTCCGCCAGCCGTCCGAAGGCAGAATTTATCGTCATCTGCACAAGACTTGATTAAGATAATTGAGTCGCTCCCTCAGGCTAGTGGAATAAGTTACAAGACACTTTACCGGCTCGCAATCGACGAGCTTGAGATGACAATTGTAGCCATGCGACTGCATACACAGCACCCATCGTTCGTATTCATGTGGCTTGTCGGCACAAAACGTCAATTTATGGAACTTATCAAACGAAGAGACGTACTGGCTCTTCGGATTCTCAGAGAATACGGGCTTGTGCTCACAATGGTAGAGAGTCATTGGTGGGCTCGGGGGCTGGGACGAACGGTTATTGATGGAGTCGACATGGCTTTGTCGTCTCTACCGAAAGGCAGGAGCTGACAATGCATAATTATGAGTGAAAGCTATACTCAGATTTCATTGATATCTGGCAAAAGCTACTTGGTAAACATGCTTGCTTCCGGCCTAACAGTGTAAACATGGCCATGAGTCTTAAATTAATACAGTGAGAGTTCCACTACATATATCATTAGCTAGTAGAACGGTGCATATTGATAGTCACAAACGGTGCAAGACTTGGAAATGGTTTAAATCCAGTCCAGTTCTCCCGCTATGAAATTGTTCCATATTAGGCTAATACTTAATCTTGCTTGCATGCCTAATGTACACCGTTAGATATTGAGAAATTGAGTCGGAACGCGTAATGTATTGTACTGTGTGTCTGACTAAAAGAAAGAAAATATCTAGCATAGACTACTATATAGAAATATTGTATAAAGCTATGCGTGCTAGTTTTGTAAAGGGGTTTCTCACTAATATTTTCTAGTGAGATATACTTATTATCTAAAATATAGTCTATTAAGTTTTGTATTATATCTAAATAAGTATTAGAAACTAAAGATATAGAAGCTCTTTCAATTCTTCGTCATAATGCTTTTGTTGCTCCTTGAGTTCCCCCACTTGTTTATGTAGGTCTTGTAGAAGTTCAATAAGGTTATGTCCTTCACGATTCCCAATGCGTCTCAACTCTGGCTCCATTGCTATTTCGTCTGCTGGGAAAAATAATTTGAGAAAGTTTTCGAGCTCTTGCTTATTTGTAGGGTCTGATCGAAGCTGATTGGGTAAAGAAACTGTTATGGTTTTATATAGAGACGCAGACCACTCCTCGTTCTTATACTTTATTAGTAACGTTTCCAGAAATAGTATCAGTAGATATTGAGATCTTTACATGTACCTCTCTGATACTGAATTTTCTCCTCTTTTGAGGCGGCTCATCTTCATTCCCCGCAGCAGCTTGATCTATACACCGAGTCATTGTTTCAGAGTCGGTGACTTAGTAGCTCAGGTTCCTCATCCTTGTATTTGTCTTTAAATAATCGAAAGGATGTTTTAAGAGTGTTGCTGGATTTCATGTCTCATTGAAGCATAGTTAGGAAATGAAACTCTAGATCTCTGAGTTAGGCAAGTCTATGAATTTATAGATACGCGTGGGATTGGCTCTCCCTTTCAATGGACAAGAGGAGGTATAGTCATTTATTCTAATAGTTTTAAGAATTACTAACCCAAACTTCTCCAAGTTTCATCTTCTACTGATATGAGATTCTTTTAAATGCCGTTATGTTGCACTAAGAGGTTCTTTGACGCCTTTGATGCATGCGGTATAAAGCAATTGAAGTATAAAGATGTATAGACCAGTAATGGGGCTAGTTTATCACATGTAACATGTATCACGCTTCTTCATAGCTGCTTGATACAAGTCACTTGAATATTTCCTTTTTTGGATTCTTAGGGCAATGGACGATTCTGCCTGAGGCCACAATTACGTCCCACCAGATCACGTGCTGGCAGCTGCTTAGTCTCTGTGGCTGGATAATCAATGAGCTCCATAAGCTCAATCTCCATGAGGGCTCTTTGTCTCTTCATCACATCATTCATCATGAAGTTATAATCAAGTAGCAGTTTCAATTGAGTGAGGACCAGAGCTATCTTTTTTCTCTGTTCTACATAGGTGTTCAGCATGAGTCAGTTGGACGGAGATACAGTATCAATAAAGACATATTCGACCATGATCGTTGAGTAAACCAACTTCTGTGGACGGATTTTCCAATGGTAAGCGATTTTATACAATCAAAATCCTACCGTTTGCGAGCCGCCAAAATTTCGTAGGAACTTATAGTAGGTTGTTGTATATGTGGTTACAACAACAATAATGAGAATATGTCTTCGGGATATATGAGGGTCAGATTTGGCAGGTTGTAACACGCGTTACACCATATAAATATGGTGTGTTATATAGAAACATTAAGAGGGTTTTCTTTGTAATACCTTCTAGCGAGATATGCTTGCCGTCCAATAAGGGCAGGATAGTGGATATATGCGCTGCGCTTACTATATTCGGGGTAGGGGTAAAGTGATCCTGCCAGAAATCAGCTGTAGCAGCGAATGATACTTGCTGGTATGACTAGTTCCTAGCTAATTGTCAAAGGTCGAGGTCATGACTGGATCTTCGTCAGCCACAAAAATGTAAATTCTGGTTTGATCGGAGACTTTACACATAGTTAAAGTTTTGAAGATCAGTCTGTACGTACGTAACGTTCTTATTGACATATGTGGGATATGTTCAGCTACTGTGGAGAGGACGGCGCCGGAAATAAGGGGCCAACATGCAGCGGCTGAGATTCAGCTGCAACTTTGTTCTTATTCCCGGTGCATCTCTAGATTGACTAAATTAATAGCGCCTCGTGGTGGGGGGAAAACGGCGCCGAATCTCACAGTGATTGCGACCATTGCGGCTGTTCAGTTATGGTATCGGACATGTACTCCGTGATTCTCAGCTCAAATAAAAAACTGTATTTGTCTGTATGAGTTAGTTATATTTACAATGCTTGTACGAAGTCAATCAACGCCAGTATCGGAGCATTCCAGCCTGTCTTCAAGAATACTCTGGGATACGTACGTACGAAACCAGTAGATCTTCAGTGTTGGCCGCCCACTTCGCCCCGCCGATTGAGCGATTGGATGTTCTCAGATACTTTAATCTAGAAGCCATGTCATGTTTCATTGGCATGTGGAGATTAGTATGTACGTATTTTGCCGTTCTTACCTCGGAGCAGCATTTAAATGATGGCCAGAACCCAGAGGCCAACATTTGAATTCGCATCAACACGAGAGGAGACGACAACGCGCATTCTTCTCGATAATCACACAAAACCCCGGAACGACATCATTTTCATTGGTTTAAAGGTTCGCAGACGACAAAATTTGCCTACCAGGAAACACTTGGCTCTAACTTTCAAGTTTCATTTACTTTGCGCTCACTTCTGCCGAAGTTTTGCCTAGCTTGCGCCTTCTGAGAGAAATAGCAAAGACATAATCCAAATGACTGAAGAGAAAAATGGAATTGAGGTGTACCACTCACCATATATTGCCTCAAAAATGCCTCCAAAGCCAATCACAGAGAATGACATTCTGAATTTCATCAATCAAGGAGAGAAACACCAACTCATTCCGACGATAATCGACCATAATGCCAGTCATAATCCTCAAAAAGTCTTTGCATCGATTCCCGTGGATAATAACGACCTCAGCCAAGGATTTCGAGATATAACATACTTTGAACTCAGCAAAGCCGTCGACAAAGCTTCATTCTGGCTTGAAGAAAAGCTGGGGTCTGCACCTAAAGCTATTATCAGTTCAGAAGGCCAACAGGGAAAGACCCAAAAATCGAGCTTTCCAACATTTGCCTTTTATGGCACACGTGATTTGAGGTATTCTATATTTGCTGTGGCGGCTATAAAAGCTGGTTGTAAGGTATGCAAAAGAAATACTTTGTTTTCCTGAAAATTTTGTCCTTTCCATCAAATATTTTGCTCAAATACATAATACGCAGATGTTGTCGCCATCGCTTCTCGCCTCAAAGGATGCGCACATTCATCTCATCAAGGAAACAGAGTGTCATACCGTCTTCTATATTCCTACCACATTCTCCCTGGTTGAGCAGATTACCACCACCCTTCAGCAATTAGAGTCTTCAGCTTACAGGATCTCAACCGCAGTCGCCCCCGAAGTTGCTGATTTGTTGCCTGTTGGAGGGAAAAATGTTGAGGCTGGACCAAGTGGCCATTATCCTTACAACAGAACTTGGGATGAAGCATGTAACGACCCTTGCCTGATCGTCCACACGAGCGGCTCAACAGGCATGCCGAAAGTCGTCTACTACACACAGCGCATGCTTGCAAATCCCATTACACAGAGCCTCTTACCGCCTATCGAAGGTCGAATTCCCCTGGTGCAAGAATGGTATGGTCAACGAATGCTAACCACAGTGCCCCCTTTCCACGTGAGTCGTTTTTATGTCTAAGTCATGTGGAATGAATATCCTGACCATGTCACAGTTACTAGGCTACGCCGGATTCCTAGTCTGCCCCATCTATATCGACGTAGTAGCAGTCATGGGCCCTCCCGATAGACCATTTGACGCTGCGTTGGCAGATGAGATACATCGGAATGCTCGCCTAGATACGGGAATATATCATCCATCTTTGCTACAGGATCTTGTTCGAGACGAAGTCAAACGACAAGAGTTGGGCAAGTTGAAGCTCATATGTTTTTCCGGTTCTCCTCTTGAGACAAAGACTGGTCAATGGCTTGCTTCAGAATTCGGTACATTGCGAAATGCTCTCGGGAGTACCGAGAGCTTCGCATGGCCTATGGCCCAGGTGCTTGATGTGAAGAAAGACTGGGCTTATGTTCACTTCTATCCCGTCAATGGTATTGAGTTCAAACCTGTTGGTCTAGCGAGCTCTAAGAACAAATCCGAGGAAAACGTTGTGAACGAGGAGGAACTATACGAACTGACTGTGCATCGCACCATCGAAACTGATGCGTTGACCAACGTTTTTCGTTCTCTACCGCGAACCAGCACATGGCACACTAAAGATCTTTGGAAACGTCACCCAGACCCCGCTAAGAAAAATCACTGGCTCTATCAAGGCCGTACCGACGATCTCGTTGTTCTCAGTGGAGAAATCAAGATGTATGCCGCTCATCTAGAGGACAAGATAGCATCAGCACATCCTTCTATACGCACTGCACTTGTTGGTGGCCACCAGCGCAAACAGCCTTTCCTGTTGCTTGAGCTAGCAGATTCTACGATTACCGTAGATGATATCTGGCCACTTGTTGATGAAATCAATCTCCGCTACACGCATAGTTCGGTCCGTTTGAATAGATCGCTGGTTCTTGTAACGGAGCCATCTCGGCCTTTTGTGCGACTGGCCAAAGGCTCGGTGGCTCGAAAGCAGACTTTTGACTTGTATGCCAAGGACATCGATGGTTTGTATGCAGCTTTGGAGCAGTAAAGGCCTATGCACCCTCATTGTGGAAACCCTGCACGGAGAAACGGCCAGAAACTGCTCGGCTGCCGAGTCGGACGGGAAGGTTCATAAATTGTCTTGAACTCAACATAACTTCAGATCGGTTTAGCACATTAGCAACAAGGGTTCATGCTTCAAGACTGTATATCTCCACGCTTGGCACGACAGAAGTCCAGGCAGCTAAATTAACACTGTTCCGTATTGACTAATTCTGCGATCGCGATGTTTATATCGTGTCAGGTGTGGCTTTTACGCATAAATTATGGTCTTTATGGTCGTATTGCTATTGAAAAAGCAGCACACATCATATGCATGCCAATTTTGTACCTTGCTCATATAGAGACTCGCCCAGTATTGCTAGGTTGTCCATTGTACATGTAGACCCATTTCTATACCTGTGGCTCTGTCAATTGCCTAGATAATTGACTGCCAATCGTGACGGTCTCACCAGTGAACTCCGGTAATCCCTGCTAAGTCCCGCTGTTAAAAAGCAAACTATTTGATACCAGCTCATTGATGCATCATAAATCTATCATCATTTAGCCTGAAAATTGCAAATAAGCGTCCAATGAAATAACTAGTTACACTTACAAATCGAACTTGCGTCACCTCCTTTGTTCTCGAAAGGAAGACTACGAATGCTTGAGCATCACAAATCTGTTTAGGTATCTAGAGTACTCGAGTTATATGTTTGATTTACAGTAGCTTTATGCACCTTTATCCTCTTACCTGGATTCTTTCCCACGGCGATAATTGCATGCAGCGCCAATATGGCTAATTGCACGCAGAACACGTTCGGCCCAGTTGTCATTGAGCAATGTGGATTCGATTTTACTTTGCTTTTTGAGCAGATTTTCATGTCTATGGTTCCATCTGGCATTCTAATTGTGGCTTTTCTAGTCCGTCTACCTTATCTCTTGCGACAGGATAAAAAGGCTGCATGGAGCAATCGGTACTACTTAAGACAGGTAGGTAGGTTATTCGTGCCTGAGTAAACCACACGATTCACGTTATTCTAGTGTTTACTTGCAAGTTTCGGGGCCCTACAGATCACTCTTTTGTGTCTGTGGGCATCTGCACCTGAATTTTCCATTGAAACCGCGATCCCAGCGGCATCTTTGAACATAGTCGATGCTCTAGTGATAGCCCTTCTTTCGGGATTGGAGTCCACGAGATCCGTTCATCCTTCAACGGTCCTCACAGTCTTTTTGTTTTTCAGCCTCTGGTTTGACGCTGTTCAACTCCGTACACTATGGTTGCTTCACGAAAAGCGATCTCTCACAGCGATTGCAACTGCCAGTCTAGGAATCAAAACGGTGATCTTAATCATCGAGGCACGACCAAAGCGCAATCTCCTTTTGCATCCTTACCAAAATTTGTCACTAGAGACCACGTCAGGATTCTTGAGTAAACTTGCCTTTTGGTGGTTGAATCCTCTTCTCTGGAAAGGGTTTCGTTCTACGTTAACTCCATCTGATATGTGTCAATTGGAACCTGATATGTATTCAATGACATTGGAACAGAAATTTCGGACTTCATGGGATTCCTATTCAACGTCCACTCATAAGCACAAATTGATCAGAGCCACACTGTGGGCAGTCAAATGGAAAATGTTAGCCGCTGCGGTTCCTCGACTTATGCAGAGTGCCTTTACGTTTGCACAGCCTTTTTTGACATTTCGTGTGATCGATTACATTGATGAGGCTTCAGGGAGAGATCGGAATGTGGGATATGGGCTTATTGGGGCCACTGCCCTGATATATGTTGGCCTCGCCGTGAGCAGTGCCATGTATAAGCATAAAACATATCAAATGATAACACAAGTTCGGGGTGGGCTAATTACGTTGATCTATCCGAAAACTTTGCGACTCAGCAACTCGAAGACCAGTGATTCTGCTGCGGCCACACTCATGATGACAGATACCAATGCCATTGCCCAATCGTGGACAAATATACATGAGATGTGGGTGTCGCCAATCGATGTCGGGGTTTCTATCTATCTATTGGAGAGGAAACTGGGGTTTGCATGTGTGGCACCGATTGTTCTCGCTATAGGCTCTGTCTTGGCCAGTGGTCAAATTGCGAAAATACTCCAAAGACGACAAAGTTTATGGCTGGSGAAGGKTCAAGAACGAGTTAGCTTTACCTCGGGGTTTTTATTGAATTTAAAATGGTTGAAAATGATTGGGATCGCATCATTACAAGGGGAGAAAATGGAAAAGCTACGGGCTAGAGAGATCGCCAAAGCTAAATCATATCTACGGATCGATACGGTGGTGAACGTCTGTGCAAACATGTCATCATTTCTTTCGCCAATAGCGGTAATTCTACTGTATGCATTCACAAGACACAACCTTGCGGATTCGTTGACGAGCGGTATCGTTTATTACGCCCTCACAGTTGTGGCACTGATGTCGAGCCCCCTCGGTTTGGCGCTGTTTGCATTTCCGAATTTTCTGGCGTCACTGGCCTGTTTTAATAGAATACAGGCATATCTGGAACTTGAAGAGAGGATCGACTATCGCCGCTTTCACTCAGCCGCTGCAATTGGTACATCCTCAGTCCAGGGTAGTACCAGTGTCAGTTTGGAACTCGTCACCAAAGCAGAAGGAATTGAGTCAAGAGAGAACACCCTCAGCCCAGATACACCGAAGGCAACAAATAGCCCTGTATTCTCTATTAAAGATGCCTCGTTCGGATATGAATTGCGGGAAAGTCCCGTCTTAAACAGAGTTTCTTGGAACTGCTTTCCCAAGACATTTACTGTCGTATTTGGAGTAGTAGGATCTGGAAAGACAACACTGCTAAAAGCACTTTTAGGTGAAGTTCTGTGTCTCCAAGGCTCCGTCAGTATGGCTACTTCATCAATAGCGTACTGCAGTCAAACAGTCTGGCTGCAAAATTGCAGTTTGCGGGACAATATCCTCGGAGGGCAGCCCTATGACGAGAAGCTGTATAAAGATGTGATATCTGCTACATGTCTCGAATCCGATATTGCACACTTGCCCCAGAGAGAAGACACATTACTTGGTACGAATGCAATCAAACTCTCGGGAGGTCAGTCCCAGCGAGTAGCGCTTGCGCGCGCAATCTATGCCAGGAAGCCCCTGCTTCTCTTGGATGATTCTTTCAGTGGGTTGGATGCTGCCACTGAGGCATCAATTTCCAGGAATATATTTTCACGAAAAGGTCTTTTACAAAGGCTCGGCATGACTGTTGTCTTAGCTACACATAATCAAAATTACCAAAAGCTAGCCGACTCTGTATTGACTTTAGAGTCTGGGGGTATTATCACCTCTGTTGAAAAACCCAATCACCTTCAAGTCCATGATAGGGATGCAAATACTGACGAAGACGCTGTGAATAGCGGTTCAATAAACTCCTTTGACAATGTTCAGTTTGATAAATCAGAGCTTGAAACCGACCTACCCAGCACGTTGCCTATATTTCATCAGTCATTGGTCCCGGACGATTCGGCGCGTAGTCAGGGGGATACTGCAATCTATAAGTATTATATTGGCAGCTTTGGGACTTCAAGGCTACTAGTGTACCTTGGACTGAATGCAGTTTGCACATTTTGCATGAGATTTGGTCAGGTCTGGGTTGGATTTTGGGTGGATGCTCTGCAATCAGATACGACCAGACGCACAAATTACATCTATGGATTTGTTTATGCGGCTTTTGGCCTAGGCTCTTTGTTGTTCTTTGGAGCCTGTCTTTTATTCATGTTTCAAATTATCGTTCCACGATCAGGACAAATGCTGCACAAATCGCTTTTGAAAGCCACTATGGGCGCGGCATACATCTTCTATACGGGGACAGACTCGGGGGTGACCCTTAACCGTTTCAGTCAGGACTTGACATTGGTAGATGAAGACCTCCCTAACTCCACCGTATCCCTGGTCTACGATGTTTTTATGTGCGCTGCGCAGGCAGCTTTGATATGTGCTGGAGCCAAATACATCTCGGTTGTGCTGCCGGTTCTCGGTCTCATCGTCTATTTCATCCAGATGAACTATCTGAGGACTTCTCGACAGGTCCGCCATCTAGATTTGGAAGCGAAATCTCCGCTATTCAGTCATATATTAGACATGTATACTGGCCTAGAGACCATCCGCGCTTATGGATGGGTTCAATCATTCGAAAACACTAGTATCTCGCGGTTGGAGAATTCGCAGCGACCGTTCTATACCCTTTACTGCATTCAGCGCTGGTTGGGTTTGGTCCTCAACATGTTAGTTGCTTTTGTTGCTACACTATTGATCGCTTTGGCAACACAAGTTGACGGTACATCTACGACGAACTCCATAGGTACTGCTTTGATCAATGTGGTGGGCTTCTCGCAAACGTTGAGCTCATTGATAGTGTCCTATACTTCACTAGAGACATCACTAGGGGCTATTGCAAGAATAAGGTCCTTTGTCGCTGAAGTTCCACAGGAAGATCATTCACATGAATCATCAAACTCGACCAGGCTCAGTTCTGTTGACAGCGGCAATTCTATCAAATTCAATTCTGCTGTTGTTTCATATGGGGGGTCAGTTGCTCCATCCTTTATTTTTTCTTGTTTTGGAAATGTGATCGACCGGACTGACATAGAGCTGTCAGCTCTGTAATGAGCCCTGTGCTTAGAAACTTTTCATTGAATGTAGGTGCCGGTGTCAAAGTCGGGATTTGTGGACGTTCTGGAAGGTGAGCTCTATCCTTCTACTTCAATCCCAATATTCAGCAACTCGTACTCATCAAATGATGATTCAGCGGCAAATCGTCCGTCATGTTGGCACTACTTCGAATGATTCCGACCATAGCAGGCAGCATCACAATCAATGGTATCGATATCTCGACTATCCCAACCGAAATCGTGCGGTCACTTTTCATCGTGGTAACGCAGCAACCAATCCTATTCCCTGGAAGCCTCCGGTCAAATATTGACCCGTTCTCAAATTATTCCGACGAAGAAGTCTATCATACCTTGGAGAGATTAGGGCTATCACAATTAGTCCCTTCTCACCAGAAATTTGACATTGATGTTGAACAACTAGCATTGAGCCATGGCCAGAAGCAGTTGATTTCAATTTGCCGAGCAATCTTGGAAAAGAACAGAAAAAATATACTGCTTCTGGATGAGATTACAAGCAGTCTTGACACAAAAACCGAGGCTCAGGTGATGAGAGTTATTCAGCAGGAGTTTGCCTCGCATACAGTACTATCGGTTTCGCATAGATTAAACACGCTCCTCAATTGTGATAGGATTGTAGTTTTAGATTCAGGCGAGATTGTAGAATCCGGAGCCCCAGACGAACTTCTACAGAAAGACTATGGTCTTTTTCAAAACCTCTGGTATAAACAGCAGGATAGTGCAGCTTGATATTATGATACTGGGAAATGTTCTGAAATACTATTTACGTTGAGAAATACTAACGACGTTGTTTCTTGGTAACAAATACTACTAATAGCGGGTACTATGTCGCAGTTTATTGTCAGTATCAATTTCTCTTCCAGAAGGTCAACAAATGAAGTATCAAAMCCCGCCGACACTGACTAAAGATTAAAGAAGGGAATAGACTCGATTTCTTTCAACTCTCGACTACTTCCTAGACCACTGAATTGAGGCCGGGTGCTTTTTGGCTCTTCCCTCTGCATTATCAACAACGACAACAACATAGAAGAGTGCTTCATTTATAGTGATAGGCGGATCATGGAAACTTTCATCAGGTAGGATATTGCATTTCTATGAAATTTACATGTTTTTGGAGATTCAATCGTTTCGTTTATAAGCTCGGATATAATCATTGAAAACTTGCAGGAAAAGGTCATATACGAGAGAATTTAGATTGACTATTAACCTCAAATGGTCACATTTCCAGTCCATGTACTAGGGCTGGACTCTCTGGATTTAAGCCATAAATGGGCTGTCCAATCTCACTAGCAAAAAGTAGACAACAAAGTCTCCGGCATCTTTTCCACTAGCTATCTTTAACTGTCAATGATTGGACATAATTCGTCATTTCTGCTTAGTTGACCTTAAGCAGATGACTTCTCGTAGGCGGCATCAGCATCACTGCGGCGGATAGAAGACTTCTCATAAGCAGCGTCGGCATCACTGCGGCGGTCATTGGAGGATTTCTCATAAGCAGCATCGGCATCACTGCGGCGGACAGAAGACTTCTCATAAGCAGCGTCGGCATCACCGCGGCGGGCGTTGGAGGATTTCTCATAGGCAGCATCGGCATCACCGCGGCGGTCATTGGAGGATTTCTCATAAGCAGCGTCGGCATCACTGCGGCGGGCATTGGAGGATTTCTCATAGGCAGCATCGGCATCATTGCGACGCACAGAAGACTTCTCGTAAGCTGCATCCGCGTCACCATTAAGGATCACATCCCGAGCGACATTCAGCCCTAAAACAAATTATAAGATAACTTATCTACATTATCAAAACTGGAGGGGATGCAAACCGTCACGAGAGACTGCCGGGGTAGCTGAGGTCAATGTGACATACAATGCCACCAAGGCGGTACTTAGGAATACAGTTCGCATTTTGAAACAAGATTGCGGGCTCTATTGGTATTCTTGGTAGAGCGAGAAAGTTGGATGAAATTGAGTCGGACAGTTATATGTTTCTTGTGCAGTTTGATGCGAGCACTCACAAAGGACGATTGAATTGACGAACGGGAAAATGACTCCTTTATAATCTCAAGATTTTTTAACGCTTCCAAATGAACATGCGAATAATCTTCGACAAACCCACCACACGTCGTAATCTGTTCAGAGTCATTTCTGGAGACGACTCATGTCGGTGATGGCATCGTGCTTTCGGATGGCGTGAAATGAGCTAGTATACTACACCTGTGTCCTCTGGCACCTTCCCTGACGGGAATATGTGTCGCTATCCAGTGAAAGCCCTAGTCCCATCCATCTATGCATGACCATTAAATGCAGGGTTCTTCGGCGAGTATATGTCTACATTCATTTACAGTCACAAATTTGGAAACTGGGCTTCGGATAATACAATCCGGCGGCCCGACAAGACATCATTCACTGTTGAGCTGTCGCAACTACCCCTGTCATGTTGCGCGTGCCGATCGTTGCTCGCTTATGTTATTTCTCCATGTGTTGTAAGGAGGCTTTATAGTACTAAGCTTTTTGCTGTAGCCTAGATCTGATTTATCTCTAATATCTGGGGTTTGAGCATTTTCATCCCTAAATCCACTTTACACCTGCTTTGAGCAACTTTTGCCCCTTTCAAGATGAACGCTGTCATCAAGAATGGTCAGGCAGGCCGACTCGTCATCCCCCTGCTGTATTTCGCAATATTCTTTTTCTTCTTCGGCGAGAATATTCAGCAAGCGCCACGAACAAAGATTTACGAAACCATACTGTGCCTGCAGCAAGGTATTTTTCCTGCTCCTAGCACGGAGCAGGAGAATCCCCAGTGCAAAGTCTCAACAGTACAGTCTGAATTAGCAGCATTGAAGGGTCTCGAAAGGTTGTTTGGGATCATACCAAGTACGTTTCCTGCACATTTAACCGTCAACGGATCAAATAGTTTCCAGTTAACAACTCAGCCATTCTTGCCGTTCCATACGGCATCCTTGCAGATCGGTATGGACATGTTTTTATTATGTCGATGGCACTGCTCGGCGTTCTCCTGGAGGAGAGTTGGCCTTTCCTAGTATGCAGGTTTGCAGACAGAATCCCTGTTCGCTTCATTCTCATGGGCCCCATTTTCGAGATGATTGGAGGAGGGACGGCGATTAGTTCGACAATGATGCATGTTGTTGCAACACGCAACTCCACAGACGAGAACAGAACATTTGTATTCTGGTCTATTCGTGCAATATCTATCGCTTCTGCCGTCATCGCAGAGGGTCTAGGTGGCTTCCTCATGGCGAAGTCCGCATGGCTGACCTGGTTTGTCGGGCTGATTTCCCTGTTTCTATCTTTCATCACCAGTCTGTTAATCTCAAGAGTCAGCCCTCAAATGACCTCTTCGTTTAAGTCTAATACTTCTTCATCAACCTCGATTGGGTATGGCACGATAACGACGCAGGCTGAGAATGATGCGAATGTATCCACCACAGACGGGAAAACGACCACGTTGTCACGCAGCTTGCGTATGTTGAACGAGGTCAAACAAGGCTTCGGAATTGTTCTCAGCAATATACCGCTACTAGTGCTGCTCGGAGCAGCCTTTTCTGCCCAATTGAGTGACGATGCATCCCCAATGATTTTACTACTCTACATCACCGGGCGTTATCATTGGAATTATTCAAACGTACGTATTCACTCTAACACTTGGTTCTACGCTAATGCAATAACATCTGAAGGCTACCTTTCTATCAGCAATAGCAGACAGCATCCAATTCGTTGTGCTTGTCGTCATACTTCCATATGTCCGACTGTACCTGGTTGCATCTTGGAAGTGGGCCGGTTACAAGTGTGACTTGATAATTGCTCTAGTCGGTGTTTATTTCTTGACATTAGGTACCTTGATGCTTGGTCTTGGTTCTTCCGTTGAACTAGCAATCATCGGTAATCTTTCACCATTTCTCTCACTTGCCGCATATAGATTTCGTTTACTGATACCAAAATCCTCAGGTCTTGTTTTGACATCGTCGGCGGGAGGTGTTCAAGCAGCAACGCGATCTCTGATCACGGAGAAAATCCGAGAAGAGGATATTAACGTAGTTTACTCAGTCTTCACGATTCTCCAACGCATAAGCTCAGCTCTGGCTGGGCCTGTCTACTCTTCGACTTATGCTGTTGGCGTGAAAATGGGTGGGGACTGGTCAGGATTGCCATTCTTTGTTGCGAGTATGACTGCAGCTATTTCAGCTGTGATGTTACATCAAGCGCAAAGTCCATCCAATTATGAACCTGTGCTGTCGGAGGGGATAGATTCAGAAGATACGTAAATCCATTGTGACAGATACAATGATAGTGGCGTAATTACATAGATCTAACTCGTAATTTCGAGGTTGTATATAGGTAGGGGCGTTAGATGCAGTTATGCATATTGAATTTCACCTTGTGTACGCAATCTGCCTTCTTGTTTACATGCTGCGTACTCATGTGACTGGTAGGAATTTTCGACAATATTACTGGCCTTTATGTACAAGGCACATGGGGCGAAATTGTTCTAAGCCTGCATTGATTGCATCCCTGAGTCATTAGACAGCAGAAAGAGGGGGTGCTTCACCTGCTGGCCTCCTGCCCTACGGATTTCACTTTTTCATTGTGGTTGTCCACCTCGATAATCAAGCATTATGCTAAAATTCTGAGACGTATTCGGAAAGTCATTGAACGATGGCTGAAGCAGCAGAATATAACTGCTCTCTGAGCGACGACAGTCCGAATGAGAATGAAGCATTTCTGCTATCCGAGAAGGGATGCGAGTCCCGATGGGCAAAGCAGAGTCGTTGGTGGTCTTTTTCAAGAAGTCTTTCGGTCCCGGTTTGGGTTGTTCTTCTATTCCTCGTACCTTGGATAATGATGGGAATATGGGTAGTCCAAGCTTTTGCTGCACAGCTGAACAACAGCGTGAAGCACGTTTACTGTAAGTTCTATATTTGCTATTCATACTTGATACGGCCCTTTAACAATCTTGTTAGCTCCTGCACACGAGGTCATTTCATATGTTCCGGTCACATTTAATGTCGAGGATACACCTGGAGAGTCTAGTCCTTTTGCAGGACCGCCTCGAAAAGGTCTCGACGAAGCCTGGCATGAGCTTTTGCAGTGTACGTTCAAGCGGCTTTCGTTTCATGCATAGTTTCTACGACAAGTTTCCAACGTAAAAAAAGAAGAAATCTGACTCATCAGTGAGATAGATTCCAATGTTCGTCTCACAGATTCAGAGATGGATCGCATCGACACACAGCGCAAGGCCGAATCCGTTCATCTGCCTGACGGAGGCTGGTTTGCAACATTTCAATTTTGGCATGAGTTGCACTGTATTGTGAGTTTCTCAATTTCAAATTTATGACTATCCTTACTTCTTGGCATGGACTGAGTCGTTTCATATCATCAGAAGCATATCCATCGCTTCATATGGCCCGAGACTTATTTCCCCAACGTGACATCTGCCCAGCATGCAGATCAAAAGATCCACCTCGAACACTGTCTCGATACCCTCCGACAGGGAATCATGTGCCGTGCCGATATTACTCCTGTGACTATGCGATGGGGTAAGAAACAAGCAGTTCCTTTGGGAAATTTCTCAAGTCAACACGAGTGTGTCAATTGGGAAGCTCTGATTGACTGGATCCGACCCCGGTCAATTTCTAACATATTTGATCCGGGGTACCTCAACCACCCTATCTGGGGGCAAGTGTATACGGAGGAAAATTTGGAGAATTCTAACATTGTAGGCGTTGTCCACGATTCATGAGGGCTCGGATAATAATCGCGGACGAGCAAATGTTCCAGGGTTGTACTCAAGATTCGCTTAAGGATGGTTATTGAATGTTATAAAGTATGTATACAATAGTCAGCTATACATAAATCTTAATATATTGCTGCAGAAGTGGTATTTACTCCCTATATGGCCGGGCAGTTACGGTAAGACCAGGTCCAATTGTTGCGTTGATACTGGCATTCGCAACAGCAGGCGCCACAACAGCCGTTTGATGACTTGGAATCCTCTTTCAATAGTCGTGAATTCCACAAAGGATGGTCTGACAAATTTGGCGACTGGATCGCTCTGATTGCCCTACAGCAAGCTGAAGGCTGGACCGGATATCAAAAGACGTTTCATTCTACGGGTGGATTTGCTCTGCTCGAAGAAATCGAGTGTCTTTTGACAGACAACCTTGCTATTTGGAAGGTATGGGATTGCCGCGCACTGAGAGAGTATCTGACGGCCAGAAAAAATGCTCTATATCACTTTCGCATCACAGTACAGAAACAACATGACTACAACCACAAGAACTTTAACTATGATCTCAACCACACTATTCAGAGTATGTATGCACCGTCCGCTGGTTAGTGGAATTCGAAAATATGGATTTAAATTAGCTGACGCTTGATCTCAACGTTGTAAGCAGGTGTTCGTGAAATCAAAAGAAACTACTCTGCCGATGAGAAAAAGGCAATGCAGGAGAGCAAGCCCTCCAAACTCCGTCGAAGGGCTGTTCAAAATAGGGAAGAACGACAACCGTCCCCAGTTAGAGCATATAATTTGTTGACAGAGGAGCAATCTTCAAATCAGAAGGGCCGCCATGGTAACAACGTCACCATCAGCTCTGTATCGTCAGTTTGGCAACGTTACCTTCATTTCAAATCACGGATACGTCTCTCGAAGGGCATCTCAAAACCGATCAGATGGCGGGATATCGATACAATCATATTTTCTATTGTTATATGCGTTAGTGGAGCATTCCTGGTCCTATCTTTCTGGAAACCGTCCGACGCCGGGTTTTGGAACAATCTCTCCCAGACATGCTTCTACCTGCTGACCACCTATTTTTCGCTTTGGTCATCCTCCAGAGCAGAAGAAAATGAATTAAACGCTCCTCAATCTAAAATCCTCTGCCGAGTTCTCTTTTACTGCGGTGTGGTGTGCGTGTTGCTTTCTGCCGTGTTGTACCATTTCTCGAACAACATGTCTTCAATATCATCCTTCGCCTCTAATTTCTGTCAGGTAGTCGCTATCAAACTATTGCTGGAGAGAGGAGAAAGCAGAGTAACGGAGGTACATGTATAGGGTCCATTCACTCCCATGGCTGATCACAATGGTTACTCAACCGACCTCACCGGGGATGGGTTTCAGCAGGTATATGATGGATCCGAAAGAATACTGTTTGCATGTACATGTTCTGGGAAAGAAATCTTTGTATATAGGCCCCTACTCCCAAGGTTGGAATAGCCTAGTAACCAATGAAGGTCGGAAAACTTATTTGCTTAGTCCTGTTTTACGTCAAGGGAATTACTAGACTTGGTACCATATTTAGAATGAGATTGGCGGTTTTCTCATCTCAATGCCCTCGTTTCGAAAATGTCCTTTTGCATTTTGCTCCCTTGCACCTACTGTTTTAACACACCACTCAAGGAAGTTATCAAATCCTTGAAGGTTATTCGCATAAGATAGCCAATGGGGTCGTATAAAGGCCTTCAGCTCGGCAAAAGCACCTCAATTGGGGTAGAAATCTGGAGAGTACGTGAGTAAATTTAGACGCTGAACACCAGCTTTGAAACACATCGAATTGACCTTTTCAGAAGGATGAAGGAAGCATTATCCATTACAACAACTAACTTGAGTTCTAGCCATTTCCCACAACGATGAAGCAGGTCACCATAAAATCTTCGAAGAATGCAGCATCAGTTGAGCCCTTAAAAATACAAGACATAATAACCCCATCCTGTGCATAAGCTGGAAGAATATACCAACATTGATCCCGATGAATCAGTCACCTAAGATAGCCGATTTTACAATCAAAGTATAGATCAAAATGCATGAAGTGACATTGCAAACTCCATTCATGCGAAGACAGCTGCTTTATGTACATTTTGCATGGAATAAAAGACACATCCACCTAGCCATATGGCTCCAAACTGGGCCAAATCATCCCTTAACAGCCTTTTCCAAAGCCTCAAGAGCCGCCGTATATTCCTTAACCATAGCCTTTGTATTTTTCTCCGACTTAGCGGGTTTAATGACCTTGCCCGATCGCACCACATTCTCGCTCTTGACAATCACTTTCTGGAACCACAATCCCTCGCGATGCTCAACCAGCGTCCATGCCTGACCTGATTTTCCGGCTCGCGCGGTTCGTCCCACACGATGGACATATGTGGTCAGACTTGTAGGCATGTCGTAATTGATCACTGCGCCGAGGCCGACTAGATCGATACCTCGCGACGCACGGTCTGTGGCGACTATGATGTTTATTCTTCCGGCGCGATAGTCTCTGAGTGTTTTGCGAGAGGAAGAGGAGTTGTTGGATTTGACTATGGTGCCGATTTTGTCTTTTAGTGCTGGATTCATGAGGCTGAGGAGGTGGGATAAGCGGGCTGCGGATTCGGTGGATTTGGTGAAGATGAGCATTGAGGTAATGCCAGCGTCGGATTTGGCTGGGACGATTTCTGAAGGCTCGATGCTGACGGATGAGGTGTCCGATTCCGAATCGGAACTGCTGTCACTCTCGTTATCAGAACTTGAGCCGGAGCTTGACTCGGACGAGGAATCTGAGTCTGAATCGGCCTCAGATCGAGAGTCCGAGTCAGAGTCTGAAGACTCGTCAGAGCTGCTTGTATCACTGCCTGAAGAACTTGTAGCATCATCATCATCCGAGCTTGTCTCATCGTCCGTGTCAACACTTTTTGTGGGTTTCCTGTCAAAAATTGAAGTATACGCAGGGGTTCCAATACCACTCCACTTCGATTTGTTTATTGCGATTATCAATTTCATCAGATGGATTGGCTTTTCGGACCCATCGCCTACAGGCACAAAATGTTCCGTGAGGTTGGATGGCAAGACAAATTGCTCTGTTTCATGATTCGCTCCTTCATCAGGATTCATATTTTTCGAGCCGATTGCCACTAATTTTGGATTATCCAAGCGCAAAGAGTTGAGTTTGGTAATATCGTTGGTAAGCGTTGCACTCAGAACCACCTTTTTCGGGTAAGGTGACTGTATCGGCCGTCCTATTCTAGCCAGGACAGAGTCGCCTACATTGGCAGTCTTCTCTTTGTTGAGTGCAGTCATGAGCACAGAAACCCATTCCTGGAAACTCTCGTTGAGCAGCCGATCGGCTTCGTCCACTATTAGCCACTGGAGTTGACGAAGACTGAACCCATCTGTTTGGCGGATGTGATCGACCAATCGACCAGGCGTTGAAATGAGAACATCAATGTTCGGTCGAGCCACTTGCACGTACTGCGGTAATTGGTCTTTTGTGCGCTCTACCTCATCTTTGTACTTGAGAAGGTCGAAATCTGCCCAGTCATCTTCTGACATGACTTTCTGCTGATCCTGGTTGTACTTTTCAGGACTGTAGACAGACTCCCATCTCATTATTTTCTGCTGTTCGTCCTTTAGAGCAACATTTCCAATGGCAGTGCCAATTCGTAGATTGCTTCCACAAGCTTCGAATGCTTCTCTGGCCTGCTTCACCAACTCCCTGGTAGGCACGACAATGAGAGCACGGAACCTTGGAAGATATTCCCTCTGAAGTGACTGGTTGATTGGGAGCACATATGACAATGTTTTCCCCGATCCAGTAGAGGCCGAAACACACAAATCACCTCGATGGCGATGCTTCTCGTCAAGAAGAAGGGGAATGACTGTAGCTTGTACTGGTGTTGCCTCACTGTATCCATGTTTTTCGAGTTTTGAGACCACGCCTCTATCGAGGCTTATATCATCGAACTTGACAGGTTGTCCATCCTCTTGGTCATATGGAGATTTCGTGACGGGATTTGTGATCCAATCGGGCATTGTAGAGTATGTAGGCTTTTCTCCTGTATCTCCAGCAGGTTCCGGCTGTGGAAGAGGCTCTAAGCCGTGAGCAATAACCGGCGTGCCAGTCTCAATTGGAGCTTCTTCCACATCTTCGGCGACGGGTCTAGCTTTGATTGATTTCTCAAATTTTTTGAGCAGCTTCGCATGCTTCGACTTATGCTTCTCCTCATTTCTTGCCTCCTCGTGTTTGCGTTTTTTATTTTTCTTAGGCGTGTTATCATCTATTTGCATATCCTCAGCCGCCTCATCGGCTCGATGAGATGATTCTGATTTATTCGAAGCATCATTTCGCTTTTTCTTCTCCTTGCTACCACTCGAAACAGCACCCTTCGACGGCGTCTGATCTTTCGATTGAAGCTTTTCGGATTCCTTGACTGGTGTGACGACTCCGTTTTGTCCTTCATGGGTATCATATCTGTTATCCGAGTCTTCAGTTTTGCTTTCCCTCTTCCTCTTCTTCGGCTTCGGTGAGTTGACGGGCGATGCGACGACGTTTTCTTCATAGCGGTGTTTCTTTCGCGGTGATTTTACTTTATCTCCACCATGTTCTTTTATGCTCTTATCTCTAGCCATTTTAGGCGACAGAAACTAGCTCCGGCGCGACACTGGATGAGGATGGCGAGGCGTACGCAAACGGAAATGTTGCATAGATTGAAGGTGGAACGTGTGTCAGAACTGCTATTGAATTTGGCAGATAATTAGTATCACGGCGATATTAAAATGCCCATTTCCATGCAAAATGACTTACCTATTTTCCATTTATAGCCATCACCTCCGCTTTTTGAGCGGGGAGAAAACAAAATTATTTGCGACGACCACAAGAAAAAGATATATTGCCGGAACAATATTCACCGCTCTACATGCCGCCTTTGGTGTCGGCCTTCCTTGCATCATCCCTGATTGGTTCTGCCTAACTGACACACGAGATTGCCCTTTGCAATTGACTTGCATGCTTGTTTATCAGGCTCACTAGTATTTGAATAACTGCGGAGATGATCTAATTGAGTACCCAAACCGGCGCGCTCGTAGAGCAAGCCAGGTTGGAATTTGTTCAATATGCCTTACAATATTGCGTGAGTTGTATCCACTGTATAGCTTCAGGAGCTGCGCTAACAGTCGTACAGTATGGTCAGCGACTTCTTCTTTCCACAGCCAGGTATGTCACCGAATGAGAAAACAACCGAGGGATGTATCTGACCTTACGACAGGTGGAGTTGAAAGTCACATCTATCAACTGTCAACGGTAATTCATCCGCTACCTACGACTCGAATCAACTGACGACAACAGAAACTCATCGACCGCGGCCACAAAGTCATCATCATAACTCACGCCTACAAAGGCCGCACTGGAGTACGCTACCTCACCAACGGTCTCAAAGTCTACCATGTTCCTTTCCTCGTCATCTACCGCGAGGCCACGATGCCAACGCTATTCTCGTTCTTCCCCATATTCCGCAACATCATCGTTCGCGAACAGATTCAGATTGTCCACGGTCATGCCAGTTTGAGTAGTTTCTGCTGCGAGGCTATATTGCATGCGCGTACGATGGGATTACGTACCGTCTTCACGGATCATTCGTTGTTCGGGTTTGCGGACGCAGGGTCGATTCTTACGAATAAGCTGTTGAAATTTATTCTTAGTGACGTGGACCATGTTGTCTGTGTCAGTCACACCTGGTATGTCGTTGTTCCTTATTGCAAAAAAAAAAAACAAGTGTTGACAGGAAGTAGCAAGGAAAATACGGTTTTACGAGCGTCGCTGGATCCGCTGATGGTATCCGTCATACCCAATGCGGTCGTCGCTGAAAACTTCCGCCCTCTCTCTTATCCGACCACAGACAGCATCGCGGGTCAAGCGTCTCGGCCAGCTCCGCGAATTATCGGACCGAATGATACAATCACGATTGTCGTGATTTCACGACTCTTCTACAATAAAGGTATAGATTTGCTGATCGCAGCGATACCACGAATACTCAAATCGCACCCGAATGTGCGTTTTATCATTGGCGGATCAGGTCCGAAGGCCATTGATCTAGAACAAATGTTGGAACGAAACATGTTACAAGACAAGGTCGCAATGTTGGGCCCTGTACGACACGAGGAAGTGCGAGACGTGATGGTCCAGGGAGATATATACCTCCATCCCAGTTTGACAGAAGCGTTTGGAACTGTGCTGGTCGAAGCTGCGAGTTGCGGTTTATATGTTGTGTGTACACGTGTTGGAGGTATACCGGAGGTACTGCCACAGCACATGACAACGTTTGCCAAACCAGAGGAAGACGATCTCGTCCAGGCTACCGGTAAAGCCATTGCAGCACTTCGATCAAATAAAGTGCGCACGGAGCGATTTCACGACCAGGTGAAGATGATGTATTCCTGGACTGACGTTGCGCGCCGAACTGAACGGGTCTACAACGGAATATCTGGTGCCATCAGCGAACTCGAATTCTACGGACATTATCCAGACGCAGGCTGGGACGCCGTTCGCGGTCGCACTCGCAGCTTTGCGCTGATTGACCGGTTGAAAAGATACTACGGATGTGGTATCTGGGCCGGTAAACTGTTCTGCATGTGCGTTGTAATTGATTACCTGTTGTTTGTGTTTTTGGAAATGCTCTGGCCTCGGGCCAATATCGATATTGCGCGTAGTTGGCCCAAAAAACAAGTGCCGCATCCGGATGCCGCTGCAGCTACGAAGGGAAATTTGACGAGAAGTACAAGAGATCGACTGCGAGCTAGTGGTTGATTTCTCTTTGCTCCTTTTGTTTTTTGCGAATGATACCCGTTGTTTTCAGGGCTGGATAGCTACGACAGTAACACAACTCGAATAGCAGATGGTCAATACTCAGCTATCGTACATACAATCATCAAATCAACTATTTAACGCCGCTCACTGGCAACACTCTCCGCCGACTGAGGGGGCAAATCCTCCGCCCCGAGAGCACCCTTAGTACTACGCGTACCTGGCTTGGCCTCCTCACGATCCAACGCCCTCTGACTAGGATTATATCTGGGATCAACCTTTTGTGAATCCCCAATTGAGCGTGCAGTATGCTTTGGGGGGGCAGTTGCGCCCACGCCTTCCAAGCCTGAACCATAATGCTTACGTCTGTGTTTACCATCATGACGCAGTTCGTTGCTAGTCTGTCCAATCATGGGCCTTGAGAAGGCATTGTTTATATGCACATCCTTGGATGTAGCGCCGGGCAACGTGTCGAGAGGGTTTGTGTAAGTCCGCTCCTTGCCGTGGCCGCGCAGAGTGTCCTCGTTGTTGGCTTGGCCGGGCACTTCGTTGATGGGGTTTGGTTGGTAGGAGCTTCCTGCTGGTGCGGTGCCGGGCGGGAGGGTTTTGGCGTGGAACTCGGGGGCTTTGTCGGCTTCACTGACTTTGATGCCGGGATGGTGCTTCGAATCTAGTCAGCCGGTATCCTATTGAAATCAGATAGAAAGATGTTATACCCATTTCTCGCGATGAGCGTGTTGGGCAGGACGGTGGGGATGGAAGGGCTGGGTACCCACGGCGTCGATGGCCTGATTGTTTGGAGTAGACATTTTGATGGTTTTGCAATCCGAAGTATGAACGTTTCGATAGTATTCGATAGTATTTAAAAGTAATCAAGAGTCAACGTAATAATTAAATGGCGGTCGGTATGGCGAATGGCAAATTATATAAGAAATTAGCCCTAAGATGTGGTATACATGACGTCAAACTGAGGTGTACTGATTTCATCTTTTTTTCTCTTTCTGTTCGTATTCTCTGCTCAATTATTAGCAGCTGAGTGATTAAAAATCCTGCTAGAATAAGGCATGCTCTGGATTGGCATAATGTCATTCTCAACCAGTTGATGTCGCCAGACGGGTTGCTAGAGGTCTATCAATTATCTCGTATGTACTTACCATGGACAAGAACTATCAACGCATTTGTCTTGCAGCGATTACCTAGGTATTTCGACCATCTTGACAGTTCATACATACTTTAATATACACTCCTGTCTCATGCAAATGGTCTAATAATCGTTCTAATACATGTGGTATCTCAAGTACATCCAAAACAATACAATCAATCAATCAACAACATCATCATCAATAAAGTAATCGTAATCACCGCATCACCGGCGGTCTCCCCTCCTTATTCCACTTGACCCTACTCTGCACCCACTCCACCGCCTCACGTACCCCCGTGCCCAATAGCGCACTCACAGGCAACACCCTACTATCTCTGACCCCAGCGCCCTTCTCTCCCTCAAAAACCTGCCTCACAAACCCTTCCTTAATACGCACAACCTCCACACAATCCTCGCGGTCCTGCTTGTTCGCCAACACCAGAATCGGCACCCCAGCCACATCCGCATTCTGCAACACCGACTCCAGCACTTGCTTACACTCGCCCAATCGTCCCATATGCGCCTGCTCACCTCTTTCCGTCGTCGAAACTGCCGCGCCAGACGTGAAATCTTCTAGTCCCTCGCCGACATCCGTGCTATCGACTACGAAGATGATGGCGTGGCAGCTCGAGTAGTAACTCTGCCACAATCCGCGCATAGTAGTTTGTCCGCCCACGTCCCAGATCTTCAGATACATGTCCTGCAGTGGAATGGTAGCGACATTTTGGCCGACTGTGGGCACTGTGCGACCGATGTTTTGTGGCTGACCGTCTGGTTGAGGGAGGTAGAGGGCTTTGATTTGTGAGAGCAGCGTTGTTTTGCCGGCGTTGTCGAGGCCGAGGAGGAGGACTGAATACTCTGTTCTCGAATTTGTCAGTAAGGACGACTAGAGTGTATATTTATTAGTAAAATAGAAGGAGACGCACCCTCCTTGCTGGTTGCGTATAGATACAGCGACTTGGCCAGATGGTACATGACTTGATAGTTAATTTACGGGCCGCCCACCGAGAGCATGGTGAGGGACATTCGTCTGTCGCTGGTTATTGAGGTCGAATACAGCACCAACGACCTCGAGAAGGTCAAGGGATAGAGGTCGCGGTTTTGTTGTTTAGTGCAGTTGTGTTGTCGGAGGAAGCTAAGAAGTCGTACACATTGACCGCGGCTAAATTCGTGCCAAGCTCTACTTGGTTTATTAACCCGCCAGTTTGATCATCCGGCATATATTGTTTATTTATTCCAAATATCCAATCGAATTATCAATAACTAGGGAACTATTTCTGCATACTCTTGCCTTGACAAAAAGGTCAAAATTGTCCATCACGCATCTCAACAAACGCCTGATATCTCTTCTGAGTCCATCTCCGACAGTTTTTACCCCAGTAAATCATCGGGGCAGTAGTCATGATACACACAAAGCTCAAAACGCCAATCTCCACAAACACCAACGACAGGCTCTGCGCATCAATCCAGTATTGAGCAGAAAATGTAAAGATGCATCCGATGGTGTTGTTGATAACCGACACGCCCACCATACCTTCCAGCACCATGTCCGGATACGCATCCATGAGATACGCCATGCTCAAATCTCCCGCGCAGCCCCAACCGAAGCCGATGAACCCCAACCCAACGTAGGGCCAGGGCCAAGACCAGCCTCTGTCTGAGCCAATGCCGAAAAGCATCAGTCCCGCGGGCGCAATCAGTGCAACGGGGAACATGAGCCAGAGACGCTGCTCGGCCTCAAAAATGTTGTTGTTTCGGCGCGCCATCCACAGCACAAAATAGTCGGAGAACCAGCCGCCATATATACAGCCGATCAATGCCCCTATCAAGGTCGGCACATTCATGATCCCGACTGCAGCATCGGTGTAGTACCACGGCGCATCGTACCAGTTATCCTCTTCGACGGTGAGGTAGAAGGTCAGCCATGCATCCTGTGCGCCCCACTGGAGTCCTGAATACAGGACGGCTGGAAATGCAAAAACGCGAAGTATCAGCCACAGACGCCGGAGGTATTGTTTGAAGCCGGTGCCGATCAACGTTGGGGAGGGTGTTATTAAGGCGATGCGTTGGAGATAGGACTTTCCTTTCATACCGCCGCCGAATTCTCCGTCCAGCGTAACTGCTGGAGATGTTGAATGCAGATTCGTCGGGGTCTTTTCATTGGAAGCAGAATCGGCTTTGTCGAGTTGAGGCTGACTTCGAGGGACTTCAAGCCCCTGGATGGTATGTTTTCGGTCGAATGATGTTTCCTCCAGACCAAAATAAAAGAGAATCAGCATGGCACCTGAGATGATAGCAGCTAGCCATCCAACCCATCTCCATCCTAGGACAGAGCTGTCGGTGATGAACCCTGCAACCAGGGGCCCTGTGAATGTGCCAATACTGACCGCAAGAACGTACAAGCCCAGCACAAGTCCACGTCGATGCTGGTAGAAAAGATCAGACAGGGACAGTTGCGCCATTGCCTCTGCGCAAGATTCAGATGCGCCCACAAACAGCTGGTTCCAGATGCTGTCCTGTGTGGTCTGCACGCGGGCGAGCCATACAGACCCGACTATCGAAAAAACCAAGCATATCAAATACGAGATGCGTCGACCATACAAAAACGGGGCTGGGCCCAGCAGCAACGTGCAGTACCCAATACCCACGAAAAGTACMCCAGCCGCAACGTTGATCGAGTCCCAGGAGATGCCCAGTTCGGCATTCATACCATTCCCAGCTGTGCCAGCATCGTTCGAAGTAGCAGCGGTAAAGGCGACAATGAGCAGAATCAGAAATGCATGCCAGTATCGCCTCGCTGGGCTCCAGTTGAGCGGGTCTTCTGGAGAGTCGGTCGGTGTGGGGATCAGAGTTATCTCTGCGTTTGAAGAAATCAGCTCAGTCCCATTAAGTTGGAGGTCGTCCATCGTGATGTTCTGTCTTGGATCCATCAGTCTTTGATGCCACGCTTGTTCGGGTGCGTTCGACCGGCGGGATTTATAACATCTTCTCCAAGGATGTCGTCACGAGCTCCCAAGCTAGTGGATGAATCGCGATAGATACTTGACTCGGAGAGGCTTATCAGGACATTGTCGATGTCGCTCGTCCGAGCTGGTATTGATAGCTCATATCACAAAGTAGTTAAATCGTAGAAGGCAATTAATCCTCCAACCAAAGCCGTCAGTGTCTGACATTCCGGCAACGGTCCTGACTCCGCACGAGATAAGCATAGACATCGCGACGATACGCATACACCTAGGTACATAGAACGCAGAAAGGCTCACCCTCTCGGCGAGTCTATCCAATGGGTGCGAGACGACAGATCAGTCGGGGAGATACCATACCCAAAAGTCTTATCTCTGTCTTGAAGACTACGTCGCCCCATGATTTAGCAACATTTAGCGTGGTATGTCGCAGAGGGCACTAGGCTGGAGGAAGCAGGTACAACACAGGAGCTTTCTGAGGAAGTGATAAGGAGTGGATGCGAAACGGGGCAGTCCGATCAGATTGCTCAAGTGACATAGATTGTCCACGCGTATGTGCCACTGAGCTAGCCGGAATAGCAACAGACCGACAACTTAATTTCAATCAAGACTTATAGCGTTGTTAGCGTCAAATGCGCATCTGTCACCGGATGTAGGCCAAAAAAGGTATTGTTGCACTCCGCCGTGCAGACTCCTGTAGTACTTAGTAGCCTAGTAGGTATTTATTTCTTATGTCTACGGCTCCTACCCATTCATCATTGTTACCATCGACAATTTTGACATCCAGTGTCTGCTTATCCATCCACCAATCCAATTCGTATACGAATGTCCACTTGTCAACTCAGAATGGCTCAATCATATCACCTCACTTCCGCCATCACGGGAAATAGTTCCTTAGAACCGAGTAATTGTTGCTCCGGCCTGGCTGCGCGCTTCGAAACGGCGACAACTCTTACAGAGTCTGTTGCACCCGACGAAGAAGCACACGGCGCAGATAGGTCGGAGCACAAAAAGGTGATTGTGGTGGGAGCGGGGATTTCGGGGCTGCGAGCAGCGGCCATCCTGCGCGGCCATGGCTGTGAGGTGGTTGTGGTGGAAGCTCGTGATCGAATCGGGGGGAGAATTCTTACCAGTAGGACTGGAGGGCGCGTGCGAGATATCGGTACGATTATCATTCGATAGTATTTAGTTACGTCTCGGAGAGATCGAAGTAAGAACTAGCTAATCATTAAAAGGCGCCGCATGGATGCACGAAACGTCGCAAAACAGTCTGGTGAACCTCGTTCCTCATCTAGGCATCCCATACTATTACGACGACGGCGTCCCGTTGTACTTTACTCGCGAAGGCCGAGCCGGATCTCAATTCAAAGCGAAGAAGGTCGCCGATGAATTCGCCGATTACTGCGAGTGGTATTACGAGACTCATCCGGACGCAGAGGATCGTTCGGTTGACGAGTTTGTAAAGGAGTTTGTCCTGCAACACAAGCTCATCACTGACGATGAGCGCTGCTGGGCTCCGCAGGCCGTCCGCGAGGTCGAATTGTGGATTGGCACAAGTACTGATCTTGCGTCTTCCAAGCACCTGTCCTATTTTATTACAGAGCGCAACCTTTACATGAAAGGTGGTTACGATCTCATTGTTGACTGGACTGCCAAGTCGCTGAGAGATGACCCGGAGATCATCCGGCTCGACCACCAAGTCCAACACGTTGAGTGGAAGGGGGAAGGCGGCCAAGAGCTCGCAATCGTCCATTACACTGATTCCGCTGGAAACGTCGGTATTATCGAAGGTGACGCAGTCGTCATGACTGTCCCCTTGGGTGTATATCACCATAACCTTATTTCTTTCAACCCGCCGTTGCCGAGCGATATCCAAGAGGGTATATCCAAATTCAGCTACGGGGCTCTAGGGAAAATATTCTTTGAATTTAGTGAGCTCTTCTGGTCAAAGGACAATGACCAGTTCGTGTTCTATCCATCTCCGACCGATACCGACTCTGAAAGCTCCTCTGCATCCTCCATGCAATCTATTTCCAGCATGGGGGCCGGCGAGAAGGACAATATCTTGAATTACTCCACCGTCACTATCAACCTGTGGATTATGACCGGCAGTAAGGAACTATGCGTGCAAGTTGCGGAGCCACTGACTCAACGCGTCGAAGCCATGAAGGACACTCGCGAAATCTATGAATTTTTCGAACCACTATTCCGGCTGCTGCGCACAGAGCCGTACAAAGCTCTGCCACGACTGGTCAGTGTTGAGACCACGCATTGGACGCAGGATCCATTAGCGGGCTTTGGATCATACTCGGCCGACAAGGTAGGTGATAATCCCTCGTTGCTGATAGATGCGCTGGACAATCACAAGGACAGTGTCTTACAGTTTGCCGGGGAGCATTGCACGCTCGTTGCCAATGGGTGCGTCCACGGCGCGTTCAAGACGGGCGAGACTGCTGCGGAGAATTTGCTGCGCAAGTTTGGTATCGCATACACTGGTAGCGATCTGGATAACTTGAAGTAGTTATTTTTATTCTTCAGACGTGATTGATCGTCTGAAAATAGATGTGATTTTGATTTTTTTTACACCTAGTTTTGTCGGCAATGGTCCGGTCTGAGCCTAGCGTGCATTGACATCATTGCCGAAAAAGAAAAATTAAGCCCTAAGAATGAATGCATCTGAACCAATCCGAGGAAATTCTCTATTCCCGTTTCATCGTCGGATTAATCATGACTAGTACTATGTATGGAGGCTCTCCAAAGCCGTGGCAAAGTTAATGGCAGGCAGACGCCCACTTTTTCACCAACTTCTACGTGGATAGGACCAAGGTTACTGACAGAGTTTGGCTTTCTCCACGGACTTTCCCTGCTGGGGACGACGTCTCCATCTGCTTTGAAATGCTATATTTTTAAATTTTTATTTCTCTTTCACTTTTTTCCCCACACGATCGCTCTACACTCGTTCACACAGTATGAATATTTTTATGTCTTGGTGTCCGACTAGACCGCGCAGGTAATGACAGCCCCGTGCATGTCGCATCATTCCGGCCTCCACCATGTCTCCGCCGTCAGTCGGCTCTGACTGTGACTTCGACTTCGACATTGACACGGACACTGTAATAGTCGGTATGTCGCAATTGTATCGTTACTTTACTACCTGCTAATTCATATTCAAGGCAACGGTCCCTCGTCCATGATCCTGTCCTACATTCTGCACGGCCACATCCCATACTACGCCGCCGACACCCCGCATCCGGACTCTCTTTTGCACGCCAAACTGAACCGCTCGCCATGCCTCCTCCGCCCCGACCTTGACGCTCTCACCTGCCATTTCGGTGCGTCGCCGCTATCGTATTCCACGCAGGCACTACCCATCAACGTCCTGCTCGACACCCTGCTTTGCCCGCAAGGCGAAGTCGACGACCTCGGCGAAATCACCAACCTCCAATGGCACCACAAACCGCACCGCGCCGTCCCGCACATCGTCGTCGGCAATGCGCCACAACCAGGCGGTCTCTGGGCTATGGATAATCCGATCCATATCAGCTGGGACATTGGCACGTTGAGTTACGCCGGCATGCTCTCTCTACCGGGGTACACATTCACCGACCACTATCGCAAAACCACAGGCAAGGAATTGGCGGCTTTTACGAGACCGAGTCGACGGGAATTGGCAGAGTATTTGCGCGCGTATCCTGCACAGGCCGGCATTGCAGATGCTTTTCACAATAAGACTTTGGTGGATGGCATACATCGCGTCCCCGGCGGGTTTTACATCCCATCCCATCGCATTCGGTGCAAGCACCTCGTTCTGGCTAGTGGAATCTTTTCGCATTTGATTCAACCGCCGCCTGTCCTTGCGCCTTTGCTTGAACTTACAAAAAGTGATCCGTCGTGTCAGTATCCGCTGTTGGTGGTAGGATCAGGTTTCACGGCTGCAGATGCGATCATATCAGCGCCACCCGGTCAGCCGATTCTGCATACATTCCTGTGGAACCCGAATGGACGGCCATCGCCATTAAAGAGTTGCCATCAACAAGCATACCCAGAATACGCGGGGATATACAGATTGTTGAAGCGCGCCGCCCTGTCATCGTCACACGCTGGAAACAGACCTAAAACCCGTCGACTAGCGTCAACCTCGTTTTTGGAGAGTCGGAATTGGGATGCTATTTACGAAGGACAGCCGAATTGCGTAGTTGAAGATGTGCAGCTCAAAGAGGATCATGCAATCGTTACGCTTGCCCTAGAAGACGGCACAAAAATATTCCGTCCTGTATGCGGGCTAGTCTATGGTGTTGGTCGACGAGGCGCTCTCGACTACTTGGATTCTTCCCTCCGCGCCGAGATCTTGAAAGACGCAAACGTGTCACCCGACGGCATGATATCCGCCAAAACGCTCCGCAACAAAGTCATGGAAGACCTCGAAGTCGCACCGGACGTCTTCGTCATTGGAAGTTTGACAGGCGATTCCCTGATCCGATTCGCCTACGGCGGATGTGTATACGCCGCATATTCACTCATATCCGCATCTGGCGGATGCAGTGGCATCTGTACGCCCAAACAACCCGCTGGAACTCCCACGGGAGGACGCCATGCACTCATGAACGGAGTCGATGGTCATGCGCGACGGCCTGAGCCAAGAAAAACGATCAGCTTTCGAACCGACTACCAGGAGCAGTTGGTCAGTCAGCCACGGAAAAGTTCGTGGTGGAATACGATTTGCAGTTTGTTGTTTTGATTGGCGGACTACTGTTATCTGCTGATCTAGACTAGACTTGTATACGTTTAAACAGATTTTGATATACAGCAACAAACGATGCACATACATTTGGAAGAATCTAGATTACAAGGCTATTCGTTCTTCATTCCAGGAGAGAGAGAGCCTTGACAGCAAGCTCAAAATATGACAAGGAGGTGAGAGAAACACTGCCTAATCATATACAGAACGCAAATTCCTCTAGGTGTAAGTCATGCTTTGCGAGAACGGCTTTCTTCACCCACTGTAGCACCGAATATCGGGCMCCAGCCACAACAACACATGGCAGATGACATTTAACCAGGGTCTAGGACGCTGAGCTCATTGTTTCCAGATATTCTGGATCGTTGAGAAATCAATGCTCGTGATTTTTTCAGGTTTAACTTTTAATATATATCGCAATCTGATAAGAACTAGAAGGTATAATCCCAAGATGACCAGATACCTTATTTCAACAATCTGACTTCGTATTACTTTCCCAGTTGTCGAAACCCATATATATTTCTTTGCAGTATTTTAAGTCGAAAGCTTAGCATATAATATAATCTCCAGACATGGCATGCAGCGGCGTTGTGTTCCACGATTAATTGCCGAAATAGGCAATTTTGTGACTTGTCCGCTGATTAGCCCTAACTTTGCTATCACGAGTGACAATTTATATAGATGTGATGCGATGCTATTTCTGATTTGAAATAATAGTCGGCGGGGAGTCTGATACATGGATACATTTACTCCCGGGGTTCCTTGCATGTTGTACTTGTTTTTAAGATTTGATGATATACAGTTACAATATAGCGAAGAATTTTCTAAATCAACTTTCATCGCTTGTTGAAATCTATCCAATCACTTCTCAGGGTTGACTATCGAAAGGGAATCAAAAACCTTGGAGCTCCAGTTTCCATATCTTCAGGACTAGTTGTTTCCCGTAACACTGGCAAGAATTGTGGTAGGTATTCTAAAGGCTCTATATCCATTGCACAGTTATATCTAAAACCGGTAATCTGCATGCCATGGAACTAAGTAGTAAATTTCGCTATCTCTCCCTATCTCCCCTTTTCTTTGTTGAATAGGTACATCCTGAACTTGGAGCATTGCTGCGAAGCGACTACGAAGGATGTCTGGAGGAGGGAAGTCTGGTTCACATGGGTATTTTCAGAATTCCGTTCGAAAACTGCAAATATACTACAATCATGCCCACCAAACTTACTGGCAGATGTAGAGATAAACGGGACGCTGTGAGAACTCTGAAATAGACAAAGAAGAACCGAGTAACAAATAAGATAACGTGATTCATTCTCTGTAGCTTTAGTTCACTCTCATTATGGCTCTATTCTTTTTCCAATGAAAGTAGGTGAATTATAGTCTATACTATAATTTAGACGAAATGCTGAAAGACTAGATCAAGACACGACCATGACCCTAAAACAACAATGGTTGTGTATAGGAAAAGGCTGACAATATCTTTCAGAGCCGGTGTCTTTCCAAGAATTACATTCATTCCGTCCTCAACTTTTGAGTAAATCAATTATTCACTTCTCACGAGTCCTTCAATAATGAAAAGAAATAATCACCCGTGACAGCAACTTTGTCCAGGCTTCCATGGTTCCTCGTGCTCATCTTGCTTCACATATCTTTCAAGCATGTGAAGAGTACTGCTTTTATCATAATGAGCTTTAGACAGCTCGGCGTTACATTCTCCTTGTGCCCGGCAAGCCCCGGATCCATCGACGGCTAGTGTCTGTTTTTCTTCGTGCATCTTGGAATTAGACTCGACCCAAGTTCCTATGTGTTGCAAATCGGCCGTTCGGGTTCCAGATATCTGCTTCTGACCGCTTGCGCTGGGACCATCATGGTATCTGGCATATACTTAGCACTGAGTACCTTAAAAATGAATGACATCCATAGGTGTGAGATATAAAGAAGCGTATAAGCCAGAAGCGATAGAAGGAGAGGAATCCTATAATATCGCAAACAAGTACGGACAACAAATTGAGACAGGAGCAAAAGGAAGGAGAAACATACTGCTTCCATATGTAGTAATCGACGCCGGTCCCTTCAACTCTTGTCATTGTAATGTATGTTGTAGGAGGGGTTCAAGTAGCTATAGGCTCACAAATGATCAGGCTTTGATTTCTGAATGCACATAACAGTACTAACATTAACGTGCTAGAAAGTAAATCAGACTTGGAGAATATAAGACTGGCTGCTGACGCCATGCGCAACGGGATAGAGAAACGAAGATAAACAAGTAAGAAGAGACAGAGAAGGTTCTACTTTATACCTGGGCATGCTCAACTCTTTTCACGGGACTCATCACTCTAGCCTCTGCCCCCGGGTCAGATTTGACATGATTTTAACCTTTCTATGAACTAGCTCATTTTCATGACCATATTGGCTCGGKTGGTTGATGTTATTTTTTAAACTCTGCTGTCTAACTGGGCTGAGATTTTTTAGTCTCTTTCATCACTGTTACTTGCTACTAAAGATACGATCGATGGCAGTTACCGAACCACCCTCGAAGCCTTGTTGCCGATTGGTTGCCACATAAAAAATGGCACACGCGACATGACAATATCAACTGTTCAGATCGTAATTATGCTTTTTACACCCTGGTGAGGCCGAATGTGACGTATTACTTGGGGTTGGCGACCTGATACGATATCATGTTAGTATCGCCCCTACGCAGTAGTTCCTATACTCAATGATGGGAATACTCTATGCGGTTTGGTGTCGAATCACAAATGATAGCAAGCTCGAGCTTTGATTCATGTAGAAATCCGTTCAGATTTTTTGAAAGTCTGTGCGTATGTTGGGCCAAACACGCCATTAACATGGGATGAAGGACTGTGCTAATGCATGAATCGCTGCAATTACAGTGATTCGTGCATTAGCGTAGCTGCCAATCGGGTAGTCTCTGATTCGCAAAAGAAGGAGGATTGTCTCATTGGGCACTTGGCTTGTCATGTAAAACTGACAAGGCTGGATGGATAATATAGGGCATGGCGCGGATATCTGCCCCGCAAAATTAGACTACTCAATCTGTACCTCGCCTAATCAGAACGAGGTTGACTCTGTAACTTCTGGAATGTTTATCCCAACAGCTGTATCAATTAGGCTAGGTTGCTGCAGTAGAAGCCACGCCACAGCTTCTAACGCGCAAACTCTATGTACAAATTCGTCCATTCGGTGAAGTATTTACACTCTATGGCTTGGAACTACTACAATTGTGGAAAGGAACTCCCTCCAGATTTTACTGTCAGGTGCTGATTTCTTACGGATTTTGGTTACTCAGACGAGGCTAGACGAGCCTTGAACTGGGATTGGACAAAGAGAGAGTAGTCGTGATCTGAAATACAAAAAAATCTTGCTAAATAGCCCTGTAATTGCTTCGCAATCAGCTGTTCCGGACAGAAGTAGAAACCGGTGTATATGTCATTTGTCCAATGCGAGACTCTGTCATTCGTAGGGGCGATCTATGTGATTTCTGTGAGCACTTTCTCGTATACTATGTGGCATTCACTTTAGGTTTCAATCTAGAGTTCCATAAGAGAACGGCACTAACTCCAAATATTTAGCTGAGATTCCAAGTCGTTGGGGGAGAACCCCATACCCTTTCCTTCTGAGATAGCGGATTTAGCCCGTGTGAAGATCATACTGAGGAATCAGGCGCTAATAGCCGTCAACAAGTGAGCAGATACTAGGATATTTGAGCAGGAACTAGTATCGTGTATGCAATCACACGCGTGCTGATTTGTGTAATTCGCTCCTGTATTTTTGGTCATACGTGGAAGCAAGATTATCTACGCCCTGGACATTGATGTCAACTCCCTCATGACAGAACGTCCAATTACAAGTCCGACTATAGAGACTGATCAGCATGCAATTCGGCGTGTGTCATGGCCTCAATAAACTCTGTTACTTTCATCTATCATTGCAAGCAACTTTGCGCCGGATGATACACTGTGGCAACATTAAATGGTTTCCACCTAACCGGAGCCACCAACCCTATTTATACCGAGGCATGTATGCCCTGCATTCACCGTTTCCGAGTGCTGTTTGCTTTTATTTTTTAATTTCCTCTTTGACAGCCAATCAAGCATAAATTGAAGATGTAATCGCTTACGCCTCTGGTGCTTTGTTATCCGGGTTTCTCTGTTTTTCCTTGCTGCACTCTGCCGAAGCCCGAAGGGTTGTCCATAAGCTGTCTAGTAGGTCCCGATATTTTAGACTGCACCGTACTTGGATATGAGACGTTAATCTAATAGTAATTTGAAATTGGACCAACGAGGTGCCACCATGAAGCGCCGGCTAAGGAACAAAGGCAAGTGGGCACCAAAGAAAATTACAGGGATGTCCCCAGGCAGCAAAGTAACCTTGTAGTTTGAATAAAAAGTCCTAGCTAAAGGCTCCTTTTCATGTATCTTGACATTCTCATGCCTAATCGTCCAATCGAAGCAGCGATAATTAATCCAGTTGATACTGTTTGTAAAAGTGCGGACATAGAATGGATATACAAGCCAATGTTAGAGACCGTGCTCGCCCGGCCACGATCCCAGAAAATATCTTTCTCTTTATTCCAAACCTTGTCGGTAAGTTTATGTCTGATATTGAGGTGGCCTTGAATTCTAACATTCTAGGATATGCACGCATTGCCCTCGCTGTCACATCACTTTATTTTATGCCAATTCATCCTCGAACATGTTCATTCCTTTACAGTGTGTCCTGTCTCCTGGACGCCGTAGATGGCATGGTAGCACGAAAATTCAACCAATCCACGCAGTTTGGAGCTGTCCTTGACATGACCATTGATCGATGCACTACGTCATGTCTTTTGGTCTTTCTAGCAATCGCTTATCCTAAATGGAGTATCCTATTCCAGGGCCTAATCAGTTTAGACTTTTCAAGTCACTTTATGCATGTTTATGCTACGTTGGCGATGGGAACGGCCAACCAAAGCCATAAAAAGATTAATGAGAATCGCCCCTGGGCGATGAGGATATATTACTCTAATGTGGTATGCAGGTGTTGAATTTGTCTTGTAGGTCAAGCTAACATGTCGGTAGATTGTGCTTTTTGCCGTCTGTTTGTTCAATGAGCTCTTTTTCATCACTCTTTACCTCGTATCCTTCTCATTACAGACTCAACCAATAGAAGCAACTTCCTATATCTGGTACGTCATTGGGGAACATACTACAATAAACGAAATGTTGACCATATATAAACATAGGCCCGAGTTCGAACCTTTTACAACTTCACGGATAGTTTTGTATATCTCTGGCTTTTTCATGCTTTTCAAGCAATATGTCAATATCCTCCAGATGATCGAGGCATGCAAATGGATTGCTGAAGGGGATATCGAGAAAAGGAAACAAATCAGCGCCTTTGATCGAACTCAAAAAATGCAGTAATAATACTCGCTTTGACTGTTTCAAAGAGAAACTACCTACGACCAGGTCGATTTTTGATTTCTGTTATGAGAATAAACTCTCATGTATTTGTTTCTACGTTTTTCTTCCATTTATTCTCAGTTGTATGCTTATATGACACATACATGTAATGTATAATACCTAATAGACGCCTAAGCCTAGTGTACGTGATAACTTCTGAACCTCGAAATTAAACTGTTACGAAGGATAGCAAGTATATATTGATTCTGACTACATACGTCGATCTTCAAGCTGCAGAGTAGGTATGAAGGTTGTTTTCACCTTTCACATCTTTCATTCCTTACCCTCGGCATCTTCGGTAGTGATTGCAAAGGTATTAGAGCGGAAAGGCTCAACATGTGTCTCTGAGAATTTACGAGCGCCGACCTTCTGCTCAAAGAGGATATCAAGCTCTGCAGGAGTACGTCCCTTGGGCTCAGGTAGACGGAAGAACGACCACAGAAATGACAACAGACAGAAAGCAGCCCAGATAAATCCACCCTTGCCCCTGAGATTCCATGCAGTTGGATTGAGGATAGGCGGATTGAGGAAATTGGCGATGATACTGGCGATATTGTACGAGTTGCGGGCAAGAACGGCACTCTTGATGCGAAGACGAGTGGAAGGAATTTCAGAGACCAGACAATACCCAACAGGTCCAACGGTGAGATCGTAGGTGAAAACAAAGATAAGCATCATGGCAGCAGATGCATAGCTGATCCCGGCTGATGAGTGAGGGATGCCCATGAAACCGACAATGCAAAGCGTCGTAAACATGATGGCTAGACCAGCGACGTAGAGCGTTCGACGGCCGACACGCTGCATGATGAACCATGAACAAACAGTCCCCAGCCATCCAATGGCGTTAGTGCCGAGTCCAAAATCGAATGACTGATTAGAGCTGAAGCCAACTTGCTGGAGGAAATACACAACATTTCCACCGTACCAGACACCGCAGAACACCTGGATCATCCAAACGCAGCATACAATTTCAGTGCGTCGCAGATTCACGCCGCGGAGGCAGTCCCAGTATGATACACCTTTACGAGTGAGCTCTTCGTGGGTGTTGGTCACTACCATCATGGCAATGGTGTCGTCCATGTCGTAGCCTATGGATTCACGTTTGGGGGAACTTAATGCGCGGAGAGAGCGGATAGCGTCTTCGTGTCGACCATGGCGGACAAGCCACCAGGGAGATTCAGGGGCGAAAAGAACGCCGATGATAATAGGGACAGGCCAAATCCACTGAACCGCGTAGGGGATGCGCCAGGCCCATTGGTCGCTACGACCGAGAAGACCGCGGAGCACACCGGTTGAAATGAACTGGCCTGTGACCCAACAGAGGTTGACGTAGGTAGTCAGGTAGGGTCTCAAGATAAGAGGGCTCACTTCGGCCGCATATGTGGTGGTCAAGGTCTGAAAGGCGCCCCAGGGCAAACCGCAAAGAACCTCGCCAGCAAAAAGCATGCCGATATTCTGAGCAAAGAAAAGTATGAAAATTAATCCAATCATGGAGACAAGCGCACCGAGCATTGTCTTCTTGTATCCGAAACGGTCCGCAATCACACCAGCAAACATCAGGCCGATGATTTGACCGACCTGCGTACCGTTTTGCAAGCCAGACTGCCACTGGGAAGTGACTTGATAAGTGCCATTATCAGCAAGCACCCCAAATCTCTGAGCAAAGACCGGGTAGGCATAGAAGGAGCCCAATAGGGAAGTATCATAGCCTTCCATGATGATGGCGAGTGAAAGGATGAAAGAAAACATGATGGCTTTGGGAAAGAGTTTGAAGGCTTCTCCGTTGGTGAGGCCATGCTCGAATTTGGAGGCCCGTCTTGCGCTGGCCATTGTTGCGGCAAAGTCGGGGATACGCTCCGACATCATGAGAAGCATTTCATCGTCGATACCCAAGGTATCCGCATCCTGTGTGGGCGACATCTTTGTTTCTTCGACATGGACGGCCTTGTCTGCCATGATGACAATCAGCCACCCGAAGTTATGCAATAAGGGAGAGAAGAATCAAGCAAAGATGAATCTGAGGAATGACTGCGATTGTAAACTGGAATGAGTCCTGTGTAGGATAAATCAGACATCTTATATAGACATGCTGTGTAACCCAAGCCATGTGAAAAGCTTCATCGCGTTGTGGTGAACTCTTCGCTGAATTTCTCGCTCAATTTCTTTACGTGACTGTGCACACGACTGGGGAAGAAGAATTCCGAGTCAACGGGCCGCAGTTTGCCTCCGCACTTTATTTCGCTCTTTTTCCTGTCTGGATCAGCCGAATGTTGGGGTAGTCGTTGCGGCATTGGCCATTGGCTGGCTTCAGTGGCTTGAGTATTGGCGCTTTTAGGTAACATTAGCCGGAAATTCTTCGCTGGATGTCACGTTTCGCCGCCAGGCCAAACTATGATGGGCAATCAAAAGAAAGAAATAGACCTGTTTGTTCGATACCTTAGGTTTATTAAGAGGACAGGTGTCGAGGACTCAGGAGAGAAACTATCCTGAAACAAGTATGAACTCTATATCCATTAATCGACGAACGATCTATCTGGGTGACGACTATTTACTTAGCAGATAAGATAATTCAAAACACGAAGAGAATCACAGACAAGCCGAACGAGAATCTGCTAGTAAACTTTCAAGAATGGGATATAGCACAGAGCGATCAAGGTCAAGCGCCTGCAATTGTCCAACGCGAACTGTTACGGGACTTTCCTTGGAAACAATCTTCCAAATTTCCTCTTTCAGGTCTAATTCAATTTGTGCGTCGCGGAGGAACTTTATGATGGGCTCGGTGGGCGAGTGGACATCAACTTGTGGTCGTGATCCAAGTCTAACCACGATGGTAGTCTCGGATCCTAATGAACCCAGTTTGATCAAAGTTCCATTGTCGACTTTTACCGTTTGGCTCGCGCTCTCTATATCATTGACAAGAATTTGAACTTGCTCCGGAAGGGAGGAGCAACCTAGCAACCGAACACTCCATTGACGAGTAGTCATTGTGCTAGGCCCAATACGAATCTCCCCAGCTTCCTGACGAAAAGAAATCGCTGTTCGGCGCAACGCAATTTGACCGTCTTGATCACCCTGACCATCATCCTCAACAAGTTCGAAATCGCCGTCCGCTCCGACGACAATGAGGACTTCAAGTTCACTTGGATCATTGCCGCCGTTAGCAGGCTCTGATGCTCCATCCAGCGGAATAATGGCACCTTCACACGCAAACACCGGGTATGATGCGAGCGGCCGATTGAGCCAAAGCTCGCGGTCTCCATCGTACGCCATGCCTGTGAAAATATCGATATAACGACCTGGTGGAAACCATGCTCGTACCTGGGATCTACGTGCCTTTGTATCCTGCGGCGCAGTAATCGGGGCAACGAGCAATTCCGAACCAAAGAGGAACTGATTAGCAAACTGATATGCCTCTTCTCTCTCTGGGTATTCCCAGTACATGGGTTGTACGAGTGGTAATCCTTCTTTTGCCGCTCTAACATTCATGGTATAGAGGTAGGGAATGAGCCGGTGGCGTAGACGGAGGGAATCGGTCATGATACGTTCGCAGCCAACGTCCAACATCCACGGTTCCTTCAGGTTCCACTGATTATTGGAAGAATGCAGACGCAGGATTGGCGAGAATACTCCGTACTGCACCCAGCGGATCAACAACTCCTCATCTCTCACTCCGTGCATATGCCCGCCGATATCATGGCTCCACCATCCAAATCCAATGTTCGATGCTGTCGCCGTAAATTCTGGCTGGAAGTTAAGCGACTCCCAAGTGATGACTGTATCTCCTGAAAACCCGACTGGATACCGATGGCTACCAGGTCCCGCGTATCGCGAAAAAGTCAATGGACGTTTACCCTCTCGGGCGCTGTCTAGGAAATGAAAGTGATTCAACACCCAGAGAGGATCAATTCCCGCAATCCTGGAATGGGGGCCTTGTTGCCAGTCCACCCACCAGAGGTCAGTCCCCTGGTCATCAAAGTGCCGATGTAGAATGTCAAAGTAGGCATCACAAAAGGCGCGATTTGTGATATCAAACGAAATTGGATCTTTTAATGAGCTGTCATGACCCAATGCTGTGGCCATCTTCTCATAAAGCTCTTCATAACTCTGCACTCCGTCGGCTGGATGATCGTTCAGTGATGTTTTCAAGCCTCGACGGTGCAGCTCAGATAGGAATTGTGGTGGATCAGGAAACAGGTTTTTATTCCAGGTGTATCCCGTCCATCCAGTAACACCTGACTTAGCCACGCATTCCTCATCCACGATATGCCAGTCCATATCCAAGACGGCAACGGAGAGCGGAATACCTTTCTCCTGGAACGTGTCCATCAACTTCAGGTATTCATCAGCACTATAGGCGTAATACCGACTCCACCAATTTCCCAACGCCCAGCGTGGAAGCAGTGGCTGAGGACCCGACAAGGTATAGAATGCGCGGACTGCCTCCCGGTAATCATGCCCATAAGCAAATAGATAGCCATCCACACGATTATTCCCCGATTGACGGACAGCGAGCCATCCATTCTTGTCAAAAAGCATAGATTTCGAATCATCTAATGTTGTGAAGCCTTGACGAGCGACAATACCCGGCTCGAAATCGATTCTTCCGTTGATCTCGTCAAGGGTTCGCGCCGTGCCGCCGAGCGTATTATGGGGGTTGCCGTACCGCCAGGTGCTGCTGTGACACCCATAGAAGCCTTTGATGGCAGCACTAAGACCGCTAGGAGTAAAGCTCTCTTTATCGTAAGTAAGGTGAAATCGGGAGGTGATGATCTGCAAACTGGTATCGCTCTCAAGCACACGAAATTCAGGGATGGGTAGCCGGCGGTTAATCGCCAACACAGAAGCTCGATCCTCAAAACTCCCATCATCCGCCCACTCATATCGTAGAAGACCATCGGTCAGGACAGTGAACCGATAGGGCTTTCCTGCGCCACCAACTGTCGCTTCTGGATGCGCGACTGGTGCTCTGGGGAAGGAATAGCGGTGCATGGTGAAAGTATGTGACAACTCAAAAGAATGAATATTGTGAGCGCCGGCTGCGAAAGACTATAGATCATTATAAATTGCGCTGATGGGATCGGTGCAATTCTCGCAGAAAATGAGTGAATAGTGGGGATATTGTATGATACATCACAACGAGATCCCCGCTACTGTGCCACATATCGACGTGCATAAGTTAGAAGAATGATAGAATTCTTAACCGGAGACAGCTACATGCTTTGGGATCTCTAAAATTAACGATGCATATCCACCTAAGGTTGAATTTCCATCCAACCAGGTATAACTATCAACAGCTCTAGTAAGAGGTCCGAGCTAGACTCTCCGCATCTAAAACGCAGTCGAAATTTGAGCGAGAATTTCAGCGAGAGTCTCTAGGAGAATGAGGGTCTCACTAATTACTAGTGCTATTGTTAGCTACACATGGCTATGGCAGGGTAACATTCGTAGATCTTAGATCTCGATGAAGTGTATCATTAACCGCTAAGAAACTATTCTTGATATGTACATATACAGCTCAGCTTCTTATTGATCTACTCCACACGGAGTATTTAATACCCAAGCATTAATCTCCTCATCTAACCCCGCATCGTGAACGGACCCTGACTCGCGTTCATTATCTATCCCAGATCTGACTTGTGGATGATCTGGTAGAGAAAGACATAGTCGTGAGGGCCCCGAAACACCAAGCTCGACCATACGGGTATGCAGAAGTGAAAGATGTTCAGACTTACCACTTGCAGTCAAGCCTAGAAGTTGTTCGAGAGCAATAACAACATGCTCCGGTCCGTATTGCTGGCCACGCATTAGCCCGATGGATGGGACGACAGCAATTGTGTCTAGAAGAGAATGCGCTACTTGAGAAAGTTTGACTTCCTATGAGAGTGTCAAGAACAATGATCTTACGTTCTCCAGACTAGACGGAAGCTTACCATGGAATAAGCATGGGCGCGGATCGAACTCGATTGAACCTTGGACAGAAACGATAGCAAATCCCTCGCGAGATGGAACGGATACTCTGGGGTAAAATGCACATTGCAGGCATCCGACTCGAGCATAAATCGCGAAGCAGCGTGCTGCCACAGAAGCGACCTCAACCAAGCGCGTGTCGTCTCGATATCTGCGATTTGCAAGTCTCCCAGCGAGGTCAGATGATGGGTGCGTGTGTCAAGGTCGGTTGAGATGCACTGCAGCTCCTCTTTACTATATGATGATATGGGAACCGCCTGTTCAAGCGCTGTGGATTGCACCAACTCAGTTTCAACATAAGTGAATAAGCGAACGAGCTCGCAGAATCCACCGACGGAATGCGGATTGATATCGTGGGCGTCGAGAAAGGTCGGATATTCGTTGATCTTTTGCATGGTCATGGGGAGACGATGTTGTATGCAGAACGTCCTACGACATCAATCATCATCGTCCAATTGCAAATGACAAGCCTCAACTCACCGTTCCGTGACAAAGAGCACCCAAAAGACTCGAAGTCGCAACTCCTTTTCATCCCTGCACACGGACTTCAAAGTAGTCGGGTCTCCGAGACGCAAAAGATCAGCGTAAGTGATGGTCTCACGCAGAGCAAAGGTCGCAGCACTCATTTGCCCCGTATTGGCGTAGTACATGTGAAGGAAAAGGGAGGTAAGCAGTGAATTGACGGTAATGGAGTTTTGATGATTGTATTGGGTACGATGCCGTAGACAGTCCTTTACAAAGTCTTCTCCTTCCACACTTGGGGCTTTTTCAGACATGCTCTCATTTCGTGAAAGCTTCAATTGTACGATTGTCGCCGCACTTAGTGCTGCAGCCAGCGCGTAGGATTCATAATCGATCTTCCGGCGGTCGTTCAGTCGGGCTTTCAAAGAATCGATGGACACAATCGGCCAGGTCGTGTACAATGAGTCTTTGTAGATATCGAGATAAGTGAAGTAGGTCCCTAGAGAAATCGGTCTCTGGTCAAGAGTGTTGGTACATGATGATGACAGCTGTGCCTGTAGTTGCTCCAATTTTATCTTGGTTGACTTCCGAGGACCTTTGGGTCCCCGGCGCCTGCGGACTTTCAAGAAGGTGCATCGTTGGTCATTCTTGATGCAAATCCAGCACGGATTATTTCCATCGCATTTAACACGTCGGAGCGCGCAAGCATCGCACGGCACCGATGGCATGATGAAAGGGTGCTGTCTATTGAGCCGGAGAGTAATGCGGGTGTCAGATTGGGGTCGGTCTGCAGGACGGAAGGTCTAGAAGGTGTTGGTTTCTACCTAGTCTTATATTAAACCGCTCATTTGATATCCCGGCCAACAGCGGCTTTGCGGTCCAATCAGGCCGTTCAAACCCCATCAAGCCCTGCTTTGTTGGGTGAATGTTACACCCAACTTTGCGGGGTAGGTCATCTAACTAAGGTTCCCTATGCCATATCGGTTTAGTACACTAGAATTGTCATCTGCAAAGCCGAAATAGCTTGACAAGTTATTGGGATTACACGGGGTCATAAATAAGATTTAACCTATTTTGCAAAACTAGAGCGACGATCTTTACATAGCTAGTCATTCATGTGAAGCAGACAATTTGAATTATCAAAGATGTCTTGGACAGGCGCCTATCCGAAGACTTCTGTGTGCAGATAACTCAAGAAAGACCAACAACCTCATAGTTCCAGTTGCAAATGCTAGACGTACTCTCGGATGCCACAGACTTTGTACCCGTTGCAGTCGCCACTACACTGTTTGAGCTATCCAAGACCTGGATGTACTGGCCGCTGCCCACCTGGAGGCCAGGAACACTATTGTAGTTCAATCCAGCAACACCGGGGTAGCTGCCGATTAGCTGAGAATTGCTATAAACATTAATCGTATAGCCGGCAGAGGGCAGGATGACGGCAAAATTCACGGCATCGAGGGCAGATTGATAGTTGGAGATGGTAGACGAGCAGCCTGCAGTGGTTAGGAGCGTACGATACCAAAGCGCACCAACAGGGGCACTGTTTGGAGGGGTTATCTGAGAGATGTCCGTGGCTCCGGCTTTGTAGGCGCTAATGAAAGGGGTGATTATCTGCAACCAGCCCTTATGATCAAATCCATCAGCGTACGTTCCGATGGAGGTTCCATCGATCTGCTCAGCCCAGAAGTCGCCAACGTAGTGACTCTCGCCTGCGTCATTCCAGGTAATTACTTCGACAAAATCGGGCTGCAGGGTCAAAATCTGTTCCATGCGCTGAGGTAGGTTGTCTTCGCCGATGCGGTACCAGTCTTGACCGGAGCCGAGGTATTTGAATTGGAAGGATGAGAGGGCTGAAACGCACCCCAATTAGATTAGCTTACACTCGTAGTCTGTAATTTATGAATGCTCGAATACTTACGCATCATATACACAGCTCCAGCTGCATGTGCCTCAGCCAACGCCTGGGCATCCACACTATCGCTGACATTTGCGGGTGTAGTTCCTGCTGCTGGCCAGGCCGACTCCCAAGTGAATACCCCAGAAAGTATAGGGTATGCACTAAAGACACCAGTGGGATACCCAGAATAGTCGCCGAAATTGGGGACGAAATAAGGGGTGATGCCGTATGTCTGTTCTAGAGGAACGATGAAACCACTGTCCCACTCCGAATTAGATATCGTACCACCTGTATACGTGCTGATGAACGCCTTGCCGTCCACGAAATAGTACGCTTCCTGGGCAACAAAAGGGGCGAGGAACGCTGCGAGGCTGGAAACATCTAAACCCCAGCTCATGTCAAATGAAATGAACAGCTTGAAGCTGGTTCCGGCGGCGGCTGTGAACAGGTAGTTTAGGGCGTCAGTATTCCAAGTATCGCTTGAGCTGATTGTGTGAGTGTTCAGCGCGAATCCATCGAAACCGGCAGCAATGGCGTCATTTACATCTGTTACAGCTTCTGCGGCAGTCATAGAGCCGACCTGTGCCGAATTATTGAGTATTAGGGTACCCTAGGGGGCCGTAGACTGCATTTAACTTACCATGTAGTGAGCAAAAACAGCGCGACCAGTGGGAGATGCGCTGGAAGTTGAAGTAGTCGTAGACTTAATAGTAGTGGTAGTAGTAGGCTTGGTAGTGGTACTAGTCGAAGTGGTTGTAGACTTAGTAGTAGTGGTACTGGTTGAAGTGGTAGTAGGCTTAGAAGTTGTAGTTGTTGAAGATGTAGTCGTAGTGGAAGTAACAGAACTTCCCGTGCCACTCGACATCTTTATAATTTGTTAGTGAAAAATACCTGCAGAAATAGAAAGATCAGACTAGCCAGCACAGCAGTTGTCGAGCTTCCCACTGATGCAGACGCAACACAAGTTCCAGCAACGTTTCCGGAAGCACTGTACACACCAACCAAACCAACTTGACAACAGAAGCCATTGCCCTGAAATCCCTTCCATAGAGACCAACTCGAGTCAGCACACTTTGAACCGCCCTCGACAGCACCCACGCAAACGGAATCTATCCAAGGAGGCACGTTAATCATTTGTTTCCGGGCTTCACGTTCCCGAATAGAATAGATCACTGACCAGAAGCACAGCACGAGGCTACCTCATCATTCTGGGCTGCAAAGCAATACAGACTAGACGGGCAGCATGCTCCTCCACCACAGGAATTCGTTCCACTAGGACAGCTGCTCGATTGCAACGACCATCCTTGCTGGACGGAGCGCCGGTCATGCCTGATAGCTGATGCGGAAACCAGGAGCGGAGCGTAGAGCCCCCAAAGCATTGCCTTCAAGAGCACGGCCATGATTTATGGTAGAAAGTGTCGTCGTCCCGTTTTTCCCGGTGATGATGGCCAAGAATTATGACCATGATGGACGTACTATTTATAATGACTGTTTCCTCGTAGATATCGTCGAAACGGCCGCTGGAAAGCCGAAATTAAAGTAGAAAATTCCGGCTATCAATCTACCAGTTTCATATTTGCCGGCGTGGCGCTGTGTTAACACTAGTCGATCGTCAGCAATCAGCATGTTGGGAAACCAGAAAGTATCGTTGGTGGACCTGGTTTAGGTTATCACAAGCAGAGCACCATGTAACATTGCGATGCGGGACGGTGTTTCTGCATTTTGATTCAAAAGCCTCTTACCTCACTTAGTAGTAGGCTCGGTAACATAGAAACTCTCCTACTCAGTTTTAGGTAAATTAGCAAAGTGCCGGATTCCCATACCCATGACCGCGATTTTCAGCGAGAAATCGAGCGACTGCGATGTCAGCGACGACAGTCTAAGTATCTGCGCTACTTACTGCTATTTTTTACAACCATTTTCATTGGTCAGTACTTACGAGTATGTAATAAGCTTGACGGCAGCTGCATAGCTCCGACTTATAGAACACGAAATAATAACATGGTATCATCATTTATCAAACTACTTACATATCTAACCCATCAACTGCAACTGGTCATCCGGCGGCCATCGCACCTGCGCAAAGCTCAGGCACCGCTTTATACTCTGTAGATATTTCCGCGTAACTTCATCCGACATGATATGGGCCTTGTTGTCGCTTTCGTGCAATTTCTCTCGTGCTGAACGTTCGTGGATACCCACCATGGTGACACCGATAGGCCATGCCCTGTATTTTATTAGTAAATAGACATTTTTGAAAAACACTTTGTATCAAAAGGAGGGCGTACGCTTTTCCAATACTCAGTCTCAGATAACCATCATTCGCGTCCACATATCTTCTTTCCTGCGCGCAATGCACAATCTCAACCACGGCTTCCAGAACCGTATGATCGATATCCCCAGTCTCAAATTTCTTAAACAAAGGTCGCATATTATCCCTACTTTGCACCATGGCATTGAATGCCTGTCGACCCGCAAAGCTCTCCTTGACAGATGTGTCTCGTTTAGCGAGCGCAATTGCCCATTCTTCCAGCAGCATAGTGAAGTACGAGGCGAGTTGTCTGAAAAGAAAGTTTCTGGCTTCTGGATCAATGTCTTTTGGTATTTTGACGGGTATCTTCATGTCTTTCTCTGGCACTAATTCGAGAGTGGTCGGGATAGGGCCTTTGGAGAGTTGTGGCGTAAGTGATCGTTGAACCAGTTTTCGATATCGCTTAAGGCGAGCTTTGTGCGTCTCCGCGAACAGAGTTGCTGGCTCATTCAGTTCTCTCAATTTCTTGATCAATTCCTCATCATCGATATCGTCCTCTTCCGGCACCGGCGTTCCTTCTTCACTTGCCCGCGGCGGTAGCTCCGGTAATCCCAGCCTCTTCCTCCTCTGTCTTTCGGCAGCTTCCTCTTCAGCTTCCCTTTTCTTGCGCGACTCTTCCGCTAACTTGCGTTTCTTTTCTTCGCGTTCACGTCGTCGCTCAATCTCGTCTTCTTCGTGTTTGCGTTTGAGAGCTGCTTTTTCCTCCCGTTCCCGTTGTAGTCTCTCCTGTTCAGCGTTGTATGCTGCGATGCGCGCTGCTTCGACGTCGGCTCGGCGCTGGTATTTATTGTTGTTTGTGGTTTCTTTTTTGTCTTTGGTGTCGCTGGGTTTGGCCTTGGAGATTTCCTTGGCCATTAAGGATGCGAAATCCATGGTGGCGGTCGCGGTGTGAACTCTTGATGAATGAAAAGTTCGCACGAAGCAGTATGCTGTATTATATAGCTTTGATGTAGCCAGCTAGCTTTACTTGCCAGTTGTTCATGACTCGTGGGTAAAATCGAGGTCGAAATGCAGGCAGACTAAAAGCTTTGGCGGAGACGGAACGAAGATCTTATCTGGAAGTCTCCACCTCCACTGTCCCTTCCTAGCTACACCTCACCAACTTACACACCACATCTAAACTTACACAACAATCCCCGCTAAAATACATTCGCGCACGTCTACCAGAATACTGATTGATTTTTTGCACCGCTGTCCTCGCGGCGCAACGCAATATGGCAATCAACCGCGAAACTACCGTGCCCTTCCACCTCAAACTATTCTTCCGCCAAAACGCCTACCACGCCCTCACCGACTTCCCAATCCCTACTCCTACAGGACCCAGCTGCACAAGAGAACTACCTCCACACCTAGAAATTTACACATGGCAGTCGTGTTCATTGCGCGAACTGTCCAGTCTACTAGCTGGCGCATTACCATCACAACTACCCGATCCTCAAGCCGGGACCAGGCTTTGTTTCCGACTTGTATACCCCGATACACGCGGCGCGGCGACGGAGGGGCGAGGGAGATACCTTTCGAAAGATATCGGGAGCGTTATTCTAGGACGATCGGCAGAAAAGAACGGACACGACGAGCAACGAACGAATGGCGCGCGGCGGGGATTTATGGGGAAAGACGTCTCTAATCAAGACGAGGCAGATAAGACGCTAGCCGATGCGCGATTCGTGGTGGGTGACTACGTGGATGTTGCGATTTTACCTCCGCTAGATGATGGGAGTGTTGCGCCGCCGGTGCAAGGTGGGAGAGGACCCCCGGGAGGACCTATTGGGGGTGGCATGAGGGCGTTCAGAGCGCCGCGTGAGAATGGTGGTGGGAGACGAGGGCCTGGGGGTGGTGGCATGGGACGAGGACCACCAGGGAATGGATTGCCGAGTGGTGATTGGAAGAGAGGCGAACGATTACCAGAAGAACGCGGTGGGGGATGGGGGAGGCGCAGAGGTCCTTATTAAGTGAATACAGACCTTCAGTATGAGAGAAGTCAAAATTGAGCGTCACTTACCTACAAAAGTGCTCTTTTCCAAATGCTGGACATCAAAGTGTGCTTGCTATCTGGGCGCTTGTTTGGGTGATTCAGCGACAATATGAATTTGTCGAATATTTTTTTCTGGGTCATATAGCTGAACCGATGAGTAGTGCACTCGAAACCTTGATGAAACCCTTGACTCTTTTTACCGAGACGGTCTTCGTCAGCTGAAGGCCTTACATGTCACGGCTTTTGATTACGGCTGGCTTAGGGATTGAGGAAATTTGGAATGAATCTAGGGGAAGATGAATTCAACTGTGCGATACCATGTATATTATGATTCTATTATGTCGGCATCTCCGCATGTACTACTACTTTAATGAAACAAGTCCAAGGACAATCTGTAGCCATGAAAGAGGTCCTACACGTCTTCGATCCGTCCAGAGCCGATTATCAGATTGTAGTTAATCGCATTTATTGTCTATACAGAACTTTATACGTCATGACAAACACGTCCAGAGCAGATAACGCACTCCACAAAGAACGTATAGCTTTGGTAAACTTAAATCCATTTCTCAATATATACAGGTACAAATTGCGAAGCAGCACAAGACTTCACACGTCTAATTCGAGAACCTTTGAATCGCGACCGTTCCGAACACAGGAAAACAACCAAGGCAATCGACAATCGCAGAGGCGTGACGGCATTCATCGTGAGAACCGCACTGCACCGTCCGCAGCTGACAACAAATCATTCCGACTTTACCGAAGTTACAACTCGAAGCAACTGGAGTTGAAAAAGTGAACAAATCACGCATCTCCATCAAGGCTTATTCCCTCTAAAATTCAGCAATGGTATCACCTCGTCTCTTTCCGCGCAAGTCATATTTTCCCTATATAATCCACTGCTGTCAGTCCATCGCTACGCACACAATTTTCCCGGGAAATTTGGAGTGCGCTCACATCAGTGCTATACGCAACATAGCCAATGATACTAGGCACAATGCCGACGTAGAGCAGAGTCAACCATGCGTTTCGCGGTGTCCATTTGAAGTATTTGTAGCGGTTTGCGTTGAGTTCTGCACATCCCGGATTAGCATTCATCCAAATTCTCGCACATCGATAGTGCCTCCAGAAGCGAAAAAAACGTCGATGCGGAGTGTCTAGAGATAGAATCGAGGAGGGAATTACCGTAGTACTTCTGCAGAGCAGGGTCGAGGACGAGAGCTGTGATGGCGGAAGGGTTAGCAATTGCCTGTAGACTGAAAGAGTTGGGTATATTGAATGAAATTCTCGGAACATACATTTGCTCGGGCCAGCCATTGTGAAAGATCTCAATGGATGACTGAATTGAAGGTGATCGTGATCTTTGTGAGGTAGCGTGCGGATGTTGAAGGTGGACGAGGTGAGGTGATGCCAAGACTGTGGCGCTAGTATATATAAGGTATAGCGTCATTACTTGAGATTATTGATTCCTCTCATTCTCCCCGTAAATAACTTCCAATTATTTTCGCATTCGTGGTTTACACCTGGTATAACAATACAAACAAAAAAAAGAAAACAATTACAACGAGGCGGAAAATTTCCCATCCACCTCTTCAATCTTCTTCACTGCCCTTTGATACCCATCATCCTTCTTCAACCTCTCCCCAAACGCCACAATCTCAGGGTAACTTTCCTTTGTAATAACTCCTCTACCCGTAGCCGCAATAACGGGAAAACTCATCAACATATCAGCCGCAGTGAATTTGGGCCCACAAAGCCCCCCTCGTTGGCTCTCGGTGGTTCCAGGAGCAGACTTGAGTTGGCCTTCCAGGAACGGGAAGTGAACGGCGAATTGCTTGTCGAGCCAACTCGTCTGAATTCTGTCTGCGACCAGACGGGGAATAGGTTTGAGGAAGAATGGGATTGGAGCGTTGCGCACGCCTGCACAATCGTCAGCTAACGAACACCTCGAACAGAAAGGTAACGTACTATCAACAATCAACGCCGTAACCATCTGTGGCATCAAACTGCCCTCCACATAATGCATATAAAATCTATACCTCAACCACTCCTCTGTCTCTAAATTCTTGGCCGCATCTTCCTCCGACGCATACTTCTTCGGGATGAGACCCTTCTCTTCGCCCCGGAAATGATTGAGTAAATATTCCACAATCGCCCCGGATTCAGCCAGCACCAAGGGTTGCGCGTACTCTGGTCTTTCGACTGTGATAATGGGCGATTTGCCTAGAGGATGAACGGCTTTGAGCTCGGCGGGCGCGAGCATGTCCTTGCCGCGTTTGAAGGTTTTGAGTGCGTAGGGGACGGAAAGGGCCTCGAGGATCCAAAGGATCGAGTGTGCGCGAGACTGCTCTAGCCTATGTCAATGATTAGTTTGTGTAGATTGTAGATAGAGATGCTTGAGCCGGGTGGTACCAGTAGAGAGTGACCTTGATATCGGAGGAGGCCATTTTGTTTGTCTCGTGGTTCGCTTTGATGATTGATGGTTCAGGTGAGGGTATACCGGTCTGGGGCTGGACGATTAGGTACGAACAGGAGATTTTCTTATGTATTATTCTGACAATCGATCTAGACGAATCCACTTAATAACCAAGTCGATCCCAACAAATAGGTTTCACGTGCAGTAGATATATCCGGCTTCGTCATGGCTGTGCCGGTGGATCTACGTACTTAGCCTTTTTCGGGTCTTGCCGAGGTCCATCTATCTATGCAACGATCTGATAAGGATAACATGATGAAGATCGGTCCATTGGTTGGTTATTAGCAGTATTAGTCTTCGATCTTGGGACGATTCAATAAATTGTCATTTAGATCAGACTATCCTAAGAACCCCCGTTTCCGATTCCGCGCTCTTTGACACGTTGATACCTCCAGCTTAACAGCCGTAAAAATTATCTCCAACTGATTGCTAAAACCATCTGGCTGAACCCGTAGCCGCCATTGCCCGTTATGGACCATCCATCGTCCTTGCGGTGAACTGGCGCTGTGATCATTTTCTTCCTCCCGTTTCCGTTTCGCGGGCGGTCCAGTATTTGAACCGTTGAGCGGAACTGTAGCGCCGCTGGATTTCTCCAGAATGAAGCCCGTAGATCCACCCGGTTTAGCGCAGTAACATTCGCCGTCAATGACGATATCGGCATCTGGTCCAATTTGAACTTTTGGTCGATCTTCGCTGAGAGGCGAATGGCCCGGGCTGGCGGTGGTATTTCTTGATCCGCCCCCGGCCATCATCATCAGACCCAGGGGAGCTTTGTTTGGTAAGTTGAGTTTGTTGGCGATTACTTGCACAAGACTGCTCACGCGGGCTTTTGTCAGTCCGCGAAAGTCGGCGCGCATTGATTCCATATCAATCACTGTACCCTGTCCGCCGATTTCAACTATCAATTCGCATGGCTTGTCGTCCACGAATGGTCGCGCATAGTATACCCAGCCGGAAGACGTAGATCCATCCACAAGCGACCCATCGGCCACAAACTGAACTCCCGATTGACGGATGTCTTCAAGTCGAATCACAATCTCGCTGCAATCTCGTTCAGGGTTGTAGCTTATCTCATGCGGAAGAAGTTTCTGCTCCAGACCGCGAAAATGTAGATACCGACAATCGCGAAGAAGTTCTGCCCGGTGACTTTCGTTTTTGATCTCTACCGGATATCCTCGAAGGATGTGTAGTATCTGTGCAAAAACCTCCGCTGATCGGTTCGGGACACTGGGTGGAATGATCGAAGGGGGTCGTAACAAGCCCTTTTTCTCTAGTCCCGGTAGCATCATAGGAGGTGCCGAGAAATGAATGTTGAATCCCAGCGTGAAGAAATTGGGAGAGTCCCCTGGTGCCGAGAAGATATCTTTTGGTATTTGGAAGTCTCGTTCGCCGATTTGGAAGAAGACGTCGGACTCGAAAAGCTGACCGGTAAGTCGGGGAACTATGACGAGTCAGTCTATGCATTTGCTACGCGAGTTAACTTGAGAGCGTACGACTGTAGAACTGCGCGTCCATATATAGTCTCACATATTCCTCACCAGTTCGTGGCTGGACGTGGTAGCCTGTCGAACATCAGTAAGCTAGAAAGAAAGATGCTGACACCACCAACCTTGTAAATGTCTACATATTTCGCGAAAGATCACCGGATCTCGGTCAATATAGAGTGTGCGAATGGTTGCATTCTGATCTGTTCGTTGAAGCTGCTCTTCAAAGAATGAGGAAAAATACGACGGTGCTCTAGGCTTTTCAGTCCAATGGTCTAAATTCGTACCCGGAATTTACAACTGACCGTCAGAGGCTATTGACGCTCCCGATAACCGAAATAGCTCCGATCCTAGCTGTATTGAGAATACTTTTTCTGGTGGAAGGTTGCTTTTTTGTGTTCCGGCTTCGAGGGGTCTTTTTGGATCTGAAGCGGAGGATTGTCTTAGAATGCCATGTGAGACTGTGAGATCGAAGTCGGCCCGATTCTTGAGGGCTGCTGCGTTGCCTTGCTCATGGAGGCCTGTTTTTGGATCGACGTCCGGCACTTTATCGAATGTTTGTGGTGTGCTACTGGTGCTGTTGGTAGGAGCTTGTTGCGCTGAAGTGTTGGATGGTGGCATAGCTGTAATGCGCTTTGCTCCAGCCCGAGCGAATTGTGATTCCACTATCACGGAGAGGATATTTCGAGTATCCCGACGTCGTTTCTCTTTCTTTTGTAAGACGGGAGTTGCGCGATTGTTAATCTTACGGGTGTGTCCACGTTGCAGCTACATTCCGACAGATCAGTCGTACCGAAATGAATGATCACCGATTAATTAATTACACAGACCGTACGTTCAATGACGAATATAGCTTGGAGTAGCCAATCAAACTGCGTCATCCTGTATTATATCTTACATGCATCAATCCGGCATGCACTCCGTACCGCCGGAGGAGCTAAGCTACACTACGCTAGTTAACCATTATTCGACTGCTTCACAACACTACGCATCTACAAAAAGTCAACAACATCTTGAAACTGTATTAATTCTTGTTCGCCTGGTCAACTCTCCATCCGAATTGAGTCGCATCCACGTGGTTACGACCCACAATCAGACATGCGCGTTCTCTACCTCAACCGCCGTTTTCTGCTTTGCCGCGTCGACGATTCCCTCGTTCATCGCCCTTGCTTCGGCTCTTTCGGCCAATTCCTTCGTGATGCTCTCCATGAAAGCCGCATCTGTCGAGTCTTTGACCACCCTCCATATACTGGGCCTCTGTCCATCACGGTCGGCAAACAACAAATCAACAGCCTCTAACGGCAATTTGCTGGTCTCAGGGAAACAAAAGTACACTAAAGGAATCGTGACGAAATTGATCACTGCAAAGACGACATAGCTTTTGTATCCGATATTAGTGATCATAGGCGGCGTGATCTCGACAACGAGAAAAGTAAACAGCCATTGCGATATGACGGCAATGGCACCACCACGCAGACGCAGCTTCAGCGGCAGCAGCTCACTGGGGTAGATCCACATGTTGGATTGCCAGCCCAGCGTGAAGAAGGTTTGGAAGAGATACAGCACGACCGCGGCGGCGTAACCCAGTCCCTGCGTACCGATGCCGACAAATATTGCGGAAAGCAGCATACACACGCCCATTCCCATGCTCCCAATCATGAACAACTTGCGTCTTCCGACACGGTCAATGGCGAACCACGGGATGATACTGCTTAGGAAGTAAAACACTTGCAATCCACCAGAGACGAGCATGGCATTATAACGGCTCATGCCGATCGAGTTTTCAAACACATAGGGGCCTAGCGAAGACATGACGTTGACTCCAGACAATTGCTGAAAGAAATTCGCTGAGAATCCAATGGCAACCCGTGTGAAACCACTGATACCGCCGTCTTTGAACGCATCGCTCCATGACCCTACTTCCTCGGCTTCAATGGCAATAGCATACTGGATCTGACCAAGTTCTTCGACGACATCATCGGCGTCCAGGTGCTGGCCACGGAGAGCTGCCAAGGAATGTTTGGCGCGTTCGATTTGGCCAGCCGCAGCGAGCCAACGCGGTGACTCAGGCAGGAATGGTATAAATACAAACAGGACCAGGCAAAAGACGCATTGAAAGGCACATGGCACGCGCCATTGCACTGACCCGGCGTGAAAGGACATGCCATAATCCAACCAATTCGCAATAATCAAGCCCATGATCAGGTTAGACAGCTGCATAGCCATCATACGACCTCGCGACTTGGGTGTGGTACATTCCGACAACCAGATGGGAATAACGGTAGTCATAATTCCCAACCCGAACCCTGCTACCAGACGTCCCACCAAAAACTGCGGCAAACCAAATGAACTTGCCTGCAAAATTGCGCCTATAGACACAATGACTGCACCGGCGAAATTGTTTGGCTTACGACCTCCCCAGCGATCACCAACCAGAAACTGATACAGAGCGCCAAACATACATCCGACCTCATAGGACGAAACCATAAAGGCGAGAAGAGATGCATTGGGATTGCCGAACAGGTCCAGGAATTCGGGAGATGTGGTAAGTCCACCCATGTAACCGAGATCGTAGCCAAAGAGGAAAAATCCTATTGAACAACAGAAGGTGACGGCGTATACGAGGGGTTGGCCTTTGAGGCCAAGATACTGTGGTTGATCCATATCGCAATTGTCAATCTGTACATGCAACAAATCACTAGGAATACTCCTGGAAAGAAATTGACAGGCAGATCAAAACGTGCCAAGGCCCTCATTATATAGGCAGATTTTCCAAGAGCTATTGCAGTTATGACTATCCCCATTCAACCCCACGATGCTCTAAATGGAAGGCGAGTATGTCGCACCGACTTGTTCGTGCTACATTTACCCGGTTTAAGCATAAAGCATAGTGATCAGCGCTTCAAAAGACCAATTAGTCTGGCTACATGCTAGCCAAAGTCAAAACGTCTGCTTTCTATTCGCTGGGTGTCTCTTTCCTGGTTTTTCCTGTAGGTCAATCCCAGAAAACCTCGGATAATTCGTTCTGCATGTCGATCGGAGCATGTCCGAGATGGGCTCGGAGCTGGGCCTATTGCCGTGGGGGAGTCAGTGAACGTCGCGGAGTGAATGCGGAGAGATGTGGACATAGTAAAACCTCTACGTATTGCTACAATCGGAAGGTTTGACGAAGAGAAAAGTTTTATGTACTACGTTGCATGGTAGTACAGTATATCGCCTAAGTTTTATTCGGGAGTATATCCGCAAGACATTTCGTTGTCTATACAGTGGTAATTGAATTCTTTTATAAAACTTTGTAAGTGTATTTTATTAGTAAGAAAGTTATGACTGAGTTCTGCTCCTCACCCTTATTTGCTCTAATTCATGCCTGTTTTGATTGCGTATAAATATCCACTTAGGGCTAGTATAACAGTTCAGGGCTTGCGAGATGACTTTGTATAGGGCTTGTAGGAATACTTGTCTGAGCACCTAATCAGGGCACTCGTATGAAGCCCACTAGAGGATTTACGTTGGGCTTCTAGGAGTGTTTTCCTGAACACTTCACCGGGGCATTTGCTTGGGAGCTTATTGGAGCACTTGATTGAGAGCTCACTACAGAGCTCTTTTGCGATCTTATCATTTAGTGAAATAATATATGAGAGCGCTCATCGGCGCTCTAAGGAGCTCCATATAAGTGTTTCAATCGTGGTTGATCTGGGGGTGAGGAATTTAACTCGGATATAAGCTTGTTACTTATACTACGTAATATACCTGTGTGGATATCAAGCTTCTATTGGTGGTTACTATGCAGAAGAATGCCAGGCCTATGGCCAATGAGTACGCCTTTGTATGTTCGAACTTCTGTAGATTAATCCTCATCAATCTGCCTCGAAGGCCTAATCTTCAAACCACCCTTCTTATACATCTCATCCAATACATCCATTTGATCTATACTCGACTGATGCTCAACCCACACCCCCGTTCCCTTTCTGCCTCTTACACGATTCACAAACTCCTCGAGTTGATATCGATACGTCGACCAGGATGTGCCACCCGGGTGACCATCAGATTTGTCGGCCCAGTCATATGCTTTAATTGTAGTCTTGTTTCCCCATGATTTCACCGTTGTTGTTCCATTGCGTCTAATAGAATGTTGATCTTCAACGACGATACTGTGATATATGACGGGAGCAATGTGGTTGTACAACGTTACCGTGCGCTGCATTAAATGTTTCTCTCCATCTGCCAGCTTCACCTTCTCTTCGCTGACCTCCTTCTCCTCCAGCTCAGCAACACATTTCGGCCATCCCAGCCTCGGTGCCTTGACCCCCAAGATACTCCCCGCCAGACTGAAATCAGCAACCAACTTCCCAACAGCCCCAGCCTTGGACCTGAAAGTCGCCATAACAGCCTCATCAATCTGCTCCAAATCTTCCGCAGTATTACCGCGATGCTCAGATTCGGATATCTTCCTAAACTCGACACTCTCAACGACGGGGTGCGAATCATCCAACATGGCCCTAACATGCGAAACACAATACGTTGCAAAATCCATAGTGCAACCCCCCGATAACGCGTACCGAAATCGAATATCGTCCTTTCCAAAGTACCCCCGAGGCAGATAAAAGTAACTCTCAGCGCTCTTCACGGGTCCGGCCAAAGGGTCGTGGTGAATAAGTTGCATAAAACTCTGCCACGCAGGATGGAACGTATAATGGAACGCTTCCAATAATACAGGCGCATTCGGCGCCGTGACAGCCGGATGCTCGAACAATTTTCGTGCTTCGGCGCCGTTTGAGGTGCATGGCTTTTCGAGAAGGACGTGTTTACCGGCTTTGATGGCGCGGATTGCCCATTCGTAGTGGTGCGAGTTGGGCAGTGGGATATAGATGCAGTCTATAGATGGGTCGTTTATGATGTCTGTTTTGTACGCGATTGGTTAATGTGTTCATGGATTATGTAGGTGTCTGAAACGAACCCTGATAAGTATCATGAACACTTTCAATGCCATGTTTTTTCGCATATTTTTCAGCTCTCGCCCGATCTCGCGCGGCGACACATGCAATGACGACTTCGGGATGTGTTTTTGCCGGGAGGATTAGCGACATTGGCCTTGATCGAAATCACATCAGCTCATGCTACATTACTGGAAGAATAATCGGTCGGGTAAAAAAACGTACGCGATGTCCGAAGCCCCCAACAGACCGAATCGCAACGGGTTCTCGGCCTTGGGCACTTCGGGCGGAGAAATCAAGCTGTCGTAGATACGACGGAACATGTCTAGCATTTTTGCTGCTTACTCGGCGAGGTACTGGACTGTAATTCTCCACTGTCCTTGAAGCGCTTCAAGAGATGGATAATTATGCAACGAACTCGTCGTCGCGAGTTGAAAATATTGGCAGAAGAACTCGATGAATTATTCGGGTACGTTCTTCTATATATGACGAATCGACGTAGCCGATAATGGACTTTGAGAGCTTAATTTCAAAACGATTACGATTACATACTGATACGAGGAATACGACTAAGTCTCGTCAGGATGTTACCTTCCAACGGGTAGTATATGTACCTTGCGAAGCTAGTTATATACTAGCGATACTATTATACTGATATACGTGAGAACAAAGACAGGAACAAAAGGGAGCTACGAGCAGAGTATTGGCCATAATGCTGATTGATCGGCATTGCCATGAAACATTCTTTGTACGTTTTACCTGCCGCATTCTGGTTTTATGCCGAAACAGGGAGCGCCTATCTCAAAGGCAATTGAAAAAAGTACTTGTTGCTTTGTTGCAGAAAAAAAAGGATATGGTTTCAAAAATAAAAAAATCGCGGAATGTTCAAATATACTCCGTACACCATGCTAGAAGTAGATTGTGTAGGGCTTACTCCACGCTCTGAAGCTTCTACCAATGCGTAGACATTTCGGTCTCCTCTAAAACTTGAGTAGAACCATCAATGATTTCTTCTGGAAATCTTTTTACATTCTGGGTATTTATATCTCTTTTTGTGAAGAAATGAAAATGCCAATAGCCCTAAGTTTGGCTAGCTCGTGCGCCGAGTAAAGACCGATGCTACACATCGTTTTCGAACAAGCTTCCCCGTCGTTGACTACGAATACTAATTTATATACGTATTCTACACTTCTCGCGAATGTCGAGTACGTGTATTAAGCCCTTTGGCTATTCTAGCATAGGTAAGGCTGAAAAGGGCACGCCGGTGAAAGCTCAGAATATCATCAACCCTAAATCAAAACCCTAACACCGAACCCTAGGTCAGCCCTGGAGCTTCCATCTCCCTACCCAGCGAGACGTCCACGTTGAGCATTCCCTGAATTTGGCCTTGAGACTATTAGGCGATCGTATATGAGTAACATTTCTCAAGTGAGGTGTGGGTATAAATTAGGTACGCCTTGATATGAAACATCTGCCCTATATGATACCTCACACAGCTACCTGTGGGCATTGCACTTCAGAATCAGATCGATTTTAGCCAAGCCTAAGCTGCTTACTGAAAGACTTTCTTGGTGCCTCAGCAAGACACCCATGAAACCAGTCAAGGTGGGTATATGTAAGGAATTGCTCTAGAAAACAAAAATATCATTGAATGATAAAGAGCAAGAACGGGAATAACAGCGGAGACAAAAAGATGTGTCAGGGATAAGCCAGTTCTATTGAACCAGATTACTGGTGAGCATATGTAGTCTCTGTAGAATATAGATAATCAGAGTCTAGATCATGTCTAGTTAGGAATCAGTTACTAGACCTCAATCATTAAATCACTCTTTTCACTAGTACTGGCGATCGCAGATTACGTGCAGCTATACAATAATTGAGCAGTAACTAGATTTCCTGCATTTCGCCTGCTGACTCAACAATAAAGTTGTTCTACTAGTCGGTGATAAATGTTTCAAGTTCAGTATGCCTCGATCATTTTTATCTAGTGTGCGAGAACTTACCCGTCTCACGCATATTTCTGACCCGAGGCTTTTTCTTTTGTTCACGCGTCATCGATGGCAAAAGGCGCTTCGAATTTCACGCCCCTGACTTAGAATCCCAGGCAAAAAGTGGCGAGATAAGATTTCTATAGAGTATCTGGACAATGAATCCGGGGAATGCATACGCATTGACTTCTGTGAAATGGGTTCGCACATTAGCCTCATTTCAAGGGTAGGAGCTTTAGCTGCATATCAAGTTGACCTGCCGAGTCATCTTGAAAGTTTCACTGACTCAATTTTGGCAAAGTCCAACTCATATGTGGCAAAGCCGGTAATTGAGTCACCTTCACCAGAGTTATGTACCGTTTCTAATCAGTCAATATCTTTGGTTGACAAGAATCTACTACCATGAGAAAGTCCGGAAAGTTCTCGTAGTGAATCAATTGCTGGCCTCCCTTTATTTATACTATTCTCTAGGGAAGATTCTTCCATTGTCCATTTGCCGAGTGAAAGGGTTTGGTTCTTTGAGCATGATAACTGAGTCATAGCACAGTTTAGCGCACATCTAGCACTCATCTGACCCAAATAGGAGGAAGAGCACGAAGGGACGATTTTTTAGGTCCCAACACTTGATGATAAATAAAGAAAGCCGCCCTTGAAGTTTTTTGAAAGACATCAAGATTCCAAGTTTCCGCATATAGCCTTATGCATATTATAAATCCAACCACATCTCAACAACCATGCCCAAAAACACTATCATACATAAGCCACAGGACTGTACGTGGGCCCATTTGAAACAGGTGGACAGACAATCCTCTTAAGGTTGCTTATTTCGTTTATTGTTGCTTCTTAAGTTCCTGACCTCCACACCGGAACACACTCCCTCGTTACACAAGATCTGCCCTAGTCCGGCGATCCCGAAACAATAGGATCTCGCACAAAAGAGCCAAGCATGCAGGAGATTCAGGAAAAAGCAAAAATCGAGAAGAGCACGAACCAAAAACACACAGAATCGAAGATCACTAGTGGGTAAGTTAGCCTAAAGGTTATTTTCTAAACCCTGCATTATCAGGAATTCAAAATCCGGATTTCTTCGGTGATGCTCGTTTATTATATACTTGTACTTCACCGGACAGGTACAGAACCATTCGTACCCGACAACAACCATCCCAACATGGACAAAGGAACACAGACCCATAAAATTTCAGACCGAGAAGTGCCGTGTTTCCCATATATCATCTACTGATGATCATGATGTAGCAGTGGCACGTTCTCCAACCGGACTGCTGGGAATTACGATATGCACCGGGTCAGCATCAACGTTTTGCCAAATTCTTGTTGAGCACGTAAACCTCAACTGGTTTAGCACTACGGAATTAAGGACCATGGGGATACTCTCATTATTCGGTTAACCTTGCTTGCGTGTTTTCTTTTTCCTTCTAATGACTCTTTTGCAGTGAACATGCTAACGAGCCACGAACCATCCCATTTCCCTCTGCGGTTTCTTTGTCCATTCGCGGCAATCGTTGCTAACCCGGATCAAAGGGAGCTTCTTGTCATCGAATGACCTCATTAGATAGCTTTCTGGATTTTAGTCAAACTAGTTTTCTTTCATCTTGAGACGTATATCATACTTATGCCTCATTTGTCTCTCAACATTTCTTTTCCCATCTGGACCCCCCCCCCCCCCCCCCCCCCCCCCCCCCCCCC